CCATCTCAGTTGCATGGACATTCGATGACTGGCACGGTTGGCTCGTGGGTGCTTTTCTTACAGCGGAAATTGCACTGTAATGGCTGACACGGGAGAATGACCAAGGTGGGCACCGAGGACGACACGGAAAAGAGAAGAGGGGCTACGTAATATGTTAACTATTCGTTTAACGCCCGATTTTGGTAACAGGCCAATTAGGTGTCTCGTCAATGCACCTTCGCCGGGTGGGCTAGCCTCCGGGCCATGTCAGTAACCGCAAGCCCTGCTGTAGATTTCCAATACATATTCTCTTCGAGTATTATGTCTTCTTTTGCCTTCAAGGAAGCCTTGGTGGCAGTGAAAAGCAAAACCTATCTTAAAGGAAGACGATTCTGCTTTCTACTGCTGGGTGATTTGCCTCATCATGGCGGAAGAAGTGGATATACTGCAGACGGAAGTTTTTGTGGCCAACCCCTACAGAAGTCTCCAGAATTTTTACTTCAGCCTCCCGTAATGGCAATTCGTCAGTGCCTACAACCAGCAACACCTTAGGTTTGATGACCTTGTTGAGTAATGCGGGTACGTCGACACAAAGGTGCAGCTCAGTCGCCGTCTAGATGAGATTGCCAGAGGCTGAGTCTGAGACAGCCTGGGCGCCAGTGCGGAACACTCGGTCGGCCTAGTCACGTATACCTATGATAGCGACTTGACCCTGAGACTAGAGCGATTGATGGAGTACTTAAAATATAGACTTGGCCAATCAGGAGGAGCGTGTAAGGACGAGGTTCCCAGGATGGTCAGGGACCATGTGGGATAATGTGTTCTTAAGAATTGAACTTAGGCTGCAAGTGTGCCCAGTACAGTCAATGACTAACAATGGTTTGGCATTCTGAGGTATTTGAAGATAAGTTTCGATTGATCATTTTAATAAACCCTATTCGACTGTCTAGTTTAAGTAACTAAATGATAAATGGAACAACCGATACTCTTTGCATCTCGTTGCTACGAAATGTACAACTTCGGTGGCAAGAAAACGAGCGTGCAGACCAATCAGCGGTAGGAGGCATCAGAGCCATCAATGGAAGATGCATCAAGGCTCGCGACCACCGCAGTTGACACATCAACAACATGCGGCCTCGCCCTCAACTACTACTATATCCACGACATCTAAAAGTCTAGCGGACAAACAGCATCACAAAGCCTATTTATCTCTGGAGTAGGCAGCGAAAAACAAACCAACCCATGGGCTCACGGATTGTGCATAGGAGAGGTGGAAATTTCCGTAACAACGCCTGACAGACAACAGGACCAAGTAAACAAGCCTCGCCGAGGGTGGTTCACGGCGTAATAACTACTGCCGTCTTGTCACCCATATTCATTGACAGCTCCATGGAGTGGATGTCCCACGTTGCAAAAGCTACAGATTGCTGACAAAGCAGAGCAAGGCAATCGCTCCACACTTCTAATCCCAAATAATGGTTGGTTGAATTGGAAGCTAACATCTCAATGGACTTAAAGTGACAGCTAGAAAAAGTAGATCTACTCGAATAAAACACTTCAGGGTGCGGACGGATTTGCCTATGTCGACTCAAAACCAAACAGCACATCTGCCGCGTCGCTAACGATCTTTACACAGTGAAACCTTACTGAATTATTGAATAAATTTAAAATCACTTTACTCTCAAAGTTGAATAAACCAATAGCCACAACTGCTAGGTCCAACGGTCCAAATACTACCATTGAAACTACTGAAGTGCGCATACGAGCCTTGAAAGTCGCTAGTAAGTAATAATAGATCCGTATTTAACGATTCACAAACTGTCTACGGAACACAACTATATCATGGAAAGTGAGCAAAACCATTGATACTGATTACATACATAAAAATTCACAGAAGCAACAAGTGAGTTTTTACATAAATCACAGGGTGTCCATCACTTCTTCTTCTTCTTCTTCTTCGTCCTCGCCTGAGGACGAAATTTCAGGATCGCCGTCACCTTCTCCCTCCCTACCCGAATCTAAAGTCCCGGTAATTATTTTATTCCTAAAAAAACTGATTCCCACCATTTTGAGGAAGAGTGGCCAAGAGTTCCTCCATTTCTCCTACCGTTTCGACATCACCATTATTTGCACACAGCTACAAATTATGAAAGACAAAAATAACGTTCATAATGATCTTTTACATACCTCTCTAGTAACCTCGGCGTAGTACCTCAAATGATCAGGATCTGAGTTTATCCAAAGCTTTTTCCCAACAACAGTGAGAAGATAGAGTACCTAATATTAATTAAAAGGAGAGAAAAAAGCAAATACCTCCGCATGTTCGTCATCCTCTTCAAGCATCACTTCGAGAATCTCTGCAGCACGCTGACAAAAAACACTACTCATTAACGATCAATATAGGGCTTTTTACAAAATATGAGACCAGTCACCTCGAACATGTCCAACTCTATCATCATTTTGACCATTTGAATATGCGCTTCATAAGGCATTCCCGAAATCTTGAAGACATGAAAGTCAGGCTGAAAAACTTAGGTTACCTCTTCCAAATCCAATTCCTCTACTTCTTCATCATGACCAGCAACATCTCCATTACCATTTTCACGAGACCGGAGAAGTGAGACGACCTGTTCGACTTGAGGCCAATAAAGCGAAAAGCACTTTTCCAGAGCTCGCCTAGCCTCCTAAGGAGGCATAAGAAAGCAACAAAAGACTCTGTTGAATAGGAGCTAAGTAGTTTGGCTTAAGAACAAAATCAGTAGAAGTACTGAAAAATTTTAAGCATCGTAGGGAAGCCTACATCATTCTGCGCTTTTATGGTCAGCATATTCGCAGCGGAGAACCAGGCTTGCGGATTTGATTCGTCTGCTTCCGTTGCTTTTTGGACCGCCTCTCGACAGCTCGACTCAGCTTCGGGTTCATCACTTTAAAAGAAAACAAAGTAGATCGAGTCATAAATCAACCCACCACAGATCCGTAGTGTAAAGTTCAGAGATGGCACAGTAGGCGTTCGACAAGGCACGTTTCAGCTTATTTTTCGTTGAACTATCAACATCATCTGTCATCTAAAAGATAGACGAGGTACTTTAACAATGGAAAATGTGTGATTCCGAAGCCAAATAAGTATCTCCATGTAATTTCATATTTGTAGTGAAGCAGGCTTTTTAAATTCTCCGAGGGCGAATGGAACGCGTCAGCGTCACGAGTGAACACATCACATTCCAGTTCCTGAGCCGCATTATAGGCTCACACTGGAGGAGGTGGAAGCAAGGAGATGAATTCCAAGGTTTCACAAAACTATTTAGCGACTCGGTATGTAACCACTTTAAATTTTACTCTACACCGTAGCCAGAAGCGGAATAAAGACTTATGGCATAGACCGCTAGTAAGGTGAAAAATGCTTGCCGAAACAATATTCTCGCGAGAAGGGGCTGCAATAGGAGATGAATCAACTTAGGAACCCTGAGAAGCCTCCAGTCCTAACTCTTTGATGAGAATTTCCCAATGTGGAATGAAACAGATGAATCCCACCAAGCTAAAGGTGAATTCATATCAATTTCGTGTCTACATAGTAGGAGCCGTTGAGGTGCAGCAATTTAATGAGCAGAACGACGCCGAAAAACGGCTGTGGTTTAAACATTGACAAAGTTGTAACTTAATCGACCAACCTTGGGTCTTCACATCAGTCATACGTGGACGAACTACCTTTTCACAATGACATTGATGATTCATACTCGCGTCAAGAGATCTTTTTATAATTTCAATTCCCCTTCGATACAAATCCACAGCCTCCGAACCTCCTGAAATTTGGGCCAAGTACATGTATTTCTCATAGCCCTCATCTGGAGATAACTGAACGGCTTTTTGGAAATTCTAAAGGCCTTAAAATTGGCAATACTCTACCTCTTTTGCCTCTTTCAATTTCCCCTCATCAAGCAAAAGAAAAGCAGAAGATTGGAGAGCCTCAATGATAAGTCTTCGATTCTCCTCTGAGGGCTGTAGGTGATCGAGTTGGGAAAGTGCAGACTTGTACAAGCGCAGTGCCCGTTTAAAATGAAAAGAGCTAACATTTTTCGCCGCCTAAATATGCCAACCTGGATAAAAAAGCAATATCCACGTACTTGAGTCAGCAGATCTCTGGGGGTTTGGTATTGACTGGCAGAACCTGTGGATGAATTGATAGCCGGGGATCCGTTGGGTCTATGAGTATTCGGTCTGGCCATACTAAGCTTAAAAAGCATTCGTTCACTTCAGTACAAAAAAGAAGCAAAAAAACCCAGAATATTTAGAAAGTATGTCTAGAAACAACTCGAATAAAACGATGCTAGTGCATAAAAGGATAAAAAATGTTTCGTGTAGAGCAATGGGATGCTACTACGCTAGTTAAAGACATCAGAAACCATCAGGAAACTCCGGGATCCCGAACCACTGATCTACGAGCGTGGTACACGTAAATAAAGTACTCGGCTGGAGGTCAAGCAAACAACCATGCTTAAATGAATTTTGACTAAAATACCAAAAATTGCGAAAAAAAGATAGTGCGGGCTTAAGGCGTTATTTTCGTAATTTTTCCTTATAGGTGAGATGATGTAGAAAAGGTCTACGGAAGCTTGAAGTTGTTATTTGTGCCATGAATCATCAATTTAATAAGATATTTTGGTAGGTTGCTGCAAAAAATTTGTTGCTACTCTTATTCTTAGATTTGGGCCCTTAAAATAAAGGGATTGTTTTGAGGTTGATTTGGTTTCTGAAGGGATAGATACATAGGTAGACTAGTCCCACAGAGAACAGGTTCTAATGTAGCGTCCCGAAACTCCCCTAATGACAAAAGAAGACACAATACTCGGGTAGGATATGCATATTCGGCACAAAGAAGATATTTGGGCTAGTGGCATGGCCCGAAGGCCAGCCCACCCGGCTTGGTATAAAGGCCACTACAAAAGTGGCTCCTCACCAAAACCATGAGATAAACAACCATCGCATTACACTAGGGCTCCCCTCGGGTTAAGAAAAATAGTGTTTCATTGAACTCAGGGATTGTCATTAGGGAAGCATTGGTGCGTACACATATATGGTGGAAAATTCTCACTTCTCCGGGTTTTCCATAAAATCCTAACTTATGGTAGTATGACGGGATGTGTATTACCACCACGCAGGAGGGCAGCTGGCGTGCCCGGAAAGACTGTTTCGCCATGTAAGAGTACCATCTGCAGCACCTTAAATACCAACTTAGTTGAGCGCCGGGTCAGGCAAACTATCTAAGTGTGACCTAATGTGGAGTATGGGTGCTTGAATATTGCAGTATGGAACACATGTAGTAGCTTAGTGTTCATTTGTGTGCGTGCTAACATGCGTGAGTGATTGGATGTATGGGATGCATAGGATTAGATGTGAGATGTAATTTCGATTGGTGACTTTGCCTTCGACCTATGTAAGCGAGTCACATGTATCGGTTTTTACGGCTCTAATGAAGGTTCGGGACGCTAAGCCTAAATGCAGTGATTGCACTCACTTAAATCCGGCATCCATAATTTTCACTGTTCAAATTATAGGAGTAAAGAGCTGTACTGCTTTTTAAGGAATCCGCGATTTTCAACAGCATCAGCGGACCGTTTGTATTTTGATCTGGTAAAAAGAGCCAAAACCGACATTTCTATAGAACGACCAATCGAGTTGCATCTAAAATATCATATTAAATTAAGAAACATGTTACATGATTATTACAAGGCAGAACACATATTAATGCAGCACACCGAGACTTCCCTAAAGACAAGAGAAGACATAGTACTAGGGCAAAATGCACATTGTCGATTTACAGAATGACTAGAGGCCTACTGCCGTAGCCCCGGGGGGAATGAGGCCCAGCAAAAGTGCAAAACCAAGCCTTGATAAAATACTGCTAGCATGATCTCAAAGCCACGCGGCTGTATATGGGTGTAGGACGAGGCCCGTAGATCTCCTCCGCCTCGCCTCCGTACTCTTCGAACACCCAAACTGATTTGGGTTTGTCGTATTTGTTGCGTAAAGCAAATGAGGGGGGGGGTGGCACAAGTGTGGGAAGGTTTAAAAATGAAACTGTTCTCCTGGTTGTCAGATGTTGACTGCTCCTCAGTCACGAGGTTTGATTCTGCCCTCCGCCTCCTCAATGAATTGGTACATTTTGGAAAACATTAGTATTACAGAGGTACAACCTAAGGACTCCAGTACCCATATAGCACAGCACATTGCAAATCACAATGCCAAGTGCTATTACGACTATACTAAAGTCTCGATATTTTAAAATCTCTCGTCGGATGCTCTAAAGTAACAGTATTTAAGGTAAGCCAAGTATTACATTATTATTAAAGTTGTTCCAACCTTACTTTTTGTAACATAATACATTAGAAAATGGCAAATTCCACAGTAATTACTGAACAATGCCATAGGTTTCTTTAAATAAGTATTTTGCAGTGTAATGTAGCACACTTAGACTTCCCTGAAGACGAGAGAAGACATAACACTCCGACAGAATATACACATTCCGTATACAAAAAGTACTAGTGTAATACGATGGTTGCTTATCCCTCGGAGCCACTTTTGAATTTGCCTTTGTACCCCACTGGGTGGGCTGCCCTTCGGGCCATGCCAATAGCCCAAATACCTTCTCTGTGCCAAGTATACATATTCTGTCCTAGCGTTATGTTTCCTTTCGCCTTCAGGAAAGTCTCCGGACGCCACAATTGGGGCTACTGGCGTGGCCCAAATGCCAGCCCGTCTGGCGTAGTAAAATGGCCAAGTCAAAGGTTATTCTTCACCAAAACCGAGGATTAGATGGCGTTGTTCTTTCAAAACATGCTAAAAAACTGGGCTCTATGACAAATTACGAAAACAAATGTGCATAAGCAGGATGTTTCTGATCTGTGTGATGTCGGCCCATTAAAATCACTGCAGTATTGCGTAATAAAATCATACACAAAAAAATTTGGCCGTAAGGCTTGTTTGACGTCTGGTATGCGGTTTCTACGTGTGTAGTATGGGCGGCATGATAAATATTCAAGAAATCTTATAGTGGATAGTGCTTTCAGAAGCAGGAGATTCTCAATCAATTACTTTCGTTTAGCCTTTTAAATTATGGGGCGCAAGGTTTTATCGGTGGCACCATTTAATATTGTCTGTGCTACATTTTATTCATAATCCATTGCTGAAGGAAATTAAGTCTCAAGAGCGCGTTCTGTGAAATATTGGTTTAGGGCTTATGGTTTCCGTTCTGATTTGCTTAAATGTCGTTGGATATGATTTCAGCCAATTTTGCAGTCGACAAGGGTCTCCCAGGGGTCTCATCCCATTTTTATGATGCAGCCTCAAGTAATTTTCACAACGGACATAAGCTAGAGCAAAAGGTACGGAATTTTGTTTATTAATTTATAAGGTTTGGTGGGAAACTCGGTCAGTCTGTGGGCGGAACGAGGAGCTTTATGTCAATAATTTGGAAGTAATATGGAGTAAAATATCTGATGAGTCAACTCGCTTTCCTCTACTGGCTCTAATGATGGAAACGCCTATCATAGACGCCCATTGGACATCATTTCATCTGTCGTCAAATCAGTTGGATGAATTTGAGGTGACGATATTACGACTATTAGTTAATTTACAGCTGCCAGAAATTCGTTTACCATATATTTGTGTTGTTGCTAGGTTTCCTCTGACTTTTCCAAAACCGGTCGAATTCAGTCGGGAATATCAATATTCGAATCCCAACGTTGTACATTTGTTGAGCACACAGGGGCTTCATATGTTTCTAGATTGCCTTTTAATGTTGAGGCTGCATGGCCATTAAAGTGTGGCGTTCTTCTGGAAAGGCGTATATTGTGTTCTGAACGATATCCTGCGTGCCGGCCAAACCTATTATTAGGTGCCGCTTCTTACAACTTGCTCAATAGTCCTTTTCAAGCAAGTGGTGCTTCTGTGGAGTCTCCTTCATTATTCACTATTTTTTTGATGTCCCATCCTCTTGATGAAATGACCCCCGTCTTACTGAAGATACCAGGTGTGATATATTTTGACATCGGTGTTATTGGTTTCATAGGTGCTAACGGTTCTTCGGCACGTATGTGCTTTGCCAATGATGAAAATCAAAAAATTGTGGGTACAGTCGACAACCTCGATCTGGTTGTTATTGTTAATAAAAAGTCAGGTTTGCATTCCATTTGGCGCCTTGAAAAGGCTCAAGTCGAGGTATGGTTTTGTTTACCGACCCTTGTAAGTGCTTTCTTTTCGTAGGATTACGCTCACCTGTATTTGATTGACGATGATGGCAGAATTACCGTGGCACCGGAAGCTTTAGCTCTTACCGAGGAACGTCCTCTAGCAGCCCCTTTCTATTTGGATGCAACTGCTCCTTCAACTCCGGTTGACTTGAAGCCATCCGTAACTCCTTGCGCGTTTCATCAGACAACGCCTCTCCGACATCGATTTCAACACCTCTCTATCGGCTCTTCTCCGTTTCTCAGTCCATTTAGGGCTTCATTGCAAAAACTTAAAGAGATGGCAAAGGCACCCCTTTCTCAACCACAGGCTTCCATTTTTACCGACACAACCAGCGACGATAGCACCGAGAGTGTTGCAGTAGGTGCTTGAAATTTTGACACCCTTTCGTCGTTCAAAATTGTTTCCCATTGGGTTCGTTGATGATGAATCTCTCTTTTCAAAGGACCCGGGCGTGTCGTCCTCCCAGCCGATTGACCTAGATGAGCACATTCGACGTCTCTCAGCGGTCAGTTTTTTTTCATCGAAAAGAATCGTCGATGATACCCATCATCTGATTGCTCAAAGTAGCTTACAAAACTCCACTTTTGGGTCAGAGTCTCTGCAGTCTATCCGAAAAATCCGACGCGATTCGAAAAGCAGCGAGTTGTTTAACAAGTCACGAAGCAGACAGTACGTGAAGCTGTCGTTGCTTTCATGAAATCAGTTCTTCCGGATGTGCTTTTGTATTTAATACTGGGGAAGCCTTATAGATCTTATTATGCATTAGCATTGCTTCATCGCGCACTGCTGGTTTAATGTTGGCGAATACCACCGTGCAAACTTAATGGTCGTTATTCCCGCATATGCCGTATATTTTTAGTTTCCATGCATTTTTAGTATTGTAGCGAGAGGTTTCGGTTCATTTTTAAAAAAAAATCCCACGTTCCTCCAGGGTGAGGGGCCAAATTTAAATTAAAACCGAGAATGATATTTTTAACATGGAGATATAAATGGGGTCTAATATGTCATTTTTACATTATAGAAGTATTTTTGGATATTAATTTAAATTTTTCAAGAGATGCATTATAGGTTCTGCTATGCAATAACTCGCTGAATTCGCTTGTTGTTGTTTACTCAATCAGCAATTCTGTGACGCTGGGTTACTCCTCGATTCCCGGCGTTTTTGCGACCTCCTCACATCCTCATCTTGAATTTTCTAATGGAGGCGAGTTGGAGTGTGGTTCCGTTGGTGTTGACGAGCCGCTACTTCCCAAGGTTTGCCTTACTCTGATTTGGACAGAAAAACCCGAGAGACAAGCTGCCTTGCGTCTGGGTACGACTGCAACTCTTTCTAGCAATCTTGGGACTTCGAGTTGCGTGCTTCCGTTTTCTTTAAAGACCCTCCAATAAAACAGACTTCAGTCTTTTCGAAATATTCCACTTTTTAGATGAAAAATCCAGTCCACCTATGCATCCGCGTGTGGCAGCCTTGTCTCATCGATCCATTACCCGTCCTTCATTAACTCAAGGGCAAACCCAGAATAAACAAAACGCGAGGGTCGACCAAAGTAACCAAACAGCGCCTAAGATGGGGCCTCAAAGACCGCTAGTCTTCCTTGTTAGGGACCTGATTGATAGACTCTATATCTGTCTTCTCAGTGGAAGTAAAAAACTGACATGTCTAAGCCTCCGTGATGTTGAGCCTTTGAAAGAAAATGGGCAACTATCAGATTTGTGCGTATCACATCTCCCCGCTGTTGATGCAGTTTATGTCCCAGAATCAAGATTGACTGCGTGCTTGGAGCCAAATGGGTCTATTATTCTCTACGCAGGTATTACAAAGGTACGTTTTACCTTATCCCTACGGAGTCATTTTGGGACATTGAGAACAGCTGCTTCTTTCGCCTTCTAAACTAAGTACATGTCTTGGTCCTCAAACTTCACCGTGATTTCATTTCCTTGGACACTTTGAATGCTTAATTTCAGATATGCATACTTGGAGTGATCCCTGCATTGGTATCCATATTGTCGTCGTCGGCGGGATTACATTCAGGTAGTCTTCGTCCACTCTCTGTTCGACCGTCTAAATCCGATGTCGAGGTGTCTTTGGCTAAGGCTAAGGTAATGGGATTACTTTCACGATTGAACGATGGAGGCAACACTCCAACTGTTTCAGAATCCCAACTGCAGGCAAATTTGGAAGTTACTGTGAGTCGTAAAACTGTTGTACTTTGAAGCATTCAGTACAAGATCTCACGATACTGCTTTCCACGCAGACGTCACATTTGTCCTCGGTGCCCGTGACTTCGTTGGAAGCGAAGTCTGATGCAAGCTGGCGCTTGTGTCTTCCGACGGGACACCAATTTACCCTTGCATTTATGAAAGAAGTTCGAAGAAACGACGAAGAGGACTGTCAAAATAGCGTTCAAGTTTGTGAGAGGGAAATGGCTATCCACCTACCCGTTCTCGCAAGCGTTACACTTGGTAAGGGCTTCAGCTTTTGTCCAAATCCATATCCTGCTGAAATCATTCAGCTCCATACAGTTTATGTTTGGTTGTGCTCAGGTACTTTATGAGAACCATTAGGATAAGTAACTTCAAACAGGGATACTTAGGACTATTTAGATGTCAACAATTGCTAGTGGTCAAAACTGTGTTGAAAAACGTCATTAATATGACATCTCGTGAGTTTCTGGTGAAGTTTTTGATAAGTAAGACTTACAACTTATGTAATGAGTCTGAGTTGCATTTTGGATTTGGAGCTCTGTGTATGTGCTTCTGGTTTTTCGAGCCTTCCAGCAAGCAACAGCTCTTAATCGACTTATAATGCTCGTGTGCTTCTATGCACATTATATCACTACACCCTTGCTTTACATGGGTTGGTGATACAAAATATTTTCAAATAAACGGTTTTCCTTTCTGGCCAAACTAGGCATCTGTGGCAGAAAGCCTTTTCGTTGCTTGACCAACATTTATCAGAAATGATAGCTTACTATTTCTTATTCAGTTCGTCATTGTCTGGACGCCTTCCGATTTGGTCTACCAGAAGAAGTAGCTCTGCACCTTCTAGCGCGTTGGTTTTGCTACCGAAATCCTCCAAACGCCGACATTGGTGCCTGCGAACTCGCTTCTTTTGCTCGTTTTCTTCTCTTTACGTTTGGTCTCATCCCCGAGGGTGATTCTATTCCCACCTCTCCCATAGAAACTGATACTGCAAACATGAAACGCCTGAGAGAAAAGACAGATATCTCTACGGATGACCACGAGGAGGACGACATCATCATTGAACTGCTAAAGAGGTTGGAAAGTCCTTCCACTGAATTCGTTACTGCAATCAAAGACAGAGACGTACTGCGATGGCGTATTATGTGTCACCTGCCTGATGTGTTGTTTTGCCTCCATATGGTCTTCGAGGTATGCCACGGATTTTGGTCCTTTTAACTGGTTTGTTTTCACGTTCAGAATGACCAACTCAGTGTGCTTCTAGCTGAACAGATCAGAGTTTTGGCTGCTGTGAACCACATTATCGCTAGGTAAGCAGTTCTTGATGTTTCCCAGTCCCACTTTTTTGGGCAAAATACATCATCTTTTAACAATGAACAGCATCCACATGTGTGGTCGGAATCAGTTTACTCATAAAAACGATGATGACGTGTTTTCCGCAATTTGCATCTATTCTACAGCGGCATGAATGAGGAATGTGTTTTGTCAGCACACATCTTTTGAATAAAAGATGTCATACAAAGCATTAAGCCAAACTTCCGTATTTCCACCACTTCTACAGGTATGCGAGATTCTCCTCCTATGTCGAGTACTATTCAATGTGCGGCCTATCAAGCCTAACCCCTGATGACCTCTTCCCAATCCCCCAATTGCCTGCAGAAATAACGGAGTTTCTCCTCTGGTCGCCACACGCTCGAATAGCCTATCAAACAGTACCCTCTTTGAATCGTTGGTACCTGTCCACGCTGTCTGGGGAAAATCCGCCTGTTCCATATTTGTACCTTGCCGGTGTGAACGATATGCCCGCCGTCCTAGCTACTCTTGTTTTGTGCACACAGGGTGGAACCATAGAACAGGGTGTTGATTCGCTACGTCACATCATCACCTTTTGGATGGACAAAATCGGTCTGGTCGGCTATGCAAAAAGTCAGCTGGAGCAAAGCGATACTTCCGGTGGGTGATTTTTCAATGGTTTGGTAACAGCCTATTTTCTCATAACACTGCTTATGTGAATAGATGTCAGTTTGCATTCTAATATAATTAATTGCGGAACTAATATGGGTAAAAGATATCTGACATTACCTTTCATTGTGCGCATCTCTCTAGATCTCGTCAACGAAGCCTCGAAGAATCAAATTCTCCTTGCATTTATGACTGCTTTTGTCAAGGCGGAAATGGGAAGGTCAAACACCGTGCCCGAAGGCGATATTTCCTACCAGCGTGCAGTTCTTTTTCTCAGTGAACTGGAAATTCAATTGTCAAAGAAATTGGCCCAGATGTCACCGGCCTACGCTAGTATGATTCAGACCACTCTAGTCAAATGTCTGGCCCGTCCACCGGCAAATTGCTCGCCTGACGTCTATCGCTTAATCGGTAGGATTATGTTGCTCTGTATTCACCCACACTTCACGATTGTCTCATTTCGCCGGCTGTCGTTTTTTAAAAAAGCTGTTTAAATATTTTTTTTCGCTTCTTGTGCAAACCAGATTATCCACTATCCCTAATGTCTAAAACTTGTAAAGTACTTTGGCCTAATACTAACTCCCTTTACAGTTGATAAGTGTGATCATGCGGTGAAGGATTTTGGTAAGGCAATTTTTTCATTGAGGCGGAAATGTTTTCAGCCTTTTTTGAAAAAAGGTTTCGGTAATCATTTTGAACAAAGTTTGGAGGCACTGGGATGTCAGGTTAAGAGGTGCGCCGCTGCTTACTATAAATCAAAACAAGTTTATTACCAACGCAGTTCTATGTCCATCCAGGTCGTAGTGACATGGCGCGTCAGTTTGAAATCATGCAGAGCTCCAGCCTCCCGACTAGTAGAAGATGCAAACACCCCTCCAACATCCTATGCTCTTCGTCTTTGGGTTCTCGCCAGACCGATCGGACTGAAAACAGTTGCAGTAAGGGGTTAAATCCTGCTGAACGTTGGGGTAGTCTTGTGCATCCTCTCCTATCTACTCCAAGTGCAGATAACGCCCCTAATGGTTCCTACGTTTGCATGATGGTCTCCAGACATTTTCTGCTCACCACTCTAGAGAATAGTCCCTCATGTCAGGTCGCCTTTGAGGTTTGTCTCTTCACTTATTCAGGACGAAATCAATCACCGGTTCAGTCATTGCTTACGTTTGCTATTCTAGGATCTCCGTTTGCAGGAGGCTTACAAGATGCTGCAAACCAGTAGTCATATTTGGCTTCCGCGCAGTTGTAATGACGAGTCAACATTTGGACCGAAGTTGTTTCCTCAGCCCAACAGTGGCAGTGCCAATAGTAGCGAGGCTTCCTTTCTCTTAAGTATCGCCAAGGCTAGACTAGACATGCATCTGGCAGCAGCCTGTCTGCGCACCTCGGCTCAGCCCTTGGGTAAGGGTATGCTGGGGCTTGGCAGCCTGGTAGCTTCACCCCCACCTCTCCTGGCTGTGTACCCGCTGTGCCTCCGCGGCAGAGTCGTGGCTTCCTCCTCCTCTCTCTCTGCTCTCCCAATGCATCAGGACCTGGCGCGGGGCAGTCTGGTGGAGAGCAGGCGTCCAGCTGTTGATGCAGACAATGGTTTTGCTGCGTCCGACCACCCGGGCAATGCTACCGCCCTCGCAATCTTAGCAGCCGTCGTGGCTACTGGTTGTGCCGGCTCACTCAGGGTTAGTGTGTTAAGGAACGCCCTGTTTTAATTTCGTTTTTTTGTGTTTTATTCTCAGATGAAAGTGACCACGATAAATTTTATACGCTACGCTAGTATCTATTTTCCGGTCTGGGTAGCTTATTTTTCTTGCTATGTAGGGAAAGCTTCATTCGGCTTGAAATAACCATTACACAGTCTACTGCACGAGATAATTAATGACTTGTTTGTCTGATCACTTTGGGTCATACCCCTCAGGATTAGTGTTTCTTGGCACCTCATATAACTATTTCTTATTATTAGACCTGTATTCGATATTTTAAGATCATTTGCGATCCTTTATATAGAAGCTTCTGAATAGGATGAATCCCACTAGTAGCTAATTTGGTTTGCTTTACTTGGGTTATCCTGTCTTGTTTTCATGGATGATTTCCTCACCGTTACATCTATTTTTTGTAATTTTCATCATATGAATACAAATTGGCAGTTGTTTACAGAGCTAAGCTACTTATTTGCCTATTTGATTCCAGACTGCCTGCTCCTTATCGCGCCTTATGGGCCCAATTGACACAGGCACGCTCGCAACCAGTGGTGCGGAAGGTGGAGGAGGTGCAGTTACCCGCCAGCTAGTGACCACAGCTTCCAGCGCTGCTCTCTCTGCTGCCTCTGCTGTCTCCTCCAGCAACTTGCCCCACGCTCCTGCCGTGTTAGCCGCACAACACTGGCCGGAGTTTCATAATGGTGTGGCCGCCGGTCTCATGGTCTCACCCCATGCCTCAGTAAGTTACATCTTGTATTTATCTACAAAATTCATTACAAAAGCATCGATGAAATTGTCCGAGTCATTCATTCGTACGTCGTAGATTTTTTTTGAAGACGTCATGATGTATGGAATTTGAGGCATATAGGAAAACCGGGAAGGCCCGCTTCTACCTATTCTGGCCTCGAGACTGGAGTGGATGTCAAGTAATTGACAGTTTTAAAAGTTCTACCGTAAATTTTGCAGACTCGGTCAGCTACAGCGAAAGCCTTCCTTCTGTAACGCTTTTTGTTTAGTATCCACTCAACGACACCTCGGTTGTCCTTTTAGAACAGGTTTGCAAACGTGGTGTCAGAACGGTTTTTTTACAGTCAAGAGACGGTCATTATTAGCTCCATACCATCAGCGTTGCAGTCAAACCACGGGCCAATTCAGAATTTCGCGTACCCAAGTGCAAAAATGGTACAAGGATCAATCTTAAGCAGTACTTTAATGTGAAAACTGATTTTCTGCATTCTACACACCACTCCGTTTGTTCCCTGACTTATACGACCCTTTCGCTATTTACTCATAGCTAGTCTCTGACTTCACTGGCTATTATGTTTCTCTAGCAATACACGATTAAATCGAATTTTGGTACTCATGGACTTAGAGTTTCGAAGGTATTGTTTCTAATGCATGCATATGTGCATTTGATCGAAGTTAGAAATCACAGACAAGTGTATCATTCGCACGATAACTGCTCTCACGTCTATGGAGTTGTGTACACCAATCCACTTTATCATGGTTGAGTCGAAATGTATGCTTTTTATTAAACGCATCTGGTACGTTTTCTGAAGTCTTTTCTTGCTTCTCTGGACTTCTGAAAGCCTAGATATTTTAAAATCCCTTATTAATAGCGTCCTTTGTCACTTCTAAATGATAATCCTTCCGTGAGCAATAGTTGTCTTATATTTATATTGACAAATTAACATCCCTATGCAGATTGATACTACGTGGATTGTGCAGAACTGTAAGGCCATTGCATTTGGAGCCTCGACCTCCGCAGAGGTGCTCAACTCAACTCCGCCCTCTGCGTGTCCCTATTCGCCCACTCAGGCCGGCTTCCTCTTCGGTCTCGGCTTGAATGGCCATCTGAACAAACTCTCGCCTCACCACATTCGCGAATTTACCATTCAGGTGCATGACCTCAACAATGCTGCTGTCATACTGGGTATGTCTAAATCACTACCCCACTTATCGTGATTACTGAGCTAGTCTGCTTTGTCCACTCTTACATTCACGTGTGTGACTGCTCGTTTACTAATCAGGTCTGTGTGCTGGCAAACGCGGAAGCATGGATCAGGCTGTTCTACGATTGCTTGCTGTACACTATCGGCCTTTGCTCTTGCCGGAGCCGGTTCTGGTAGACATGAGTGTACCCTCGTTGTGTCAGGCTGCGGCTGCATTTGGTCTGGGTCTCCTCTTCCAGGGTTCTGCTCACCGACATATCGCCAGCATCCTACTTACAGAGCTGGGCAGACCTCTGGGCGGTTCGCAAACGGGCGCTGGTGGCAACGCGGTTGTTTCCAACGATCCTGCGACAGTTGGCGGAGAAGTTACAAACAACAACGATCCCTCTGCTTCTGACGTCAATGGCCCTAATGATCACAAGGTAGCAACTGCCGGCGGTGCAGGTGGCTTTGCTGGTGATAATCGCGAGCTCATATCTCTCTGCGCTGGCTTCGCTTTGGGCTTGGTCTTACTGCAGGTACGTTCTCCTCAATCTCACAATCATCTCGCCTTCATGACCAGTGACACCACAATTTTCGTTTGCTTACTTCACTTTAGCATGGCGATTCACCGTGTGGTCTATCAGATCTGGCTGTTGCAAACACGCTCTACGCCTACATGACGGGTGGACGCAGAGATTCAAGTTTCTATAACCTGGATGCCTGTTTTGAAGGCCATGATCAGACAGTCGATGCTCTCCGTGTAGAAATTCCCCGACCACTTGCTGGTTATCCGTTGGAGAAGTATCTTCAACCTCATTTACTAGCTGTCTTGGGGCGTTCCCGCATGCTAATGAAGAAGCCTTATTGTGCCACCTCCATTCTCGCAACTCCTAATTGTGTCTCCTCCATTCCTACGGAGGAGCTTGCTGATTTGGGTCTTCCGAATCACCTTGGGGCAACACATTCTGCTAACGCCATCTCAATTTCCGAATCTAATCGGATGCTAGCTTCCGTGGATCCCTTAGAATCTGTTATTCAAGATACCCTACGTCGAACCGCGGAAGGAAGAACGGTAGAAAATTCGCTCCCCACGCCCTCTGCAGCACTTCACGGGTCCTTTTCGACACGCTATCAGCGCGTAGCCCCAATCGGTGCAACTGTCCATTCGACTCAAAGCCAACAGATTAGGGAGCGCGATTCCTACAATAACGATGTTTCTGCTCCAGGCGCCATAATAGCTCTCGGTTTTGCCTATCTTGGCACCAGCAATGAAACGGTTTCGAGTTGGTTGCAGGCACCAAATACCTATCGTGAACTAGAGTTGGTGCGGCCTGATATGCTTGCTCTTCGTATCATTTCTTGGGGTCTGGTAAACTATAAAAGTGTAAAGGCCACTGTTGAGTGGATACAGGCTCGACTCCCAGCGTGCATTGTTAAGGTGTTAATGCCGGTGCCACTGAAGGAGGGTGTAGGTGCTGCAACGTCAGAGGAGATGAATGATCCCACATCTCCGTTGGTTATGTCCACCGAAACTGATATCGAAAATAGAGGACCACGACGTCGAGCACCACCCAGTGAAACGAGCAATTTGCGTGGAATCCCGACTCGAAGGCAACCACTTTCACCGAAGTTACCTATAATTCAACCCTGCAGTCCATTCACTCTACCAGAAGCTTCCAAGTCTCCAATAATAGACTACTCAACGATCAGGTAAGGTAGTATTTATCAGTTTAGTGTGTTTTAAAATTATAGTGAACTATTACGGTTGAGTTGCTTCCTCTTAGCCAAGCCTACCTAAATATTATCGTTGGTGCTTGCTTTGTGATCGGGCTAAAATACGCTGGAACCTGCGACTCGGAAGCAGCAGAGCTTTTGGTATGTCCTTCTTTATCGAAGTTGCCTTGACCATATTTCCAAGCTCATAGATACCTCAAAACTGCGTATCAACTTACTCCTTCAAAACAGATGGGTCTACTAGTCATATATACAGCATTGAATCCGTGATTTAAAATATTAACCTTATTGTAGTATGTTTGATTGTGAAATGCTGATTGCATGTATCATTTTCGTTGTTATTAGCATAAGGTGACTGTTAGCATTCTCACCGGCGACTGGTGGCCACCGAACCGAGCCACTTTCACTGAAACGACGACGATGACATCTTCCCCTTCGAGCACACTGTCAAATTCTTTCATCACAAATATACCGCCACGGCTGTACGATCTACCTCCCATGGAGCACTCGGTGCGATATGCCGCTGCAACCTGTCTTACCGCCCTTGCAATGGTGTTGGCGGGCTCGGGAAGTTTGACTGTCCTACGAATGGTGCGCAAACTGCGAGCTATTCGCTTCTTTGGTCGCTGTCCTAAGACAGTTACGATCTCCTCAGCCGTGTCACCAAGCTGGCCTTCACCGGCGGAGACGGCCAGGCTCTTCCAGGTGGCTGCCGCTGTCGCACAGACCACGCCCAGCATCCAGGTGGGGCCTAACAGCAATCCTGCTAATCAACCCGTTTCGACAGCTGCTCTTCTTGGCTCTGTGTTGGCCCCAGACTTTGGTCTACAGATGATTTATGGCAGTGTTGTCGGCCTACTCTTTTTGGGTGGAGGAAGGCAAGTTGACCAATGTTCTGCTTCTTCTCAAGATTGGAGCACATCATTTCGTTGCTCCAGAAGAATTGATTTGGACTGTCACGTGCCTTCATTTTAATAATTAGGTTTAGGAGCTTATGCAAATTTTTGATGTGATACCACAGTAGTCCGTATTGGCCAAACTGAAGAAAACTTAGGAAATAGAAAAATTATAGATAAATGAATACTGGGTCACATACAACGTTTAGTAGTTGAATTCACCACTCGATTCATCCAGATAAATGAATAGTGATTCGTGCCTACGATTTTTGCACCATGAATTTTTTAAATTTGCGTTATGAGCTTGGTGCTTCACCTTAAAATAATAATGAGATAATACCATAAAGTGGAAGGAAAAGTCAATTAGAACGCCCAATGAATGGATTTGCGTTTGATTCTAATTTGTTTAATGAAAGATAAACTCATTGAGACATATGCTGTATAATTGTGAATTACGGGTTTTATGGCTGTTTTGAGTTCCCGATCCTACTATTTAGAGTAGTAAGTAGTGCCTTTTGTGCGTCCTACTGTTCCAAGCGTTAAGTTGATTTTGTTAGTCATATGATCTTTCAGGCGTTTTGGCTTTCAACATTTGCACACTTAATAGGCTGTATTAGTGTTGCTAAACTATTTTCTCATTTAACCAGTCAGTAAACCTGATCTAAGTCTCTGAAAATCAGAAATGAAGGTATTTGAAATTAACGATTAAATGAAGAGGAAGCAAAATGCCTCTAATGGTTGGCATGCATCGTGGCCTGCCTTGCGTGTCAAGAGTTGGTGGATTTGGTGGACTAAGTTCAATTCAGCGTGTCTGAACCTGACCTGACTTTCAAAATTGTGGATATGCAAGGTGGTGGACCAATAACTCACTCTTTCTTCCGCACCTGTAGTGATATGAATGTGTTCAGGGTGTATTTTCGGACTAGTAAGTGCAAAGTTGCAATTGCCTCAGGCATTGGGTTCGAGAGGCAATGTCTGTGGCATTTTTGCATGACCATCCTCTGTTTTTCCTACCCATCTGTGAGGTGTTGCATTGCCATTACAGTTTACATATGTATATTCAGGTTTGTGGGGCAGTTTTGTAGAGATTGTGATTAGATGCGGAAAAAAATCCCATTATTTTCAAAATAAGCCATTTTGTCATGGATCCAATTTGGTGGCGCTGATAATTCATTTCAAAGTATCAACTAAGGTGTAGGGTGAGGCAGGGATGTAATTAATAGCCATATAGCCACATAGTGCACTATTTGATGGTTTGAAGCCTGAATCTAGTGCTGAGAATAATGGGCTGCAAAGGATACAAGTAGATGGAGAGAAAGCTTGTATGTCGTCCAAATTAATCGGTGGGGGGTCAATTGGCATGCAAGCAACTGCTTCATCACATGCCGCACGACCATTTTTTTTCCCGTAGGGGAGGTGGATACTGAAATTTAACCAACAGGATTTGTCGGACGTCTAACAGATTTCTCACTTTATGCCCTCTCAGAGAGTATTTGTTTATCAGAATGCTTTAACCAGAAAACGCCCAAATTTCATCACATCTTTTTCGTTACCAGCCTGAACAAAAAGTCATTTCCGAAGGTTTGGTCCACGTTTCTTTTTTTTCCTGAATTTTGTTTGAGGTATAAGGTACATAATCTAATAAACGTTTGACAGTTCGTTTTTTGAGTCCAAATTTCGTTATTGCTAATATTAGGGAAGTCGATGTGCAGATTTTCATCTTGGCTGGCTGCGTGACTCGTACAACTACATTGTTATAAACGCTTGTGAGATTGTAGCGCCACAGTCCCTCTTGGAGACGTTTCAAGACGTGTAAGTCTGGCTGGAATTTTATCATAGCTGTCTAGAAGGCTTGGTGGACCTTTAGCAGGAATGATGCGCGAAGTGTCATGCCGCCGACATGACGACCGAAATTGCGCAGGCTAAGGGGCACTTGTAGTTTGGTTCACAATTCAAACGTCTATTGTTTCCTTGTGGTGCTCCATAAACGATATTCTCTGAAGGTGTTTTGTCGTTGTTAGATTGTTTTTTTCTAATCACCTTCGAATTGTTACATATTTCAATACTGCATTGCACTTTGTTGGTTGGAATAATTTTTGTACGGATAATTTAGCCAAAAATTTTTAAAGCATCACCAATTTCTTATTGTTTTAGGTTGACCCTCTCTAACTCTCCAGAGGCGGCGGCTTTATTAACAATCGCATTTTTCCCACGTTATCCCATTTATGCAGGCGACAACTGGTAAGATTATCAGCTCTGCGTCTGAAAAATCCTCCCCCTCCAAGTTCTGTTTGCAAATCAGAATTAACGTATTTATGGTGTGATAGTTCTACTCTTTCACCATAAAATGTGTTCTTTCATTTAATTGCTTGTCAACTTATTACTAAAATGTTGTTTTAGCCCTTTAGCTCGTATGTGAAGTGACTGTTTTTGCAGGAAGCAAGGTCTATACTTTGGCATATAATTACTGTGTTTTCAAGTTGGAGCCATCCGGAAGAGTTTAAAAGTGTCGTTTATTCAAGTCTTGATGGAAGCAGCGTCTGTAGTTTACCAATTCGAATGTGGCTTTCTTAGGGTTGGTACTTAATCTATGACCCTTAGAATCTTACCTATAACTGTGGGCGTTTATTTTCGTTTGTGACATTTAGGTATCATTTGCAATGTTTGCGACACCTCTATGTACTCGCCACCGAACCCAGACGCCTGTGTGGAGTAAATGTTTCAACGAATCAGGTCGAGCCAGTATCCTTGAAGTATTGGTACAAAGTTAGTCCTGTCTCCCTTTACTATAACCCCTAAAACACATCATTCTTCTGCAGATATCCTTTTTACTGCGTATTTGTTTTTGAAACGATGAGGTTTATTGCGGGTTCCACGATTTTTAAACGTTAAAAGGAAGCAGCTTTATTCAATTCCAACCTTACTACTATCCCAACTTGATAATATGTCTGGATGTCAAACCCGAATGGCGCATATACGAAATGACGTTATTTCCTAGTTCTGGCATTTTATTTATTACCTCATAATGGTGTCAGTAGAAGCCTTTGGGTAGTGAATTGATGACACTTGTCATTTGTGGTCTTTTTTCTCCTTCATTTACCATGCTATGAAACCAGATCATCGTTAGAACAATTATTATTATTATTAGGATCCAGTTTGTTCTCGTGAGCTTTTTGTCGATTTTCTTTTCAGGATAAACCTGGATGTTGTATTTCCAACCGAACAGCCGTTTTCACCTCTGACTTCTGGGAGCGTGGATCCAGTGTAAGCTGCAATTCTCCATCAAACTTTTTTACAGTATTTCGGATTTTGCATTTGTTGGCTAGAATTTGTTTATAAAGTGGTGCGTTTCAACTGTTTTTTTTGACCTCATATTATGGGACTTTCTTTTGAAATTCCAGATTCAGCTCTCTTGTGGCAAAGCATCTACCACTTTTGAACGTGGAACTGCTGAATGGAAATTGCTGAAGTTCGTTATCTAACACCAATTGATAGCAAACCTTGACCTGTGCAGGCTTTACAAATTTGGTCTTTTATTGCCAATTAGAAAGTCATTGGACGAGGCTGGATTCTTTTTCGTCACCAAAGCACCTTTTCCCGATCCACATGCACACTTTGAAGGAGTCGTAAGTTACGCTACATTTATGGTTGGCCATTTTGCGACTTTAATAGTCCCAAAGTTATTGTGAAACTTTTTTTCCCTGCCTAGATCAAAACATGTCTAACCAATTGGACTCAGCCGATGTGTATGTGGCAACTGCGGCTAATAGCCACTTTCCTTGCTTCTGAGTGCCAAACTCAAATAATCGGTAACAAGTGGCCGGATAAAATATTCCGGTCTTCTGGCGTTCTTGCTCAGTCTCTTGCAATGCAATTAATGGACCAATTTCTTCTCCACGCTGGAGGTAGGATTTGGCACCTTGGTCTACATTTAACAGGGGAATGCTGTAGCATTTTTTGACACCAGCTGGTTCAGTTTTCCAGACAAGTAGAGGTGAAGGTTATGTTGTTCGGGTTATTGTCTTTGTGTAACTTAGTTATAATTTAAGAAAAGCATTCTCAAAATCATGTTGTGGGTATCTGTTAGCACACTTTCAATAATCGTTTATTGGAATGTGCATACTTAGCACAGTGCCTTTATGTAGTTTGCGTGTCTTTTCTTCCGCGTTTTAATCTCTTCTGTACCCGTCTTTGGGTTTATATTTAAAGAAATTGGTGAACATCTACATCAAAGGTCTTCGGGTATATTTCCATTCGAAGCGATCGTAGATGTGACTTGTTACTTCCTTTTATACATTATGAGTTTTGGCAGGAACCATTGTATTTGGAAGGAGTGTGTTTTGCATTATTTCCTGTGGAACATCTCCTCTGGTAGTAGCTTTTGTTTCGTGTATTTACTCCAACCTCATTTTATCACTCTAGATTTAATTCCTTGTGTGTGCTACTTCTTCAGTATTTTCTTTCTTATTTTAAAGATATTCAGAGAGGTCTTCATGTCTACTTCTTTGGAGGTGCTTCAGAGAAACGGTCCTTACCCTCCGATGTTCGAAGGAAAACTATCAGCTTCCGTATCTGGTTCTCCCTTCTTCCATCCAGCCAACTTAGAACACTTTTGCCTATTCGTAAGTTCATGGATGTTGTTCTGGCCTTGCGGATTTTTCAATTTGTGAATATACAGCCTGACTTGCATAATTGCCATCAATACATCAAACTGTCGAATACGTAGTCGGCTATTTCCACCTAATTATTACTCTCTAGCCAACGGAGATCAGGCGGTATCTCTTACTGAATTTTTGGTATCAATCAGACCAGTTAAAGGTGTGATCGACCCACAGACTGTCTACTGGTTGTACAAATTTTTGTATACCACATTCTAATATTTGTTAGTTGTCAAATAAATCCTCTTTGCGCCAAGCACATTGTTTTCTTTAAGTTGGTCTCCCGTAGTGCATTATGCAGCTGCGGTAGACCTTATTTATCAACTTTTGACCTAAGTATACTATAGTTTTGCTACTAATATTTTCTTTTTCATACACGTTTTGTGTGTACAAAGGATGAGGAATTCCTATTAAAGGTCAGTATCCATATATTTGTGATTGCTTTTTTTCATTTGGATGTCATTCACTAACTTGAGATAAGCCGTCGCCTCCGTGTGTAGCTGAAATTCGTGTTGATGCATCTTTTCGGTGGCCTTCTGTGAAATTGATCTGTATAAGGCATCATCGGCAAGGAGTCTCTCCAAGCAGCCCTTACATTCCTTAAGGAAAATAAGGTGTTATGCAAGGAGGTAGAGGCTCTGCGAGATGAATTACCACTTCCAATTCTGAATGGTGGTGTATGTTTAAGTAGAGTCCAGCAAATGATTGATGAAACTCACGTAAGGTGAATCAAAAATCAGTCCTGTCTCACCGTGGTCGATGAGGTCCTTGTTGGCAGAAATGTTGCGAGCTACTACTGGACATCCAAGCGTCATGGCCTAAGTTAAGGAAGATAACATTCAAGTCTATTCTCACCTCCATGATACTCAGAGGTTGACCCTCACTCAGGGAAGAGTTGATCAGGCATATAGCAGCGGTCATCAAGGCGTGCACCTGTGGTTGTGGAATTGACGCCATCCAGTGAATGGACTCGTGTCTAGGAGCATGTTTTGTGGAACATAAATAGTGCTTATAGTTTATTGGCCTCAAAGATGAGGAGATTTGGAAAAACGTTTTTATAAAAGGCGTAGAGTGTACTTAGAATGTGCCTGATCCTGTCTTAATCGTGTCGAGGCCGTTTTCCGATTTTTACAACATTTTCACCCATTATATTATAAGCTCTGTGCACAAAGACTTACTTGTCGACCTCCGATAGGAAAGACTGAATTTCATCACAATCTTCTTCCTAAAAGGGATGACTTATGATTAAAGGTAATTTACTAACAACTGAGCCGACATATAGGAGTTGAAGGTGGCGCGTCGACCTATCTCGTGCGAGTTCTGAATTGGATAGGTGGTAAGCACTTGCGTTGGTTCATGCCTCCTCTCAAGCCCCACATTTTATGTTTACGACTTACCAAGAAATGGCTGGAGAATGTATTTTGGATCTTTTATGGGTCTCAGTCGGCCCACGAAGAGGAAAAAGCTGTCCAATTTAGTGTGGAGTTGAGATTCTATCATGGAAATCATATTTCGATTGTCTACTGCCTCGGGTCTGTTGACGAGGACAGCTGAAATACAGGATGGTATAGAAATTTTCCATGCATAAATCACAAATATTAATGTTTAAATAATTTTGTTTAAAATATGTTGACTAGAAAAACACTACTGTGTAATGAGCTTAAATGTGTGTAGCTTGTCTGCATAAGTTCTACTTCTTCTCCTTGTTAAATTATCCCAGAAACTTTTCCAGTTGAGTAGTTGGTTCTACTCACAGATGTACTTTGTTATCCAGCTGCAATGACCTCTCTTGTTTATTTTGTTTATCAATGTTGAACTTGGGTCAATTCCACTCAAATAAATTTTGCGGTTCTACTATCACCGGTTACTCGGTTCATGCATTTGACTAGCATTATCGCCCTCTTTTATAAAATAATCTTTTTTTTGAGAAGCGGTCAGCTCAGTCGATAAAAAGTATGCATTTATCATAAATAAGAAGAAATGAGCGCCATTTAGGAACTCCTAGCCTAGCAAGCACAATGGTAGCTTAAATGGAACTGTTCTTCACTTACATTGTGGAATAGTTCGGAGAATGCCTTGATAATTGGGCTGAAAATGGGCGCACAGTAAGTAGCTTTATTTTTCTCATCTATCGTTTGGGTTGAAATATGGTAGAAATTTGATTAGAAAAAGTTGGATAGAAACAGCCATAAGTTGAGGGTTGCCATTGCCACAGAGGGCAGAAAGACTACCACTTTTGATAGCAAAGGCTTTTAGGATATGTCCTCTATCATTCAAATTCCTGATAGTCACTTTCAGCGAAGAGATAGAAAAGTGCCGACGTCTGGAGATGGGGTGGGTATTACAAGCGCCGCTCTCTGCATCGCTTACTTATCTACCACAAGTTTGGCGTGTGCTATGAAGGCTACCGCCTGACTTACCCAAAATTGTAAGAAGCGACTCCTCAAGGACTCACAAAAAGTTACAACAGCGCTAAACACAATGTAGAGGTATTAAGGGAGCACATTTGTCCAAAAAAGTGCAAAGTTGTAGTCTTGGGGACAGCCTTACCTACTCCTGCTGATAGCTTCTGACATCCGTCTCAATTTTTGTGGAGACTTGACATCCTCATTGACATCTGTGCCTCCGCAAATAAATATTAATTTTGTATTCTTTGACACGTCTGCAAATATACATACCGTGATATAATTTGCTTCTTGATACAAATACGGTTTTAAATGGGGACAGTTTACGGAATTACTCAGTAAGTTTTAGTTAAGTTCACTTTATAATGCAAATGGACCTATTTTTTGAGTCACCATGACGAAATACAATTTAAAGGTAATTAAAAGTAAAGACAACACGCACGTGAGGAAAGAAAGGAAGTTTGATAGATATGCAGTCCCATCATGACTGTTGAGCAGGATGTTGAATCCTCAACAATTGGGATTGCATTTAAATCCATTCGTTGTACATCAACATTTTTCTCTACCTCCTTGATACCTCGTCTAGTGAAGGTAATTATGCAAAGAAAAACTCGTGTCTACTCAATTCGTCGGACTGTTGTCAAATTTCCGCATGCGAAGGTAGACTTTGAAACCAAGTACAATCGAGATTTCCGTGTTTGTGACTTATTCTTTGTTTGTGGTGTGGGATTATGCAAGGCAGACATAATTGACAAGTGTTATCGTCAGACTACTTTAAATTCTGGCAAAAATTAGCCAGTGGTAGATCAGCGACCAAGTGACAACCGATCATAATTAAGAGGGGGCTCCACCAATCAGCGCTTAGAACGGCAAAACAACTTGCAATCCGCTACTTCAGTGGGTAGTGGGACACGTTTTTTGGTGAAATGGTTAAGTACGGTTGCATGTAGGATAATACAATCAACACGTTTTGGAAATTATGTTTGTTAAATAACTAGTGAAGCGTAGTGGGACCTCATGGGTTATCGCTCGAGACAATTTTGCATTTATTGACAAATTTTATTTCCTACCTTATTTGTTGAATAAAATAAGTAATAATTACTGTTGTAGCTGAGTTGCGAAGAGCGTCTACGGCACAAATATCAATGGAGTGGAAAATTGGCAAATAAGTGAGAGCATATTCCATCCGTATTTAGCCGAATAAAACCATTTCCTATTGGATAAATGCAAATTCTAGTTAGTGAGGAGGTGATCAGAAATGTATCATTTAAACCATACGGCACAGTAAGTCCAAACTTCATATTCTCATGTCTTGAGCGAAAAACCCCATGATTTCAGAATGTGACTTTTAAGACGTGATTTATAAAACGAAACTCGGGGCTTTGTCTGAGTGGCCTTGTTTCTCAAAGGCTGTTACGACAGACTGCATAACTTTCAGAAATTAAATATCATTTTTGTAACAACGCTTCAGTGTCTGGCACCTACAGCACAAATCGGTTTTTGTGATTCCAAGCAAGTACTTGGTTTACCATAACCATCAAGTTGAATTCAGAGGTTTATGTCTACAATGCGATCACTGTATATTTGTCCAAATTTGGTAAAGTCATTACGGTTAAGCATTAGTAGAAATAATTAGTTGGTTTGTATATAATACCTGTGGGAAAGTAGTCCCACTTTATGCGAACAATGAAAAAGTTAGCATTGGCGGTGACTCTAAATTAGGATACGAATGTGCATGACAAACACACCCAATTCTCCGTATTGCTTGAAGTATAGTCCTTTGATCCTGCTCGTGATTTGACGGATTATTACGTCTACGGCGGCAAAATTATGGCCTTGATTGTCTGAAACCAAATTTCAAAAGAGATTCTCAATTGCCACTTCCCAAAGGTCCTTGGGATGTGCTTCACACTTACTGTGACTCGTTTCTCTGTAATTCGAAAGTGGTTTTCTTATTCGTTACCGATGCACTGTGATTAGAGCAATAATGTACGCTACTGTTGTATCAGTTAAACACAGCATAACGCCCTTTTATTGGCGACTTTGTGACTATCTGACTGCGTAATTATGCGCATGATCAACACAGAAATTTGCATAACCCAACCAAGCAGAGATAGTTCGATAGACTACTTATTTATGTGTATGTCATTAAAATACCCTAAGTGGCAAGGGACTTGTACAATTTAAAAGCGTTTTAGATTAATTATTTAAGTATCTTAACCTATCACTTCATGATAAGGAATTGTTACGTAATAGGGGATTATGGGAGTACCGGTGTAATGCTTTGTTTGCTTAACTCTGTTTTGGTGACGGGGTCACTTGGTGTCTCCGTCATGACGCCTTCCCCCGGCGGGTGAACTCCCAGCTCATACCATTAGCCCAAAGCCCTTCTGCACGTCGACAATACCTGTCCTGCCCTAGTACTCTGTCGTCTCTTGTCTTAAGGGAAGTCTCGGGGCGCTACAATCTGGAATGCTAGGTAGTTGAGGTTATATTAAAATCTGGTTATCTCGTAAGTTGATGCTACTAGAATTGGGAATTCATGAGGTCTTTAAAAAGCACAATATTTGTTCTCGCAAACTCGCTAACTAATACGCCTGAAAGGGGCCATTGATCTGCTTGCAGCCAAACAACTCGCAATCTAATTCGAATGTGGTTTAAATATGTTATCGGGGAGACATGCACCCTCGTCTGTAGGCCAATAATTATGTGCCATTCTTAGACTGCTAAAGCTAAAATAAGCAGTGACTTGAATTATTTGCAATTATAATAAATTTGTGACTTTCATGAATGCAATTTACTTGGCCCACTTCAACTGGATTATGATTACATATATTTATGCCAAAATCTTGTTCTCCTGTTACCTATTATCGATTGCCCGACTTTGCAGTCGATGGGCGCATACCGATTTGGCACCATCAGTCTCATCCGATTCTGCTTTGAGTTGTGTTTTCCCGTTACCTACTATCGAATGGGTACTTTTGAGATCGATAAGCCCACATCCGTTTGGCATCATCGGTCTCTAATTTCTACTTGAACTTCCTCCCCCCCCCCCCTTTGCTGCCTATTATCGATTGCCTTATTACGCGATCGGTTGTAGCACATTGGTTAGGCTTCATCATTCTCATCTAATTTCAAGGGTTCCATTTGCAGCCGAGACTAAGTTCTGGGAAGAGTAGGAGACTCATCGAATTTTTGCAGGGGTTTTGTTCACCTGCTGCCAGTTATCGATTGCACCCGATTGCGATTGATAGGTGCCTTATCAGTTTCATCAAATTTTGACGATTCCATTTGCAAAGCTAAAAACACTAACGCAAAGTCTTTTGAGTAAAATTGGTTGTGCCACATTAAAAAAGGGGCTATAAGTACACTTTTGCCTTCCCCAAAATACGCAGAGAATTAGTTGATATCGGGAAATACTGCAGTAGGTTCGAAATTTATTGCATCCGTCGTTGTCTTCATTCCCTTAGAATGGGTAGAATGATTAGAGGGTGGTGTTATAGGCGGTACCAGAGTACATTTCCACGCCCACTGGCCGCCGCCTCTGGCCTGGAAGGCGTATTTAAACAAACATGGATTACAGTACGCCTTTACATTACTGGATTATCATTTCTGACCAAAATTTACACTGTTCTCTCAAATTCTTGTAACAAAATCCCCTTTTGACCAACGACACCTTCAGAATATAGAGAAGCACAGAAGGACAGGTTACAAAATAACCCAGATGCGCATTGTGGCTGAGGAAGGCAAATATGGTGGATCGATAAACTTAAGGTTTTGTAGTCATTATTAACATTAAATTGTGCCAAATAAACAATTAATCTGTTGCAGCGAGAAGCTATTATCTTTGCACTTAGTATTCATACAGTGTAAATCGAACTCATGATTATGAACTAAGTTTTATAATTGCAACAGCATTTTGAATTGATAAGGTATTGTGATCTCAATTTAGTACTTCTAGAAAAATTGCTATTTATGCCTCCGATTTATGACCCGGATTGTTGATTATTTTGAACATGGGGTTGTTCTTTTGGCGGATTTTTCTTGTTATCTAACTTGTGCCATACAAAATGTGTCCCCTCGAAGAGGTCACACGGGTTCGTCAGCAATTTCCACAAAATTTAAAATCTCATATTTGTTCAAGGCAATTCTGAAGGATTTATGGTTTTTAACAGCCGAATTTCAAACTTGGCGCAGATTGTAAGTCTGTAGAATGGCTATATAACTTTAGCAAAAATAAACTTATACATATGTATCGGTCCTCTCAAACTTATTACCTTACAATCACCACTGAGGTAATAAACTCACATAATTCCGAAATGGGCTTTCATGTTCACTCACTTAAACAATGCACTTGAGGTCGGTTTAGGCGGTGTCACTTCCTTCCTCCGTGAACGGTTTCCCCGATATAGTTGGTTGTTTAAGTAGTAAATTGAGCATGGAATCCCCTGGGTGATATTTATGCGTGTGCTAGATAATATAAATCCAAAAATTTCCTCCCAAAGGCATTGCACACTTTAAACACACCCTTTCAAGTGCTCAGTGTACCTCTCTACGCATCACTCTAAGGTGCATGACCTTGTTGCTATCTTAGCATCCTTAAGGTGATGAGCACACAAGCAGCACCCGAGTGCAAGCTTTGTATCGGAATTGCTTTGTTTGGAATGCTGGCCTAAGAAGTGTTGCAAATTAAAAATGCATCATACATTATGCAAACAATCGGAAACAAATACTTTGGTTTGCATTTCTGCCACTGCCAGCCACTGTTTAAGTAGGTAACAGTCACATTATGAGATGCCAAGTTTTAATGATAGATGCATGGATGAATACATACAGAATGGATCGATGGGTGGATATGGGATGGATGGATAAATTGTCGATCGCTCAGGCAAACTGTTTAATTGTCATTTGGAGGGGTTAATAAATGTGCGGATTTATTGTTAGAAAACAATTGAGTAGTTTGACGCATTGAGAGCTAATTTGACATTAGTTAAATGGCTCCAAAACGGCTGAAAGAGCAATAGACGGAAGGCCCACCAGTAATATCCACTCTGGAGTCTCAACAATCGCCTCACGTGAAAATGCACGCTATGTGTCAGTGAGTCAGTGCACAAGGTGCATTTTTACTAAGGAAAATAATTTTTACTTTATTATTAAGCCAAGTGAAAGAATATTTTGCATAAAAATTAACCAAAATACACTGACAAGTTTCGATGTGCGCTTCCGTTTGACCTCTATTGTGACCATTACTTCCAAAGGAATTTCGATATTCTCAGAAGCTGCCGAAGTGGAAGAGTTGGAAGTGGAACCCCTATCCAGATTGAAATATAATTGCCTATTGTGCATCTACCCATAAAAATGTATATTTTGCTTACTGTTTCGAATAAAAAAATTCTGTTTCCCTGCAAGATCTTACGCTTTTAAGTCAATTAATCTATGGAATTATTTCCCAGCTCTGCCAGGAAATCCATGACTGGCAAGCCTCCTGCAAGGCGTGACCTACTCTCTCTTACATCCATGTGACCCTCAAACACGAGGCCTACAGGTGTTAAGCATTTGACACTCGGAGAGCGTGCGCGCGAGAGTGAGGGCTAATGTAACAAACAGGGAATGGTATTTACACAGATGTAAATTAGAGAGCATGGCACTGGATCCTCACCACTCACTCACTCATTCACTCTCACACAGGCACGCACATTGGTTGAATGATAGAGGTTGCCAAGACAGAAGCCGTGAAAGTAGCAGCATCAACGCCGCGCATGCACACTTTACCGCACCTCACAGCTCGCCTCTCTCTCGCTCCATTTTCACACGCACGGAGGTACTGGCACAGGCAAGCACACACACAGACACACAACTGCACCTATCTCTGCCTCTTGAAATACCAACGACTGCCGCACCTTTGCTCTCGGATAACACATTTCGTAGTTCTACGCCGTGATCTCACCCTCCGTGTTTGAAAAGGCACAGATGTCAATCCACAGCAGTGCTACTTCTTTACCCAGGTAACAAGTTCACCACCTTTTTCTCCAACTTTAAGGATTCACTTTTGCCTTAGGCGAGATTTTAGCCCCCCACGATGTTGTATTAAATTTATCATGTCAAGATGCTCTTTAATAGGTAATAAAGTTAGGTACTTAAATTCGTTTCACTAATCACATTTTGTCGTTAAAAAATTTACTTGTGACTGAACAACACAGGAAAGCGTTTTACATATCCATTGACAATGCCAACTTTCTCTGGCACCTCAAATTGCTTTTTGATCCAAATTTCATTAGCGTTTTTTAGTATAAAGTAGATCAGAACTGACCACACATGGATGATGTCTTATGTAGCGCCCCGAGTCATCCTTAAAGTCGTCAAGTCACAGTAGCATGGCAGATACACAGGATTGACGCATAGAAGGACTGAGAGGCTACTAGCAAGGCCTGGATGCCATACCGCCAAGCGAAAGGGCAATTTGTGGAGACTTGAGTTCCCGCGCAATCAGACGCTGAGCTAAACAAACTCCCGAAGCATTATGCAGACGACCGTTTTTAAATTTCAGATGTAAAATCTTATCTCACATGCTAGTAATAATTTACAGGTTTATGATAAAAAGAAGTGGACTGAGCTACCTCGATGCAATTATAGGTAATTTAAATGATTTATTTATGGAAATAGTTTTTGCGTGGAGCATAATCAGGATTCATTTCAATGATCAAATAATACGGACTAGTGCATCCCATCCCGGTACACGCACCAATACATCTCTTTCGCATTAATATTTAATGATTCCACCCCATAGACACTTGAGTTAATTCTTTGGTTGACACGGCGTAGATTCCCTTTTTCAAACTTCTCACTCAGAAGCGCAGCGGTACCTCGAGCCGCAAGCCATGATCATCGTGGTGGTGGCACTGGAGGTAATGTCTGCGGGAGAATTTACTGGCAACACGAAGTGGAACACCTGAGCACCCTAGTCACTCCTGCTAGCCGGCCGCCGCCCGACCCGGAATCCAGTCTCAAGCGTCTACATCAGCTAGCTGATCAAAAGCAATTGACCATCACACCCGTAAATCTCCTGCTTCGAGAACAAAAAGCTAAAAGGGAGTTGCTGGTGACTAACATCGAGAATGGGGTGAGTATATGAATGCAAAATTCGTTGAAATAAGATTGATTGAGAAAAATGGTAATATTTTATCAAGTATCGAAACACTGAAGGTAGAATTAAGCCAAAAAGGCGAGAAACGGGGAATTTTTTAGAGGACCTGGACATTTTGATAAGGGGAATCTGATGGACTCCCGACAAATCCTGTTGATTGAATTTCATTATCAACCTCCCCTGCGAATGGTGCGAAAAGGACTGGAAATAGGCCGTGCAGTATGTGATGAAGCGGTTGCTTGCATCTTATGTGAATTCCTCCTAATTCATAACGTCCCTCGTAGTACATTACTCTCAGGATTAAGTCATGCTTTGAACCTTCGAATACCGCACTATGTGGCCTGTATAGTTGTTAATTACATCCCTGTCTAAAGTTGCCTCACCTTACCCTACGCCTCTGTCGACACTTCGAACTGAACTACTCCATAGAATATGTCGAAATTTACACACAGACTAGAACATACATGTCTTGAAATGGCAACGCAATACCCTACAGAAAGATAGGAGAAGCAGAGGTTGGTAAATTTGAAATATCGCAGATGCCGTCTAAGGCAATCTCAATTCCGTACTTACCGATCCAAAAACACTTTGAACACATGTATATCATCGCACATGTAGAAGGAAGAAGTGTTAACGATTCACCTTGCATATTCGTAACTTCAAAGGTACAAATCCAAATACACTGAGATGAAATTAATCCAAGCATATCCACCGACTCTCGACACGCGAGGCAGTGCTTCTTAAACGTTGAATATATTATTCTGAATTTTCATTAACTCATTTTAGGTGCTTTGGCTGGCTAAGTGAGGAATTCGTTTAGCAACACTAGCACCGTGCACTAAGTGCGCAAAATGCTGAAAAACGAAATCCCTGAAAGAACAGTTGAGCAACAAAACCAGCGTAATACTTGGAATCCTAGTACGCGCAGCAGATACTACTTATCAACCCAAATAGTAGGGTCAGGAATTGGCAACTCGTATTCCAACATGCCATAATCATGTCTTAAGTTACCTATCTTCATGGCACAATCTAAGTCAGATATTTATTTACCCTCTGTGTTACATAATTCTATGTTCTATAATTTTGTGGGTTAATTGGTGGAAGACAGGGGAGCTAAATCTTGTAAAGAATTTGGTACTTCCCGACCGAACTTAATTGCAATTTATTACGTCATCTTGTTGGGCATGGTTTGGTTTGATGCAACAAGTAGGGTAAAAAAGATGCATAATTCATATTATGGCTTTGCGTAGAGACTTGTCATGCCTGTTCTAGCGCAATTGATAATGTCGCTATACTCTATCTCTTAGCACTTTTCCAAAGAAAGTGCCACATTGTGCGTCGTTAGCTCTAGGTATTGCCTTATTAAGGTGTCCCAAAAGCTTTTGTGATAGGCAAAATTAGTGGTTTGTTAATGATTGTTTGTTTTCATGCGACCTAAATTTGATGTATCTTAGGCCTGAGAAATAGTTAATTATATGACTACGCACTGAACGCAATTCTTGTATTTTTGTTGGCATAGAGCCCAATGCATTTCAATGTCTTGAGACAAGTTAGATTATATTCGCCCTTAGAAGGGGTGCTGCCGATAGTACATAGGATGAATTACTGGTGCCATTTCTCACCTGATAAATCCTATCAAACCATCCAAAGTACTGTCAGGTCGGTATCTTAAGGACCATTATTCTTTCCCCATGGACAATATAATCCCTGTAACATCATGATGACAAAAGTGCAGCACCAACTTTATGGGCGATCAAATCTAGTTTTGCAGGTGAAGTTTGGTCTATTAGGGGTCAAAAGAGATGGGTATGGAACCAGTGCTTTATTAACATTTTTATCACCCTTTTATCCACCTTATTAAAATTAACTCATAGCTTTTTGTCGTACAAATAAATTTAGTGTCGGACAGATGTGGTGTCGCTTTAATGATTAGGAGTAATGAAATCAAATCCGCCACCTCAAATATTAGAGTCTGTAATAAGGAAAGTGGTTTCGAATTTTAAGGCTTTTATGGTTCCTTGACTTTCTTCCGAGTAGGACATATGTGAGTGCATTCCACTGGAGGACATTATAACACCCATCTACAAGGAGTCCAACGACCAGACAGATGCTTTTAACAACCTTCTCATGTTCAACGTGAATGCTTCTATACATTCCAAGAGCGGTCCTCCACAACACGAGATGCACATCTTTCAGGTATTTCAGTTGAGTCATCAGCGGAGAGGAAGTTTAATTCTATTTGTGCAAAAAAAGCATTCACGGAAAATTCACACTTAGAGACGCTACATATTGAGCGTGCCAGATAAAGCATACCTGATTTGCATTCAGCAGCTCCTTCGATAGACAAACATTGCTTTTAATTGCGCTCGAAAATAGATCTTTAGAACTCAGATAGGCTGCCTTAAAGTAGACAACATAAGTAACATACAGCTAACAAGGTTTCATTAGATTTGTGGTGGTTGACTTACATTAGATAAAGGTGTGAATTACCGGTGACAATTTGAGCAGTGAATGCATTCCCTCCTCTTCATTTCCAGTGTATCAGTACTTCGGCGCACGACATTGTTTGTGCCTTAGTGGACGCTCAAGAACAGGAACTCGTGAATTCTCATCTGGATCCGTATGCAGAGTAAGCTCAACTGATTATAAAAGCATTAATTGAGCGGGAAATCTTAAAATACCTCAACATGCATTAGAATGTGCTGAAACCACTTTTATAAGTTAAATGTATTTTTATTTTTGCCTACACCACTAGATATCAGAGCAGGATTTTAATGGGGTGTACTGAAACTAATTTACCATTATTTAAATTGTTTAAACTTTTCACAATTTCAAAATGGTGTTTGCTTAGGCACAGACGGACAAAGGGGTTTGGTGGTCAGGCGTGGTCTCACTTAATATGAGTGCAAAAGGTCTGTAACTGCTTGGGATGTCGTTCCAAGCGAATTTTCTTTATGTTTGGCAGCTGAAATGAGATACTTCGAGCATACGAACGTATGAGTTTGTGATGCCCATGGAATATTGTATTTCTTGTCTTTCCTAGGGTTGATGAAGAACCGCATCGTGCTACCCGGAATGAGTTTTCTGAAAATGGAAATGAGGGTGAGTAAAGCTTGATATGGGTTTATCGGGCTACATTTTTTGGGGATTTTGTTGTGTAGATGTGCTAGTGAATTGCGGAAGAGTTGTTTATTGCTTTGCCTGATTTACACCCCAGATCCATTGTTTAAAGCGGCGAGAAACGAATTTCTTTAAGATTGTCTTACTTTTTGCAGATTTGACGTCTCAACAGTTGAAAGAAAAGGCGTTAATTGACGGGGAAATTCTTCTGCTAAATATGTGTTTCGATGATATTGAAAGTTATGTCGGACATATTTACAAGCTTCAAAGAGCGCGCTGGCAAAACCCAACTCGGGGTGGTCCCTCTGATGACAATGTCTCCGTATCTGGAGCCGACTTTAAAGGCAAGGAGAAGAAAAAGCGTAGGTTTATCTTCAAAAAACGCTCCCGTTCACCCAAGAACAAGGATAAGAATGATATGCCCCGGGTGACCAGTAAGTGATTAATTATATCGATATTAGATGTGAGAATATCTTCCGGGACTAGCTGGACGTTTTTGCCTCTTAATAGGTAATACCTCATTGGCCTCGGAGGTGGAAATACCCATTTCTGATGACGAGTTGATAGACCTGTTTGAAAAGATCAAATTCTCCGTAATTCTCCTCTCCCGGTTGCAAGGCTACGTGACGGAGCCCAACCCTCCGCTCCTCACCCACAAGCTCTTCTCTATGATGAAGTAATTCACTTCCCTTGTGACAATGCCCTTTTTCATGCATTAGCTGTTGCTCGTTTTCGACATTGGTAGGGTTCAGGCACGTTTGCTTTGTGTGACGTACCTATTTGGAGGATTAAACCCTACCCCCTGCCATTTGAGATTTACCAGGCTGTATGTAAATGGTGTTTCTGATTGCAGGCAGCCAATTGATTTCATTCGAGATCCAGTCACTGGAGTACCTGGAATGGCCAGAAAAGTCATTTCTCCATTGTTCCCCGAATCGGCAATTAGGCTCATTCAAAACTCTCTCATTGAGCCGGAACTTAGTCTCTGGCGTGAATTGGGTAACGGATGGTGTCTGCCAAAGTGAGTGAAACTTGGCACCAAATGTATGCGCTACTTTTAAGAAGCGGGTAAAATCCTGGTTTTTTTGATGCTTCTAGAGAACACTGGCAGGCGGCCGTCCCAACGTACATCCCCCAATTCAAATGCGGATTCAAGCCCCAGCCCGAACAATATCACCACACACTTTTCGACGTTCCTCCACCCAAAAAAAGCACCGAAAACGGTGGCATGGTGGGTTATTAATTCGAAAAACACGAAATGATTAACATCTGGCCGAATTGACAGCCGAATTTGTTCCCTTTTATTCAGCACTCGAGCTCTTCTAGATCAAAGTTAGCTTCCGGGCCGGAAGTACGAAGCCATTCAGAATATCTGCAGTACCTGCGCAGCAAGAAGGCAAAGTAAGATCGGTGCTTGAAGTCCAATTTTGTAGATGGAAGTGTTCTAAGAGCCGTACTGTTTAGGCATAAAATTCATTGCTAATATCTTAAACGCACCTCTTACTTAGAAACTAGTTGAGGAGTTTACTGATGATTAAAATCAAAAGTAGGCAAGTCATTTGATCTCGGTTTCCATTGTCTCTTAGGATTGCCCGAGTGATGCGTGATTTCCTCGCAGAAAGTGATCAAGAGATCTCCCTAAAGGCTGGTGAATATGTGGAAGTGCTAAACGATTCCCTTAATTGGAAGCATCTCCGCAACCGGAGGGGGTCTGAGGGCTACGCACCTTACACCATCCTTGACTACAACGTGGCATAAGGAATGTTGACCGCATACACTTCTCTTCCCCCCACTGTTTGTTCTCCAAATGATGCTAGCTCATTAATGTACCAATTTCTACTAGAGTTGCTTTCGCACCACCCAGCTTCATCCATCACAGCATTCATGATTGCAGTCTTTTGAGGAAGGAAAAATAAAATGATACACTCGATTAACGTGGTTTTCAAAAATCAGCTAGGAATCGGACTAGAGGCTATCACATCAGCAGAAGATCCAAGGTCCGCAGAGAATCAACCGCTAAATAACGATTAAAACTAGCTGATTACCCTCCAACCAAACTAGTGGGAACTGAAATGTACCAGACATGATTTGGGAATGGATTAGCGAGGGGATTCAATAAGGAAGGCAAGCAGCCAGACGCAACCTCATTGCGGGGTGGTGGCCCAGACTCACTCGCTTATCTGATTTGCGACTGCTCTTTGGACGGAATCAGCTAAATTTCATGCCCAAAAACCATGCAATACAAGATACACGTTATGAAAACTCGCATTGAGTTTGATCAAAACATTAGTTCAATTTGTACAAAATAAATTGGAAATAAAATTACCCCTCAATGTCATCCTCAGGACCGGCTAACTTAACGCCTACTGGTTTCTTTGAAATGGGCGATTTTTCTTTCCCTGCGGGACCCCCGTTAGCAAGTTCTTTAGCGACTGGTGATGACTCCGAGTCTTTCGTCTTTTCATCCTGCTCCTTTAACTTCTTGGCTTTTTGACCATTCTCGAGGCTAACACGACTAGCGCTGCGTTCCTTTGACATTTTGGCATCTCTAGAATTACTTGTGGAGGCTTGGCGATCATGCTTATCCTCCTTTTGTACTGATTCACGTCGACGAGAGGAACCGTGATCCTTACCTCGAGAACGAGAGCGTCGATGCCTAGAGCGGCTACGACGATCATGACGCGCCCTCTCCCTTGAGCGATCTTTTTCATGTCGATCACGCCGATCTCGGTCGCGTTTATCACGCGAGCGCCGACGACGGTCACGTGAACGACTACGCCGACTACTACGGCGATTTGAGGTTGATCGCGTACGGCAGGATCGACGACCCCGAGATCTATAACAAGGATTAACCGCAACTCAGAGAGCAACAACCGACCAATGGAAAGAACTCAAAACTTAAAGTACCTTAAAGTACTCGTGGAACCAACGAAAGTGCGCTGAATGAAAACAGCAATCTGGGCATATCAAAATGAACAAGGGCCACGTTAATAATGCGTGTCTCTGAACGGTTCCTGGAATCAAGCATGCCCATAGCTTCTTACCTTGACCTTTCTCGGCTTTCGCGCTTTTTATCACGACTACGCGACCTAGAATGACGCCGATGAGAACGTGACCTTGAACGCCCACGGCGACTTCGAGATCGACGACGCCGACTTCTCGAAGGGGAACGATGACCACGGGATCTGGAACGCGACCGACTTCTCAATCGCGCTAAAGTTTTAAACGTTATTAAGTCTATTTCCAACGATGCACAAAAAATCGCGTGCATAGAATGCAAGTACTCACATGACGTGCTTAGCTGAGGATTATGAGGAGGAGAGGTCCTTTTTACGGTGTCATCCAGACCAGGCAAACTGCTAGTGGGTTTGATAATTGCACAATTCGAATGTTGGACCATGACCTGCAAAAATTAATGTGATTACAAAAATTACCTGTCGATCGCCGATTGTACCTCCCATAAGACCAAAAGCCTTGAGAATGGAAGTCTGTTCCGTGAATTCAACGTATGCTGCCCTTTCATTATCAGTCCCAGCCATGCGAACGCACTTTACTTCCGCGTGTACGTTGAAGTATTCAAGAACCTAGATAAAAAAATGCTTAGAAAAGGACAGATACGGAAAAAGCATAAAAAATGCCATGGTAGTTAAGATTTAATGCAGAACTAGCTTAACCATGATTGTTACATTACCTTACTTGGCGTGGTCGTGAGAATAGGCCTTAGCCCTCCATCAAATGTATGTTACCCGTGCATTTAAGTTGATCTGTCTAGCTTTGGAACACGCTGGTGAAAAGAAACTCAAGAGAAAAACACAAAAAACCTGCATATAAGATAATACTGTCGGCGGAGCGGTGCAGGTTTATCCATATCACTATAATCCAGCCCTTATTACCACGCTTTGTTACCGACCTCAAACAAACGAGTGTCAGCTGGCTACAAAGTATGATACACACAAACGTTCATTAGCACTATCAATTCGAAGAGGATGGCATAAATCGTGAAATGGAAAACCCAACATTCATACACAGGCTTCAGCAATTACGACACAAAATTAGGACATTATTCTTGAGAAGAGTCGTAAACAAATGCTAAAACTAAGAACACAAAATTTAACCAAGAAACTAAAACAGAAAGGCCAAGCCCATTGAGCGGGCAAATAGAGAAAAAAAGGAGGAACATGCCTCTTCACCCGTAACCTTAGGATCAAGATTGGTGACAAGTACTGTACGACGAATTTCCTCAATGCGGTTACAGTCAGTGGCCGCAGGAAGTGGAGGATACACCGGGAACCCCAAAGTCGTAAGGCGTGGGTCAACCGTCTGAATGACTTGTTCACCGGGACGCCCAACAACCATACTGATTACGTCAAGCGGCCAGGAAGCAGATCGTGGATGTATCCCGGCGGACGTGTGCAATGGAGCCCGAACAAGATTAGCATACTTTTCATCAGGAATAACATCCTTCTCACTCACGACGGGAAGAACTATCAAAGCCCGGTCAAGAAACATAGTGTTATGCAAATGCAGTGCAACTTCCGCATTAATCGCATCCGCATACCTTATGTAACAAACCTATAAAAGTCACGAAATCAAGAGGCAAGGCACCTTGCTAGGGCAATCATTGCCTTCAGGCGGATACAAAACTAATTCTTCAATAACACCTATATTTCCAAAAAGCATCCGAATCTGCTCCAGAGAACATGATGGTGATATGTTAGTTATCTGAATGATTCGACCACGAATGGAGGTAGCCATTTTACTGAGAATTGATTGCATGAAGTTTCTTTACATCAGATCAACTAAAACAAACTCAGAATAATGTGTTGTTACTGATGGACTGTACTGAAAAAAAACGCTCTGTAAATAAGTAAAGGTTTGCAATATTAGAAGTTAAAACTAATAGTTGCAGCTTAGGTGAGTATAAAATAGGGGAAATCCATTTACAAAATTTCCAGTAACTGCTGAAAACAAGCAATTCCACTTTAAAAATCTCTTTACTTTTTTATAACTAGGTAGTGTTAATTTAGAGCAATGCCGTGTAGGAGTTGTTGAAGTTCATTATAATTGTTGATGATAGTAAAAATTTAATTACTGATTCCTTGACCACAGCAAATAACTTGCAAAATGTTTTATGAAAATGGGAGCCATAGACTTAATTTTCGTACGCTACTTGACTCATATAGGATGTGTTTATATCGGTCGAATAAAGGCCAGAATATGTAAAATCAAAATTTGATATTTTCGTGCGTATGTCCGTCGGGCGCACGTCCGCTCTTGTTGATTTTGGTCATGTTTCTGTCGGGTTGTTCCCTTTTTTAACATCAGTCCTGTCGTTGATCACAAGTTAGGATGAGTGGGGTTATAATTTGACAAAGCTCTGCCTATTTTGTGTGTAGATGAGTGAAGGCGGCTTTTTCAGACGTTCGAGGAAAAGCGCCCCAACGAGAAAGGTTGCACCATCGGAAACCTTTCAGAGAGATCGTTCGAATTTGCGCAATCGTGGGGATGAGGTTTTGACGTAAGCTTTACCATGACTGAATTGAGTGCTCGCCTGAGTTCTCTCCTTTTAACTAACGGAATACAACCACGTAAAAGCAATGGGCGTTGTGATTGATATTTATCTAACCCAATTGCGTAGTTCATATTGTAGGGATCATTAAAGATCCCATTTCATTTCGGCACAATTAGCTGCTTGTCGTTTTTAAGCCTAAACTTCATTAGATTCTCGCCTCTACTTTGTATGTTAGTGAAAGCTCATCCTCGCGCGATGTTTTGGATGATGAAGCTGGTTCTTCCCTCCATTTGACCCCTCGTGGTCGGCGAAGATATCTTATCGATAGGCCCATGAGGCCTCCTAGAATGTCAACACCGGTGCATCGGGGTCGGTCTTTGCGTACTCCTCGTAGCTCTAAAAGAAAGTACGAGGAGACTGATAGCTCCTTGCCTGGTCAGACGCAGGTACGATACTTGTTTTACAATCATGTTCAGAGTGCTGACCAGAAATATCGTCAGGAGTATGATCCCTACCTTGAAATTCGCAAGGCGAGAGAACGTTTGAGCCTATATAAGTCGAAGGGTGATTGTGACCCCGATGAATTTCTTAGCAAGGATTCTGATAGGGACTTGCAGCGATATGAAGAAAAGTTGAGACGTAGATATTCTGAACAGGTAACTGCAGTGTCCGGTTCTATTCGGGTAGCATTATGTTTGATCACGTTTCTTACGATCATCGCTTCTCTTAGGTGATTTGGTATCACTCTTGTTCATTTGTGTATGGCCCAGTTTTGAGCTCTGATTTGTGTTCGTGCTTTGCGTTTAAAGGTGATAGGAATGTTGATAAATGCAAACTCTGGGTTTACCCCTGCATTTAGAATGAAGCACGGTACGCCGGGTTTGTATTTTGCATGTTACTTCCCCCAATTCACATAACTGAGAGCATGAGCTAGTGTTATGAGTACTACCGGAAAGTATTGGGTTTGTAATTTCCCAATTGGATTATTTGGTTAAGCTGAACGGCCGGCCTCACCTTGACACTTGTGATACGGTCAGGATATGTTTTGCGGTTTAGCCCATTTACTTTACTGCTTGGCTTTTTAAAATAGGGTGATTTCACCGGAGATATTGAGTTGGAGCGGCGGCAGTCGGAACTCCTGAGACGTCAGCGTGACATCGATGTGGGTAAAACGACTGAGAAGTATGCGGAGTACGTGTTGAAGATACCTAAACCAAAACGTGAGAAGCATCATCCTCGTACTCCCAATAAGTTTCGTGTGGTCTCACGTCGCGCCTGGGACGGCATGATTAGGAAATGGCGAAGGGATATACACAATTATGAAAACCTCAAGTAAGTAGGTTATTCGAAATGGGGTCGGCCGTTTGACAAGGTGCCTCATTATTTCATAACCGATCACAATTACTATAACTAAAACTACCGGTTCCATCAAAAGCGCCGCTGCTTTGATCCAAAACAGCGTAAAGCTAGCTTCATGAGTACCCAGTGCTCTTCGGTTTGTTTTTATGTGACAATATCTAACCAGTTCTACTTCTCATCTGTTTAGCAAGCATTAGTTGTACCTAGTTTACATTTTTGTCTTGCGAGTTCATCTCGGTTTTCTCGTTTTCGGTGCCTCTGCATAACTTGGCAATAGTTTTGATGGATATTGTGTTCATTTTCTGATAGGAGAACCTGTCTTAGAAGTGGCACTTCTAGTTGTTAAATGTCAAATAATGCAATATGTAAATAATTTGCTTAGCTCCGATGATACTTGGCGTTCTCTCGCGTCTGATGTATCAATGTCTTCGAACTCGCGTTCTTCGTCGCCAGAACATGTTACAAGTCCGGATGAAAGGAGAGGGGGAAAAAAGTCGTCTACCTCGAAAGGACTTCGGCAGCTAGCTGAACTTGAAACTGATGAAGACACTTTGCAAGGAGGAAAGAAAGTGACGCAAAGTGCTTCACTAGTTGCTGGCTTAACTGATGAGGAAACTCTAAACGATAGTGATATCAAATGGAACCTTCGCGGACGCAAAGTTCTCGTCCCGGTGTATGTCTGTGAATTTCTTTTCGTTCGAGTGTGGTAATCTTACAGTAAATAAACTAGCATGAGCAGAATCGTACGTAGTCAGAAATCGGTCACTTGTTGCCACTGAGGCTTCGCATTATCCTTGGACCACCCGATAAACACTGTCATCTTGCTCTCACAACGATCTTTTAGGCGCGAGAACACCCCAGCACCGGACGTCATCCACTCGGGCCTGACAAATGACTTGGCTGTCCTTAAAGTCAAACGCGATGATCTAAGTAAGCCGTTTTTTCATAAGTGATGCCACCGCCTTTTTCCAAACGTACCTGCAGTGTCGGACATCGCCCTTATTTCACCATCCCCAACAACAATCTTATCCATTGTCATAAGTCGGTTGCGACCATTGAAAAACCCAGTCCCTCCATTGGCCCGTTTTGATGCTGTTTCACTTTGGGCTCCCGGTTTTTAGCGTTTGAAGATATTTCTGCAATGCTTTCTCCCAAGAAACGCGCCAGAACTTCCAAAATCAGACCAACAGAAAGCCCGCGCCGAATGTCCAGTCGGGAAAAAGAATTCCGGTAAAAAAGCCAAACAAAATCTCGCTCAAGTACATATTTTGCATGCTTTTTTGTGTCACCGAATATTTGCAATTGGTTTGCCTAGTTGTCTCGTTTGTAATATCATTTTCCAATCCTAATTCTAATGGCTTTTTGTAACGAAATGAATTTTACGCGTTTTCATTGGTTTACTAGCCCATCATCACAGCTTGTGGGTAGGAATTAGAAAGTCACGGAGTGTTTATTGACATCCCCTACTCGACACCTTATAACTGGTTAGTCGCCTCAAGTGCAATTCGAACTTTATTTTGTGGGTTCAGTAGTTGCGCGCATCTTGCGTCGAAGTACATGAAATCACGTAAGAGTCTACGTAGACTTTGTTTAGTACTTACATCGCTGGCTTAGTCGCGGTGGACGCTGAGAACTGTTGAGTGCTGGGTCGCTTGTCTCGTGGGCCGCCACGACCGATCGCCTACCACCGAATGTGATTCATTTCAGAAGGAGGTCTTCCAGAGCGTCTGGTGCGAGCGTTATTAGTCAAGAGGGGAATGGGCCACATTTGTTACTCGAAAGCGCGTCACTAACTCGAGCGCTACATTCGCAGTTGGTGTCCGCGGATGCGTGCCGGACGTGGACGTGTGTCACGAGCCGGCATTGGAGTTCTCGCTTTCCCACACTATCTCATACTGATATCAATAAGGGCTGAGGCTTTGGCCAACACGCTTACGGCTCTGTCAAACTGAAAAGATGTGGGAAATGTCGGGATTCTTCGGGACGGGATCGGCAGGTTGAACACGTTAAAATGGTAAGAAAAGACTGGGATCATGCGTTTTTATAAGTTGTTCATCGGAGAGTGTAAACTTGCTAAACAATGCCAAAAAAGCATAGCAGTTCGTAAACTGGTATCGAATACAACAGCGGCGGTGGACACTCGAGTGGAAAGACGTATGCACCGTTAAAAGACTAGAATCGTGGTGTTCTTAGATGGATTGCGGTGCTGATCTACCTTGGGGTCGTGGTTTCCCGTAGGTGAAGGGCAGGTACTTGTAACGTATCATGTGCTAAAAGTGGGGCAATTCGGGAAGTAGCGTCTAATGTAAACCAACTCGAAGACGGGCGCACGGGGAAGTGCGTTCAGAGGGGGAACGTACCTCAATTTGGCGCCTCATTGTAACATAAAAAAGAGTCAGGAAATAGATCAGCAAAATTGGCCAGAATACGGGAAGATCGAAAAACGAGAAGAAGGTACAAAATACCGATATGATCGTGGCAGTCGTGCAATGTCTCCTTTTGTCCTAAATTTTTTTTACGACAAGCGTAATGCTTACCAAAACTTGAATTCAGATAGTCGTCTCATAAAGGGCCTAAATTCACCGTCCGAATTTGTAGGGAGGAGCGGATCACCTAGACAATTTAAAAAGCGGCGTATTTTACATACTGTTCTCATCGTTGAATTGGAACTGGGGTGTCAGAAACCCAAGAAACTGACTGAGAATGAATATGGCTAAGGCATATGAGACAACAAAAAAGCCCTGACGTTTTTGTATCAATACATCATTACCTGGAGATAGGCCACACGAATAATGTAAAATGCCAAAACACCAAAGAAAAATAACCATCGAAAAAGCGTATACGGAACAATCCTATCAAAGAATCCCCTAAAAAGCTAAGAAACGGTCAGTGTAAAGCGCAGTAATACTTTAGACAATCTGTTCAACTCAGAGGTCTCATCAGCGCCAGAATCATCGCTCATATATCGTTCCATCGTCACGGAGCGATGCACGCAGGCTAGGTCGGTATGTGAGTACCTGGGTCTGAAGTAGATAAGTTTTTAACTCTTCATTAATGATCTATGAATTAGTAAAGATTCTCCTATTGTTGATTATTATGGGTATTAACAAACCATCTCGTACGTTTAAGCGGAAAGCGAGTCGAAATCGGGAATACTTGTTGCTTCCTGCAGACGCTACTTGGAATGACGAGTCGCAACTAGTCGTTTGAACTGCATTCAGATTCCTTTATATCTAATCTTGAATTACGAATATTGTTGGTTATATTGCGTAATATTAAATTTGGTAACTTTTGATTACATTGCAAAGCCCTCTTATCACTGTAAAATAAGAAAATTAACCAATCATAATATATGTATGCCTAATTTCCAGAAATTCATCTTAGTGACTCCGAGCTGTTTTTCTTATGACAATTAATAATTTGTCAAAGAATTTTCCCTACTGTGGTATCCCAATACCTCGCTGAAGACAAAGGAACACATAATACTCGAGCTGTACATGTATCGTCCCCAGACCTCCCTGAAGACGAAAGGAGACATAATACTCGGACAGGACATATATATTCAGCACGGAGAAGGTATTTGGGCTACTGGCATGGCCCAAGGGCCAGCCTACCCGGTATGGTACAAAGGCCAACTCAAAAGTGGCTCCTCGCTAGTACCGAGGGATAAGTAACCATCGTATTACGTATACATTGTAGAGATGCAGGAGGACTCGGTGTCTTCTGGCTTGGCCCGGAGGCCAGGCCTTTTGGCGAAAGTGCGGTAATGCAGCCCCAGGTGAGCCGGCAGCAAAACCGAGAGCTTAGCCGACCAAACACTACACTATCTTCTTTGATCCATCCGTTGCGTTTATCCAATTTAAAGCTGTGCTCACTTCTGTGCATTTGTGGTCTTGAAATAAATTATTCAATCTTAAGAACTGATCCCAAAATTCGAGAAAGGGAGAAATAGTTAGGTTACCAAGTAATTCTCAAGCAATACAGACTACTCTAACGTGGCGCCGAGAAACCCCAAGTGGTTCGGCTTCTGGGTGAATGAAACCCCATCTAGTGAGACAAGTGGAGCCTAGTTTTCAACAATCCACCAAAATGCACAAATTTACTATTCATGAGAGAAAAAGAAATAAATAATTACATATGTCAAGATAATATAAGATCAAACTCTTTAGTGATTCACAGAGCCCTCAGTCCACATTAATTGGGCATGACACAGGGTAGAAGGAAAGACTACTATCAACCTCGGGTGCATGAAATGATGAAGAGAATCCGAAATATCACAACTCGGTTTCACCTATTCGAGGCCTTGAAATTTTGTAGGATTTCTTCTTCGGATAGGCTTTTAGGTGCTGGGTTTCATGCGCAACAATGGCATCGGAATCCTTCTTCTGATGGATCACAACATCTTCCATGGGTGAAATCTTGCACGTTATAACCTGATTGGAATAATAGTCATTAAAGTCAAACTCTACTGGTTCAAAAGTCTCTCCTGTCTCCACGAATTTCGACAACCGCTTATAGACCTCTGGTTCACTATTTCGGAGACTTACGCCTCGTTCTCTAAGTGTACGCTGAAGTTGTTTTGAGTAGGCCTCCCTTTCCTCTTTGGTAGTTTTTGGCCTTGTCCATGAGATGGTCGTCACCTTGGGACGTGGTGACTTAATTTGAGGTGTTGGTGTTGCCACCTTTGCAGCAGTCACCGGAAAAGGGAGAATGATGCACTGTTTGTATAGATGTACAGCTCGCCCATTTTTCATCATTTCCAGATCGTATGCGCAGATGATCACAATTAGTACATAACTGGCACTGGGCTTGTACAGCTTGCAAGGAGTTGCTAACTTAGAGTCTAGTTTATTCAACTCCTCCACTGTGAGATAAATCGGCGGAGCGATAAGACCTGAGGGACCAGGCCGACCCGCAGAAACAACTTCTGGTTGCTGTTGCGGCTGCCTCAATGGAAGGTCTGTGCTTCTAGTTAGGAAAAATTCAGCATCCTGAACAGAGGCGAAAGTGATGAGAATTCCACCACGGCCAAGACGTGTTGCTCCAGCCTTCGCTAGTGCTGTTAGGCTCGATTGCTGACTGGGAGCTAAGTGGTGCAGAATCCGCCCACAGACAAGTCGTATTCGTCCGAAATTACACACCATGTTATGGATTGGAAGGGCCTGTTCTCTACACTTAGGTGAACAGTAAGCGGTGAAACAGTTGGTGCAGGTTCGCCACGAGCGGACTCTATCAACTCGAGCGGGTCCCATCCGTGGGCAGGAGGGATTGTTACAATGCAGGTAGAGCATACCATCTTTGGGATTTCTATCGAGACCAATGCGCTTCTGATCGAACCCATACTCAGTGAGAATCATTGGTCCCTGACCTGCAGGACTGGTGAGCAATGCAAAAAACTCAGTACGATGGCTGTCTTCATCAGGGTTAAAGTAGCTTGCTGCTAGAGCTACGTAGTCGCCAGATTCTCGCGATTGCTGTCTAAGGCCGGTGTTGGGTGCATTTGACCACCAACCAAACTGTAAGAGAATGTTCTCCAGAGCAGATGGACGATTTTGCAGAAGAGTGAAATGTCGTGCAGAGTACTTATCCAATAGGTCAGTTAGACAGGTAAGATCAGAAATATTGTCAAGTCCATCGGTTGCCGCAGTTTCTGTCTCCCCATCCGAGTCTGCATTGTGCCACGTGGGACTATGGGGATTCGAGGTAGCAGCAGGAGTACTGATGATTGAAGCTGATGGTGATGTTCTGGGTACCGATAGTGGTGGCACAAGTTTTGCTGAACGTTTCACTTCCTCATAAATTTCTTCATCTGAGGACCGACTGAGTGACTTTTGAATTTCGCCTATTTCCATGGATTGATAGAATTGGTTCTCGACTACGCTATCTGAATCAGCCACTTTAATGCTACCACCGCTATCGTTTGGATCTGATAACCGTGCTTCACCATTTATACGAACGGAATGACCATTTCGACATTGAGTTTTCTGTAAGGACTTAGAACTTAATGATGAGGAAGCAGAGAAGAAAGGTGCCTTTGGTGCTTGAATGAGTTCTGCAGATGTTCCAGTAGTACAAACCATAGGTAGGAGGATATGGGGATTAAATTTATGGCCCCAAATTTTTTCGTCACGAGTGAAAAAATCCTCGGGAGTTAGGTGAACAGGGCGTGATGAGGCTACAGAACCGCCTGCCCGAAGAACAACCCCACGATCAATCGAGGAATCATCAGCTCTTTCTGTAATCTGACTTTTCATAGAACCCCTCAGCAAGGACTTAATTGGAACCAATTTTGGTCCAGATGAGGCATTTCGCTCTCTGAGGATTTGGCTAGGTCTAAGGGGACGATGGATCTCGGTCTTTAATGGGGGAACGAGAGACCACACCGGCTTGGCGACAGTTTCAACCGTTTTGCCCTTCAGAAACCTTTCTTCAACTCCATTGGTAAATGCGCTTTGAACCACAGTTGTCGATGGCAGTGATGCTCTGCTGTAGGGTAGGGTGCTCTTTTCAAGCGGTGGTGGTGGTGGTGATGGTGAGGTATGGAGAGGTGATAGGGGTTTTGAGAGGTCTGCCTTGTCCAACCATTCAGGCACATGGATCCTGGTTAACGACTCAGCCACCCGCAATTCGTGGTTGGAACGAGCTCTGGCTCTCAAACGAGCTACAAGGCTAGATGCACCAGGTTTCAACTCAGATCTTTGGTTATCAATAGACTTGGTTATTCCTGACAAACTTTGAGCTCGTTTATGTGCGTCTGCTCGACTTTGATGTTTATTATCGTCAGCCAAAGGCCTTCGGGACTGCCCTGTGCTATTGAGGTAGGTCAAATTAAATAAACTATAAGTCTTATCGTTGGTAGACTGAATTGGTCCTTGATCCGCAGAGGCGAAACCACCAACTAGTCTGTACGTGTTCAATGTATCCACATCAGTCTCAAGAATAATCTGCTGATTTTTCTGCTCTCCGGTGTCTATATCAGTCTCAAGAAGGGAGTTAGTTGACTTTCCACTCAAGAATTGCAGGTTATTTGACATTGAAAATTGCCTTCTAGCCGAGAGATCGAACAGTGAAGAAGCCATTTTCCTTTTCTGGCTATCATCATTAAAGGAAGTTCCTGCAAGATTCTCACGCAAAATGGCAGTGTTTGCCAAGGCGACATCAATATCTGTACTGCGATATCGAGAACAGGATCGGCTGTACATTCTTCCGTTGGGTATGTTATCTTGTGTCTCCTTCATTCCAGCTCTTACGATGCAAGCTTGGAGGTTTGTGCCTGTGCTTGTACTCTCCACTTGTCCGGAAACACTTTTACTACGCTGAGTCGACCTTTGTGGCAGGTCTGGTTGGTCATTTGGTGAGGAGGTGGGGTGTGATGAGCGTCCCTCTGTATCACCCATAAAAAAGGTGTTGGAAGACCTTGAACCAGAGAAGTAGTCTCGACGAGCCTGATGACTTCGATTATCAATGCCTCGCTGGAAAATATCGACTCGAGGTACAAAGGAGAGAACAGTAATTGACTGCCGTCCCTTGTTACTAGGATAGCTATCGGTACGTGTTACATTAAATGAGGTCGAGGCAAATATCTCCGGGTCAGTGTTGCCGTCTGCGAGGTTTGGAAGTGTGTGTCCATCATTGGTAGGGTGGTAAACACCATGTTTGTAAGGCTTGAAATCATCAACGTAGTCAAGAGATTCTAAAAGTGAGAATGAAAGGAGCTTGAATGTCACATGTCACAATGTGACAATGCAGATCGATAAGTTAGCAAGGCATTAAGGTATATGAAAGGACTTGCATCAATGCACAATAAAAATTGTTTTTGGTCTAGTGTTTGAAAGCCCTGGGGAATTTTGGAGGCATTCGCGAAGAGGGAGGGCGATAAGTTTGGCTGGTTGAAACACTAAGCCTGACCTTTCTAATACGGAGTAAGCTTGTTGCGACTAACCTTTCTCGTTTGAAAGCAAAGGCGAACTTTGTACTCAATACGCGCAGCAAAACTACCTGTTTCATTTTGGATGCAAAAAAGGACACAAAATCGACCCGACACACAAAAAATGAATACAGTAAACCGGCCAGGAGATTGTGATAACTAAGTTCTCGATGGAGACCTTCTCGGCCAAATACTGTAGTAGTAATGAATCGATCTGAAGTTGTCTAAATGTTTTGGTATTGAGGTCGCAATGTGTGAAACCTGGGGAATTCAACCGGATTCCTCCTAAGTTATCCAATAATACAGACATTTGGACAACTGTAACGAAAGACCGCGAGTAGCAAAACAAGATTGTACTGGAAGTGAATACTAAGTGAGATCCATATAAATGCCACCGGTATTACTTCTACACCTCAATACTAGTTAAGTAATGTTAAACTGCTATTTGGTGATCACTAGGTCATTATCGACCCAGGCACCAGAGTATTAAGGTCAAACTAAATCTGATTTATGAATGACAACTGGGTTTGCTTTGATCAAACGTATGATTATATGTACATCTGCCTCTCGTGGTGACATCGAGCCTTGCTCAATCTCGAGAACGCCCTAGAATGAAGGTATGTGTGTGGGTGGAGAATCACAATAAAAGGGCTATCGAAGCCGAACTGGGTCTCGAGGAGTACCTTAATCTCAGGTTCAGCAATGTCTACCTGAAGACTCGATACCTCTCAGAAATGCGAGGAGCTCACGTAGACGGTCAGAGGAGAAAAAGGGTGTACCTCCGAAATGACATCTCGCATGCGTTTAGGCAGGCGACCGTCAGAATGTGCTCGATGTGGAACGTCGTCCAATTTTTAGCCCAACCTCCCAAATGCATTCCTTCTCAAAGCAATTGGCCTAACAGAGGACGTGGATCAGTGAAGCGCAAAACTTATCCGAATTTCCAAAAAAGGACGTCAAAGTTACCACGCCTCCTTTTCACATGCCTTTTTGATAGGAGCCAGGTTTAAGCGCGTAAGTTGTATTGCAGCACCTACAGCACGCCACTCCACGCCTGACAATACGCATATACGCCATTCAACTAACGGTGAAACCCGACAAATCTGTAAGGAACTTTTTCTCTCTGTGTGTGAGTCAACCACAGTGTTACGGAAGTGCCTCGCCCAGGGTGAGAATGCGTTCTGCAGATGATTCTTTTCCGCTGTTGTTACTGCCTCACCCTCATTACGCACTACATTACGTGCATAATTCATAGACGGTCGGTGGTATTGCGCTGTTATATGGCCTAAGAATTTAAGGACGCCTGGCTATGTCCTGATGATTGTGAGCCCAAGTAACGTAATGAGGTGACTTGACAATATGGTCACGGTCAGTGTTTACCTCCGAGGCATTGAAGGCGGGAAAGAGGTTAAACATCGGGCGTAAGGAAGAAACAAAGTTTAACAAATACCAGAAAAGTGAATTTCTGGAAGGCCACAAAAAGAGCAAACCATCCTACAAACAAGCACAGAACGGACATCCTAGCGCCCGACATATGGTCAAAGTGTGTTCAAAAATAAGCCAAACTGGGAAGCATGGGACATGAATAGGAGACGTAGAGGTAGTAAAGGTGACATTTTAACGTTGGGGGAACCATAGGCAGTCCTGCCTCCTTTTTTCGTCAAAAAACCTGACACTTTGGATGCGGGAACAGAAAAGGATTTGTGTTAAAGCTCCTTGTTATTTTCTCACAAAACTGGAAGGCGATGTACACAAAAATCAAGTGTTATAAAACTGAGATGAATCTACATCGGACACCTCGAGCTATAGGAGCTTGAGGTTAAAAATAACTTTGCCCTTCAGAAAAGTAGTAAAAGCAGTTAATAGCGCCAATAAAAAAAGCAAAATGGTTTAAGGAAGGGTTATTACAAACTTTGCGGTAATGAGATGGACCAAGAACAAGTTCCTGCATGTCTGTAGTTGAAAAAGTGCGATTGAAGGTGACCACAAACTCAGCATTTCATGACTGAATGTTAAATGTTGAGCAAGGTAATTACACTACAAATTAGTTGACACACTGATATAATTGACATGTACGACAAGAGGATAGGCGTGTGGGGTAAGGTATACCACCAGCGTGCTTTGACCTCACCTTCTAGGTGAGAGGCGGTGGTGAGTGAGCAGATGCCATTGGCCCCCGAGGATGAAACGAACTCCAAAACCATACCACCTCAATCCTCTGTACCCTCCCATAACATCCATCCGATAAAGGATGTTAACAGAGGTGAAAAAGGGGAACAATGAACCTATTACATCTACAACGCGTGTTTAAATATTACCTTCTGGGTGTCAAGCCGTTGGTCGACGCCAACCACGTGACGGAGCACGCGCCTTGAAACCCCTGAGGAGGAAATGAACGCCCCATCCCCTTTAAACATGGACAAGCTGCAAACCCTCACATCACTGCCCCACACACAGTTCTCGCACCAAAGCTACAAAACCGGAAGTGGAAAAGGGGAAACGCTGAATCGGTTACATTACCACATAAGAATGATTTGATACAATGAATTAGCAAATAAAGTAGGATTTTTATTTCGCAGAATTGACACGAGAAGCGTCTTAAAAAATCAGTTTTATTGTTTAATTTTTACCGTTAACATAGTCCTCCCAATTTGACATCGACTGAGGCTTGATAAATAAGCTTAAAATAAGAGACCGCATCATCGGGTGACGGTTTAACCAAATTTGAAGGAACATCAGGATAAGTTAGATGATGCGAACTAAATGGGCCATAACCCGGCTGTGATTTGGTAGGCATTCACAATGGCAACTCTGATCTGATGTCGTCGGATAAGGGAACAAGCAACACCAAAAAGCAGTGACAACAGTAAGGTATGGGAAAACAATAAGTCACTAAGTTAGTAAAGTTTAAGAACTCGGTTTTGCTTAAATTAACCACCCCCCACCTTAGTTCCGTTATTCCCCACAACCATTACGGTAAGGTCAGGTCAGGATTTAAATGTGCCAGCTCAAAGTGGCGCCTTGAATTCGTACCAATTTTTTTACTTAGAGGAGATTTGCATGGGATGTTGAACCGTCTCGTCATAGAATAATCAAAAGAGTATGCAAATGTGGAATCGCCCAATGGAAGAATTGTAAAGTTGTATGATGCGTATGAAGAAAATAAACTCAAGATTTTGCGTTGTGGCTACTCTCTTGTCATTCTGAAATCACTACGACATTATTGATGGATGAAAAAAAAACATGAGTCATGAGATCCAACTTTTGACCAATGTGATTTGCATAGCTGGAGAGCAGGGATTTAAAGTACCCTTTGAGCTTGTCCAACAAAAAAAGCTCCCAGAAAGCAAACAAATGGATACCTTGATAAAATAAGACATTTTTTGAGATAATCCTGGTAGTAAATAGCATAGATTCATGGCTCATATCAAAGTTCGAACACCCGACTTCGCACCACTCTGTGGTTAAGGTAAGCGGTTTGTTTATTTCAAATAACTAACTTTAAATAAAGTAATTCACCATTCAAATTAGTATGTTAACCTTGCCATTTAAATGCAAAATATATTGCATTATGCGTTCTTACCACGTATTTGTGCCTGACCCGCCGGATCATCGAGATTGGTGTCATCGAGAGCGGAGACGTGGTGTCGAAAGCTGCGATATTTTAAACTTCCCTTGGGGATGTCCACTGAGCCGGTAGTAGTAGTTGCAAAGTACGTTGGAGGTGAAAACATCACCACCTCTAGTCTAGTTCTACTACTAAGTACCAGACGCTGACCACCTAAATGTCGGCATATGATTTACAGCTTTGGCATCTCATTGGCTAGTAGTCGCTTACGCGTTGGTTACACTCCGCTCCTCTATGATTGGCTGAAAATTAAGTCTACACCTCCGAGAGAATTTCAGCGAGTAATGGGAATACGAAGAAAGGATTGTGCCGAAAAGTACCTTTCTGAATTGAGAAGTTGGGAGATTTGCATGTAAAAATCACTTTTTTGGGAAATGACTCAATTATTTTGTGATCAGTAAGAGACAAAAAGGACTCTTTAAATAGCACAACGTAATCAGTCACTTTAACGTTCACTGCCTAAGTAATTTCCACTACACATTTAACTACCTAAGCGCAGCTAAAATGACTCACTTTCATCAAAACCGATTGTTTCGTTCTTCCCACTGGTGGGAAGGACGTTGCCTAGATGAGTCAGCACCACTTCCGGAATGTTGGGCTGTTGGGTTTTGTGCCCAGGCTCACCATACACATACTTCATTTCATCCTCTCTCTCGTCATCCCCATAGTGAACGACGATGTCCTCTTCCCCATCAGGCGAGTCAATGCCATTGGAAAGGCGGTTCACCTCTTCAATGCACGAGAGTCGACCGGGTAGAATAGTGATTGGTAACTCTTCATGCTTGTACGTTGTGGTAGCACCTACTAGCCTGGCGGCCACTGCATTGTAGACGCCTTCATCACAAGTAAAAGATGAGGATGTGTCACCCTCGCCGTCATCACTCGGCGAGTCGTCTGGTCTTCGTTTTCGAAGGGTACGTCGCTTGATGGGTTTCTGTAGAACCGGAAAAGAAGTTGTAACGGTGTATATGCATTTGTAAAGTCTTTTTATTTCCTATACAAGCCTAGCTTGATGCGTTTCCCACTTGACCCCTGGGAGGCGCAGTCCCGAACGACATTCGACATGACCCATGTTTACTTATTTAATTTGAGTAGCATAGACCCGGGTGATGCATAGCGCGAAATTGTCTGGACAACCTTTGCCGGCTTAACTCAAAGAATCCAATACCCCACCTAGAGAAGGTAAATTGCAAGTGGAGGATACATTGGCATCGCTCTCAGCGTAAACGTTCATTGATTTGCCACAATTTTCCCTGATGGATGAAGAAAAAGCGAACCACGAACACATTGCCTCGATTCCCGGTACCCTTCTATGGCACTCATTCAGTGAAGGATGTCCTTATCTAACCAGTCTACTCGTTCCAAGATTGTGAAGGCAGAGATGGGAGAGAAACACTGAACATGATACAACCTAACTAGGTGTTTGAATATTAAATGCCAAGGGGCTAGTTGACACCGATCGGATGACGGAGCAGACGGCTTCAACACTTGGGGAGGAAACAAACGCCCATCCCTTTTAGGTTTTTTCAAGCCTGTAAACCCCCTTATCACTGCTCAAGTATGGGACGCCACCCTCCACACATTCTTCGCGTTCCAAGGTTATGAACCGAAACTGGAAGCGAGGAACGCTGAATCCGTCAAAACACAAATGATCATAGGTTGACGTATATTCCCACCTTCGTTCCAGATATTTCGAAACATTTTAAGTAGTTTGTTTAATTTTGGTTCCAATTAAGCAGACACAAGAGTCTCTGCGGATTGTGCTACCGCTCGGTGGCCTTACCAGTAACCTCCCAGCCCTTCTATACGCCATACTACTATGACTTCCTACGACCCCGGAGAAGGCTCAGTGCGCTCCTTATTTCCTTTACTCTTGTTTACTATCAAGAGCAGTCAATTTGTACATCCTTCTATAGGCCCTCGCATAGTTACTAAATCAATTCAAAAATCATGTGGACGTGTACAATTCCATTGCTTAGAAGCAAACATTGTGACGCCTGATTACCATAACTTTTTTGCAATTAATTCAGAGCACTTTAGGTCTGATTGACTGTACACGTAGGATCTGCTCATGGCAGCAAAACTGACAACGAAATGGAGCGAAAAAGAAGTCAAATCGCATAACTCCAATCCAGTGATTACACAGGCGTCGACGTTACTTACTCCTGATCACTTTGTTAAAAATGCAAACACTGATCAAACCAACTATTCAAAGGCCTGGTCAAAGTGATAATGCAGTAAACTATTCACTTAGACTACTTAAATACGTAATCAGTAGGTACATGTCGCCTCATACGAAATTCACAATTAGAATTGCGCATAGGATGCTACTTCACACGACAACCTCATTTTCAAGCACAACCACTTTATTGATGCAATGCTAAACACCTCCTAAAAATGGAGGTATCACTTTAAAAGGCCTGTAAAGTCAGTGGGCATTGCGTAAGCCAAGGAATAATTGCATTTCCCATGTTAACGCGCACCTTTTTTCTTGCACCAAGAACTCTTTATTCCGTTCACTTGTCATTCACGCAATGCTTGGCAATGTAGCGACTTGGAGACACGTGTGTCGATGACATACATGGCATATCAATAAACAATTCCGCAGTTAGTGAGATAAATGCTAGTCTAACCAGTGGTTAGGCAAACAACGCTTACCTTTACATAGGCGTCTGGTTGTTCAGCGGATTCGCCTGAAACAAAAAATATAATAAATTAATCCTTTTAGATGTATAGAGGATAAAAGTCTTAAATGAGCGCCGGACACTCCAGAGAATGCATTACCGTTTCAGTGTTTAACAACGTCTCAACTTACACTGAAAACAACTGTTTGCGCGCACCGCATTCAAGGTTTATGAAACAAATTCCCAAAATAGATCCTTCGTGTTTTGCCAACAAAACAGCTGCGTTGTCTCAGACCCGCTGTAGGCGTATGAAACAGAGCAAATAGAATCTCCAAAATAACCGCTATTTGCGCTCACGAAATCTTGTCAGGTAGAAAAGAAAAGCACTTAACGTGGTGATGAGAGATGAAAAGTACCCTTTAGTGCCATTTCTTGTCTAGCCGCCACCCCAGTATAGCATAGGTGTATCATTTTTGGCGAGTCATCTTCCCAGGCCGAAGTCACGCGAATCGGTGCCATGAATCATCTCCTCGATTTCCCCTCAACCTAATTATTCTATCCTTTGTGTCACGAGTTCTGCCTTCGTGGTAAAAAACTTTCAAGCTCTTTTTCGAGGGTGCTTTTACATTTGTCTTAGCAGTAGGCCCGTATTTTGTGCTATTGCCCGACTAAATGAGTTACTGTGACAGTGTATGTTGAGAAGAAGGGCCTTGTGTTTGCTTACCAATGTGAGGGCAGAAACTGTTTAGCATATCGACGCCCTGGTTACCTAGTTACTTCATAATGCATGCTACACTGTGTGCAAAGGAGTTGCCCGTAGATCAGAACAAATAGCAACCAAGTGTGGCTCTTCTCACTCTTTGTGCCGCAGTTATGGTAGTGTTAGAGAGGTGTCCAGGGAATTTCCTAGAAAAAAAAATCCCAGAAAGCAAAAAATGAGGAAAAATTATTAAGGAAATAATCAGGTTGAATGATAGGGATGGCAAATAACGTGGCAAAAACTGAAACTGGTGGTTCATTCAAACCGACGGGGATTCCGCCATTGCAACAAACCTTCAACTTTTTTGGGGTTCATTCATTTTGCAGCAATTTTGCGTCTTATTTAATTGGGTGTTTAATCAGGAGAGAAATTCAGTCTCTGGAGGTTGGATTTCTGCTCTACAGCGTGACCTTCGGGTCATGCTAATGGCCTCCCCTCCCAGCCCCTGCGTCCGTACTACTTTGACATATTCCAGCTTCAGCGGAGATTGAGGATGGTAAACAGTCTATGAGTACACATTCTCTTACCGATTATATAAAATTTCAACCACTATTTGACAAGGCCACAGGAATTGCGAATAACAGACAAAAAAGGTACCTTACCTTGAGCAACAAATAGTAAATCCCGAAATTCTGCCCTTAAATTTGATAAAGGCCAGTGCCTTTACAGAATTGTATTTTAACTCTGTAACCGAAAGTTCCAGATATCATTGGTGTATTTAGTAACAGTGAGTACACCCTCAGGGCCCTGGAAATGCCTTATCAAATTACACGGGTATGTACTACTCGTGATTATGCATTTCAACAAGAGGAAGGCTACTTTATTTGTAAATAAGCTACAATTTTCCCTGATTAAGGTTTGTAGGTATAACTCGCTCAGAAAGTTTACCCCACTTGTGTTGTGGAGACGGAAGTACAGTAACCAGGGCTGTAGAGATAAAACGTTGCAACACGTGGGGCCGTTTCAATGGGAGAACTTCCGGGTTTACGCAACGGTGATGTTTCGTGATTCCTCCCTCAATGAATATTGTCAGAAGCGCAAGAACAGTGGCCTAGACCATTATCACGATAAAGAATTATTCAGGTGGTAAAAAGTTTCAAACAGTCAGTGAACTAATAGCGGGTGCAATCCAAATTATTTTCTCAATGTGGAAAACCTTCACTGCTGTAGCGCTTAAATGTGTAAATAAATCACAGGTAAGGTAGGACCGCGTATTTTTAATAAGTAAGTCATCCAAAAACCAGCACACGACCCAGCCACAAGAAACATCTGAGGGTTCAAAACCGTGACCGGAAAGGCCACTATTTACTTACGTTTACATTTATTTCGCATCCATATTTCAGACACGAGATAGTGTGTAAGGCCATTGATGAGCCGTCAGTTTGTAGGGTTTTTATTTACAAGGGTAGCAATAGCATTTGAGCATCAGGCATCGACGCAGGTCATTCTGTTGGCGAGGTACTAAGGCTTTCTATTACAAATAGAGGACTGCCAACCTTTCATAAGCTGTTCTAGACCTAGTCAATAAAGGAATGATTCAAGTCTCACTAGCACAAATATTAGCCGAAAATTAGCACACATACTCAATGAGCGCAATCATCATTAGGTAGAAAAAAAGCATTTCCGATCGTCTCTTTCCTTCTATACACTTCAACAAAAGGGCCACAACGTGAAATTTCTTTGAACTGGTCCCTAAATGATCCCATGATTTGTTTGTTTACTCCAAAAGTTATCGCGAAACGTCAATTGAAGTTAATTTTATTTCTATGTGTTCCCTAATTGACAACATCATCAGACTTTGGAGACAAAGATTATCTGCCATATAAAATTATAGAAAAAGAATTTGAGTTGGTAATCAGTGACTTTCGTAACATCAAAAGGATATTTTAATCCAAATAAAACAAGTCAAACCAACAGATACACAAGATTACACAAATATACCGTGCTGTACTTTGATTTGCAGATTAATATAACTAACTATAATGTACATATATGTAGATTAACAATACAGCAGAAATTTATACAACAGCAAAATTGAGGCTCTACATTTAAAAACCAGTACTTTTTCCGGACCTGGGATTGTTTTTCAAAGTCAGGAGCCGTTAATTTGGAGGCCTAATTGGTGACCTCCAAGCGGTCAAAATTAAAAAACGTCACCCCACTAACCGGTATGAAAAATGGTTAATCCGAAGGGTTCAGTGGAACGAAACCGTTGTTTAAAAAAGGAAATAGATACAATACGACGATTCATTGGTGCTCAAGTAGATCTTCGCCTTGATTTAAATTTTATTTTTCTAGACTAGAAAAGCAACCTTGGCCATAAGGTAACGCAATTGTTTTTTCAATCGGGGGAGTGGTCACATAGTAAACATGAATGCAACTAAGAATAAATGTAGTGAAAATATGCTGCGCTATTTAAATATAACATGCGCTTTAAAATTTGACCCGAAAAATTTCAGGAAATCGCAAAATGGCAACAGGACCAGGGAAGTCGTTGATTTCATGCACAGTTCCATTTAGTTGGCACAAAATTACGCATGGGCATTTGCGACTGGAATGTTGCATTTTTCCCAAGGCGCAGTTAAACTTTTCACTAGCAAGGCCTTAAGCTGGGTCGGAAATGAAATGCATTGCAGTAAACTCGAAGTTATTGAACATCTTTTTACACGTTAAATGGTAGAAATAAACTGATTCATTTATTGGCACTGTCAAACTGCTGGTTATTTGTATGACAACCGGTTGAAAGGCTATGCAGATTTCCCACCAAAGTGAGATGGTGTCCTCGAGTAATCACGTGACTTGATCCCTCTATTATGCTTCCTAAATTCTTTCTTGGCAAAGTTAGTTGATGCTTTGAGTAATGGTAGCTAGAAGCGCAACACTCATCTCAAGGCATTTATTTTTTCTAGAGAAGGTAAACCATTTTTTAATAACATTAGCATTTGAATAACACCTTGGATGGGAATTACCAAATAAAGAACCACAGATTTTTTAGTCATTTTCATCCGTCATGATGGAAGAATTTGCATTACTTAGCTGCTGGTTTGCCTGTCTTTGCTCAATAAACTTGCACACTAAATAGCAGCAGCTACTCCATCAGATTTCCTTAGGCTGTGTGCTGAGCTTTAACTGACCACAATTTTTGTGCCTTTTAACTGTTTACTTAAAACAGTCGACAATATTTGTTTATACAATGACGTCGTGACATGATCTCTGATAAGACTTGTCGAAATGATGTGGCTGAAAACGCTCACTTCTCAACGTTTTTTCACTAACTTCAAATAACGAGTTTGAGATGATTTATCAAATTCACGTTGAAAAAAACTTGAAACCAACTCTGAGCCAGACTAGTTAAGTGCTTACATATAAAAAGTAAATAAGAATTTCTTTCCTTACAGAGGTTTACTTGGGTGAGCATACGCACAAGAAAATGATCTCGATGAATGAAAAATACTTATTGCTTTCATAAAATATTTCTGCCTTTACATGCTTTTAAGTGGAGTAACTTAAAGACATCAAAAAATTTCTGCGCATTCCACTCACCCGTCTTCCTGGGAAACGGACTTTCCTTTTCAGGAACTGGTGTTTTGCACATGTTGGCTTCGACAAGGGTGAATTCCAAAACATCCTCGGATTGATTTTGACACTCTGAGGGGGGATTTTGCTGTAGAACTAACATCTTTTTTTGCATCCTCTCCCGGCTAGGGACACGTCCTCCATCGGGTGAATCACCCAAGCTTTCGGTGTCACTGCACGCAGTGACGTAGGCCTCTTCGCCCGAGGGGAAAAACTGACTGTTCACAGTCACAAAGGAGTCCGTCTCGCTCACCGTGCTATCACGACTGCGCAGAGAGGTGCGTGAATATCGAAGGAAGTCGGGATCGGTGATGAAGGGACTCTGCGAGCGCGATCGACTTAACGGAGATTGAGCAGATTTTATCTGTTCTTGCGATAAATTCATTACTTCATCGAGGGAGCACTTCGATCTGGTTTTATTCGATAGTGGCTCACGCATTGGGCCAATGATTGTGTCAGATGAAGCCATACCACAGACAGCTGACGCTGAGTAGTCAGCTGATTTCAAATCCTCCGCAGTCGATATGGAGGTGTCGGTGTTATCCTCCTGTGAGTTCTCTTCTATCGTAGGCAGTGAATGCAGGCTGCCTAGGAGAGGAACTACCCTACTCGGTTCCGCTTTTTGAGAGCTTGGAAGGGTATCATCACTGTTAAGGATAATATCATTGAGGGAAATTATGTTACTGCTTTCACCGAATGTCGGTGAATCGGGCGGTGAGTCAACCGGTCGAAAATCGGCGGGCGATCTCCACGACTTTTGAAGGCGAGTTTTACTTGTAGGCCTCTCGGTGTCCTCCTCATCATCGAACGGCTCCATTGTGGTATGCGATCCGAGACCAAGGTTTTGATAGCACCTGGGTCGTTTGTCAATCCGCAATACATAATCCTCGCCTCCTGACTCGTAAACAACAGGTCCCTCCTGCTGAAAGGTCCTACGAGTGCCTGGACGAGGGGAGGGAAGTTTTTCACTGAGAGCATCAATATCTCGGCGCACAGATTTCAGCAGAATTTCCATCGACTCGAGACGTGCTTCACTGTCTTGAAGCCACACCTCTTCCGGGGAGAGCACTCTTTCTGCCATCAGAGTCAGTAGTAAGGGTTAAATGCGATCAGTTGTCTAACTCGCTCACCTACAACCGTTGTCGAGATAATTAGGCATTGATTTGTCAAAGTTTTCTCATTTGGGCGTGGAGTAGGTGTCTGCGCGTGGGTGCTCGTGTGTTTGTGTGCCTATGCGTATGAATGCATGTGCATGTATATGTGGGCAGGCATGGACGCGATTGTAAACTTGGAATCTTGCACGCACGACTGAATGCTGAGTCACTGGGTTACCTGAGTGTTGGCTGGTGCACGCACCAACGCGTACACATGCTTCTCTGGAAATTTCCGCACGAGCCAATCCCCTCTATTAAGCTGCCTGTGGAGGCTTCCCATTGGTGCAGACGAGGTTAATGGCGAAAGGCAGATACATCGCGATTGGCTCGAAGGCGTGGTGATCGCGTATGTCCGACAAGGGGGTACGATCTCGCTGGTTGTTAATAATAATATAATATAGAAAACTAACAAATGCGTCATTTGATATGGCTAGGGATAAAAATGGAGTATCGAGTAGAACCTCTGTGTTTGGTGGGGAGTTAACGAGTGGGTTAACGTAGAGTCAACGAACTATGCGTCGCCTTTTGGGTACAATAGGACTCCCAGGGCTCCTATTGGATATCCAAAGAGATTGAAAAGGCCGAAGCCTTTTGATGCTAAAAACTCCGAGTATTACGCTCCTCGTTTGCCGAATCCTCCGCCTCTCAGGTTTGGTGCGCGAAGCTACGTAGCGGGTATTGATGTAACTTACACACCCTTTCTAGAACCGGACACGAATGCGTTCATTCATTTAAGAGGCGATTACATTGTACTAGGCGTTACCATTGGTACTATCCGCAAGAGACTGCCTTTGTATTGCATTGGATGACATTTGAGATTATTTTCGAAAAATACTTCTATTTTTGCCATGGGCAGCGAAGTAGAGAACTAAAGCCACCGCTGCCAAAATAAAAAATGAAATAAACCATTTTGGCTTTCAAAGGAGATAGCTGAAAAGGCGATGAAGAGTGGTCCACAGAGCCAAACTTCTAGTGGATTTCAACTAGTCCTATTTTAAGATGTCATTGTTCGTTCATTTAAAATAATTAGCCCTATTACCTTAAATGTCAAAGTAATCAAATTCGTGGCAATTGTTCATACGAGTAGTGGGTGCTTACTACTTCGCAATTTATTCTCATCTTGATGAGGCCCTGAGGATATTATTTTAGAATAAGTTACAGCCACTATTTATCATCTGCAAGCTGTGATTGCTAATAAGGAGGTCAAAGCGATAGAAATATTCACGACGGAGTAGCGTCTTATCAGTAAATGCAATTTCAATGCCTCTTCAAAGTGATGCAGTAGTAAATCTCATCCTAATCCGACCAGAGTATATGGGTCTGCATTTCGTGTTCATACACGGCTGCGAGATTTTGAGATAACTCCAGCAGGGTGGATCAGACGCCAGGGCGCTCTCACTCGTGGGGCTGACGGCGATCAAGGCGACAGATGATTTGTGGAATCGAACCTATCCGCACTGACCTGAGGGTTTGCGAATGGCCCCACCAGTTTACGTGGGTCATTTCTTACTAATGCCCTAGTCTTACTACTAAACAAACTGGTTAGCTTGCAACTACTGTCGTTTGGTTCTTGAATGGCCGTGAGTTGCATAAGCAAAAAGTTCCTTTTGAGCCTTTTCAAATGGTCTAAACTTTACGCTGTTAAGCTTCAAGTACAGCGCAGTCTTGGGCACTCACGACTATTTATCATAAGGACTAGAAAACTAGGGTTCCATAAACCTGATCTCATTCGCGAGATTAGAATGACTTTTAACAACCGGCTAGCGGTATCAGGTGCCGAAAATGTTTTAAATGAATGCCATGAATTTAAAGTCAAGTTAGGCTACAATTAAAGGGATTCATTTCACTTTATTGTCACTCAGCACTTCACAAAAAAGCCTTCCAAAATGCACCCATCCACCGGAGAATGTTGCTTTGAAACAACGAAAACATTTCTCACAAAACAAATTAACAATACTAAAGCAATGGGGAACGCATCTCTCATATTACTTTGGGTAGCGTGTAGGTAAAGAATAGCCATTTCTCACAATTCAAGCAAGTGATTTATCGTGGATTCATTACACTGGCATGCAGATGGAACCTGTTTCCTCAACTTACTACATAAAAGTGGTAGTAACGGATTTAGCTTTTCTCTCTTTCTGTTCTGTTTTCACACCCGTAGAACGAACGGATTGGTTAGAGGAGAACATTTTTACTTCATAAGTCTTGTGTTGCACCACGGCACATCCCTGAAGATAAAAGCAAACATAATACTAGGGAGAAATATGCATTGTCAACATACGAAAGGGCCGCGCGGCTATTGGCATGGACCGGAGGTCAGCCCACCCTGCGAGGGTACAATTACGTAGCACCTGGCTGGTCCTTTTACTAAAACCAAGAGTTAAACAAACGGTGAAAGTATTAAATAGACCCCCTCGTCTTCTGCACGTCGTCCTCAGCGACTCTCTTAGTCAAACTCCCACTTCAGCCAGCACAACGTAAGCAGTGCTGTATGGTGAATGTCCAGCAGCCAATCGTGTCAATAATCGAATTTCTATGCGACTGGGATGGTACTTGACTGCAACGTCATTGAGCTGTCTTGGCAATTCTGCTGAATCTAGAGTTTCGCCCTGTATGGCAACTGTGTTGGGGGAACGGGGAATGCGGTGGCCATCACGCGTGTCGAAGGGACATTGATCCAAAAGTGGAGTCATGTGACATAGGACGGGATTTAACATAATTCCGTGGTGGTAAGGTTTCGTGTCTATTCCTCCTTACCACTTTGCTCTCACCTCAGTACCGCCCAACCATAACTATCCGGGTTCTATCCAGCCAGCAGGGAAATGGAGGAAGTATTGCAAATTTACATAATTGATGTCTTCATATAGGAACAGTGGACGGCTACATAACGATCCTTTTTGAATGATCCACGGCCACAGATTGGTGTCGCTTCAGTTATTAAAAACAGTCCTGCATAACATGGGACTGGAGTAGATACCGAATGTGGACGTCAAATTCTCAGCACTTCTCTTACGGGGCATCATTTCATCCAACCGCAACATATGCACTTCTTCCAACTGACAAAGGTTTATCACCCAGCAGTAGAAATAAGGCTATATGCCCTTCAGCGTCGAATTCGCTTTCTGCGTCCACCATTGTAGCACCCCGGGACTTGCCTGAATATGTATTGTTGACCTACAGCAAGGCATGCAGCTACTGGCATAGCCCAGAGGCCAGCCCAACCGGGGAATGCACAAGGGCGAGGGGTCTAAGTGGCTCCTTTAACAAAACAGTTAAACAAACGACCAACGTATTGCAGTTGTCTATGTGTACAGGAAATCGAAGCTGTTAGGGGTGGGATATCCTTTCCCCCTCCGGGGTCAATGGCATCGACGCAGCCACGGAGTCCGCAAATACGCTGATGTGTGCTGGCAGAAATAATCACTTTGTGGAGCGTTCAACCCATTTGCTGACACAGAATGCTACAGTTTTCCTATCCCCACTGAAAACTATCATGAATTTCACAAATACCCATTCCTTACTTCTTAAAGTTACCAGTTGACCTAAACATGTTAGGGAATGGGAGCGTGCTGGAGAAGCATACAAGCACACCTTTGAAGGATATTTGACACTTACTCTAGCGTGGGATCTTTGTTGCCACTAAATTACTAGTCACGCTAGGGTTCACGAAAGTGCTCCACTTTAAAATAGACTTGATTATTTAGCACTTAAGATTTCAACTTTTCTTTGAGCAATCTGGCTTGCTACAACTTTAAAGAAGATAGGAAATATAAGACATAACGCATATCCATTATCTGACGCAAACCAATCAGTTTATTTCTCAATTTTTCATTCCGACTAATTGCGTGCCACTTCCCTATTTGGATCAAGAAGGTTAAACAAATGGGTAGCTGACACGACAGCACTAGATTCACACTCGATATGGGAACCATTGCCAATTATTGAGCCACTTTGTAGCTTTCATTCGATGTATTGCAATACGATGGTGGTTTATTCCCCTGTATTGGTGAGGCGCCACTTTTGACTTGGCCTTTGTACCCCACCGGGTGAGCTGGCCTTCGGGCCATGCCAGTAGCCTAAACACCTTCTCTGTGTTAAATATATGTTCTGCCCTAGTAGTGTGTCTTCTTCCTTCTTTAGGGAAGTCTCAGGACGCTACATTGGTGGCAGCGGAAAACGAACCCGATCCCAAAGGACATCTATCCTGACTTTCACTGCTGCGTGATAGACCTTAGCGGAGCGAATGGTGATGACCCCAAACAGAAGGGTTAAAGTTGACGTCTACCTTTGGCATCCATCCCAGTCCCGTGTTCTGCAGGGAAGCCATTAATAACTGAAGCGACACTAGCCGTGAACCATCTGGAAGTTTCGTTACAGACTTCCCCTACAGTACTTGCATTAAGCTGTTAATAAAGTGAATTCACGACATCTCCCCCATCTCCTTACTGGCTGAATAGAGCCTGGGCAGCTCTAGAGGGGGAACAACGTGACAAGGAGGAACAGACGCAAAACCATTTCCCCATGGACCTGTATTCAATCCCGTCCTTCCTTGCACAAATCTGCTTTTAAGCCAGTGTTCCTACATCTATCTATGGACACGCATGATGGCCGGCACAATTCTCTGTCCCTGAATCAAGTTCCCAAACCGGAGGAAACTGCGGATTCAGTCAAACTGCCAAGAGGGATCAGTGAAAATGTGGCAGAGTGTCTCCTCATTTGTACGCGAATTTGATGACTGGCGCGGCCGGCTCGTGGGTCTTTCCTTGAAGCACCGACTACGTTGTGGTGGCTGGCAGGGGAGGTCAACCAGGGGAGGGGGGGGTGCCGAGGACGACGCTCAAAAGAGGAGGGAAGCTAGGTAGTAAGATGGATGTTTATCCCTCGGTATCGGCGAGGAGCCACTTTTGACTTGGCCCTTGTACCCCACTGGGTGGGCTGCCCTTCGGGCCATGCCAATAGCCCAAATACCTTCTCTGTGCTGAATACGCATATTCTGCCCGAGTGGTATATCTTCTTTTGTCTTCATGGGAGTCTCGGGACGCCTCAGTACATTTTGACTTATTGTCGGAAGTTTACAAAAGCTAAAAACCTTCCAGAATTTGCCTCTTTCTTCTAAAAGGACATTGGTTTGGTGTATTGTACTGCCTATTATAGATCCATGAAAACAGTGCCATTAGCTAGAAAAGAGGCAATGTGGCAACCATCCAGACGACTGAAATAAGATCAATTATTCTTGTTAAAAAACTAAAAATATTCTGGCAATAATTTTGCTGAAATTAAGTGAATGAAACATTTTTTGAAAATGCTCTGATTCCATGCCCGTGTAATCTTTATGAAAATTAACCTTAGGTGATAATTTGAGGTTTTAGCCTAAAGTTAATTATTGCCATGTTATGATTAAAATTAATTGCACTATATATCATCATTAGTAGAAATAGTTTGCGAACTGGAAAGAGCCAGTAAAAAGTCTGGGCGTTTTGGAAACCCGCCCTTGTAAAGTTATCCCGTCTACGTGGTGCTGCGTTGCAGAATGAATTTCCTTAATGATTGGTTTATTTCCCCGTTCGCGAAGATTTTAAATTACCTTGGATTGTATCAGAAAAGCGGTAAACTAGTTTTTTTGGGTTTGGACAATGCTGGCAAAACCACTCTTTTACATCGCCTCAAGGATGATCGGTACGGAACTCATAATCCTACGCTTCACGCCACATGCGAGGAACTTACAATTGCAGGCATGAAGTTCACAACCTACGATCTCGGTGGTCATGAGCAGGCACGTAAGGTGTGGCACTCGTACATTCCCGCTGTGGACGGGATTGTTTTTATTGTCGATGCCAGTGAGAGTGAGCGGTAAGAAAATCTTTATGATGAACTTATTTTTCAAGTTTCAATGAAGCTAAAGTTGAACTGGATAGTCTTATTATGGATCAACAGGTTGCTAACGCACCGATTCTCGTCCTGGGAAACAAAATTGATGTGCCATCTGCCGTCAGTGAGGCAGTCCTAAGAAGTCACCTGGGCTTGGATGGACAGGTAACCGGAAAAGGAATAGTTCCCAGAGAGCACATTGCTAGTGGACGTCCTATGGAAATTTATATGTGCAGTATTCTTAAACGGCAAGGATATGGTGATGCTTTTAAGTGGTTGGCTCAATATCTTGACTGATTTTCTTTTGTTTTGGCAAAGACGGATTATGTACCCAACAGGCTTTTTTATTTGATCTCAAATGCATACGATCGCTTACCACTTCCGGGGATGTACATCAACGTTAAATAGCAGCCTGCTGTTCTTCATTACTTGTATTACCCATAAATATGACAAATTCTCCCCATGTATTCGCTCTCGGTGGTCTTGCCATTATTCCATGTCTCCCGGAATAAATTTTGCTAATACTTGGTTAGAGTGAAGTTCTATGCTTCGAGGCGCCCAAATGCTGAATTTCTTTGATGAATGAGAGCTGGACCGTGATATTGCCATCGTGTTTACGTTTTACTCCTGCGTAGTTCCTCCTGTTTCGTTAATACTCTACTTTTATCGGGAATCGTTTTATTGCACCTATTAGTTGATAGATTAACGCAGCTTTAGGTTACATTCTTTCGCACACCTGCGGCATGTTTAAACCAATATTTATCATTTCTACTGAACCCACTTGTGTGCTGGTCAACTCCGCTGTAGTTGTCACCAGCGTGATCCTTACTCAGACCCTAATAAGACTTTGAAATGTCACCAATGTCACTTTGACTACCAGACCTGTTACGAAAGCGAGTGGTTCCCAGCAAAATCCAGAAATTAACGTGTTATTATCATCTTTAGTATTGCTTAGGCATTGACTTTCTTACCATTGCAGTTACAATTGGTTAAAATTTTTAACCTGTGAAGCATTTGAATCACACGGTTTAATTCGTAATTCATCATGACATTTTAATTCATCAAATGCGTTAGCCATATCTCCCCCCTTTGATTCTGTCGTAACTGTATTTGCTCATTTTCGCTGGATGGGTTCTTCCGTCATTATTTTGGGAGGATGCGCATTGCTACTTAAGATGCTGTTAGTAGCGTACCCAAGATTTCGTTGGTTCCTCAACTTCTTGAAGTCCCGTGGGTTCTGCATGTTACAGCGCACTGGAGAACTTTGGCCACAGAGGCACACTTTGATTTACCAATATTACCCCAAAAGTTTACTAGTACATCAATGGAACTTCATTTCAACGACTAGCTGATCAATTCGCCTTGAACACTTAACATGCTAGGCGCAATGGTCAAGGCACATTTACCTAAGCTCAATTTTTAGCGATATTATCGTAACTTCAAGGGATATTCCGATAATGTGGAGTTCATTTATGAACTCATTTTAAGTGTCAATTCCAGGGCTGCTCAGTGGAGTTACTATTGAACCTTAACGCTTTGTGAGTCACACTCACTGGGGTTAAACATCAACAGGCGACTCTGATGGTATTCATAACATTGAAGCACAACCCGTGATTGAACGAGGTCATTAATCAACATCACGACGGAATAAATTAAGATAATTAGGTTATTTAAGGGGGATCACGAGCAGAAGTTCGGATTTATTTCACCAATTGCATCTTTGAGTGTGATTGTCTCATGTTAGCCACAGCAATCAGCCCTTTGTTTATTCTCAAATACACAAAAAAAACTTAAAAATCGGAAATCAAGTGTCAGTTAATTACCCTACCCTTATGAAAATGTGATTTGTGTGATGAGAACGTGAAGATCAGGAAGAAAACTAGGGGATGGGTAAAATACATTTTAATGTCAATCTCATTGTTTAGAGGGCGACAATTTCTGCTAGTAGGAGAGGCAGGAGGAGAGGACAGAAGGAAGTGTTATCTTATTTGGATTTGGTTGTGTGTGTGTGATAAATGTAGAAGGCTAGGCATTTTAGTGCTCTGCGTTCGCGTAGATGGATTTGGCGTACGACGGTGCAACACAGAGATCTGATTTACACGGAAACGAGCCGCTCTTGGCGAAGTGTGGTGAGGTGGAGGAAAGTCTACTGTCCACTGGGGAGGTAGAATCGGGTCGTTGGGTTTGCATCAGATCTGCCGGTGCTTGATTTATGTTTGTGTAGTCCACACCGAGGGGCTGAAGCTCCTAAACCAATGCGCCAACACATACAAACGCATCGAGAGAGGATGCAATTTCAAATGGCACAAAACTGTGGCAACTAGCCAAGCAAGCGGCTAACACTACCGGTGTTATTTGCTTGTATTTTTGGTAACAAATAGGCTTTGGGGTTAGCAGATAGGCAGGGTATGACGAACATAGGTTTTTCAGAACATAATCTAGGAGACTTGAACGCGCCTTTACGCCGCGAAATTAGTAAACAGGAAGCTTGGGGACTGTTTCCCTTCTGATGCTTATTTGATTTGGACAGGAATCATTCAGCTTCTGTTTTCCAAATCCACTGATTTTCAAGTGATCAAGTAGAAATTAAACTAATATTGCATCTGGTCACACGCTCGTCACTCATCATTGCTCAATCGGATCAGCCACATGACCCGATTCTAAGTAGAGCATCACCAGATAGAGAGCTATCAAACGTATCTGAGTACTTTGAAGTACATTGTTTGCGCAGTGAAAGTCCTATTTGAAAGCAAACTTCTGGGAGACATTGATCAGTGGTGTACTTTTACAAATCGAGGACCAACAACAACAGCAACAACAATGAAATTGCCAAGCAATACTCACGTTATGCAATTGAAGCCGCTGTGAGAGAGTGGAGACAAAGTTTTGCACAGCCTTATAGATAAAACGATACTGTGTTTCTATCTGCACCATACCGGAACGCTGCTCTCGTACAGCCTGCACAGTGCGCGAGATGTCGATGTCACACTGCAGACCATAACGTTTGATGTAGTTGATGAGCATGTCAATCACAATGAAGGTACCACTTCGGCCAATTCCTGCACTACAATGCACCACCATTGGACCACATTCCGTGAGACTCTCCTGGCAAGAATAACAACAATACCTTGCTTTAATCTTTAAGGTCTTTGATGATGCGACTACCATGCTGGTGGCTCGGAATTATCCTACAGAGCCTTCGGGGGTAGCCCGGGTGTTGTATAACCAATGCCTTGTTAAAATACCCTTTAATGGCAAGTGATAGATCTAATCCGAGAATCGGCTGATGTGAGGGGGCGATTGTTTATCAGTGGTTCGCGCACATAAATTGCGAACCGAAGCCATGTTTGCCAAAGTTTATGCCGACTGTCAACGGTATACAATGCTGGGGAAAATTTAGGCCGTACGGACGAGTGTCTAGGTTACTATTTTTATTCCAAAGCATCATGTGCCATCTCTGGGCGTTGTGACTTCCATACACCTATGGAAGTGCATCCGAGTGAAATACAGTGGCATGAGTGATCGGGAGGGTTAAAAATCTCCACTTTAATCGAATTACGCGCGTAGCCATCTGACCTAAGGGTCAGACCGGTAGGCTGTCAAGAATACTGATTTTCTGCTGTCTAGAACATAGATAAAATGCGTTTCCAATGGATCGAATAAACAGTCAGAAAGTAAAGGTAATTGCACGCTAAAAACCTCCGTGTAGAGAATGGCGCCTATGGTATTTTGGAACTACTGCGACCTGGTTTCCACACTTTTATCCTTGCGCTTAGATTTGTAACAGCAAATGCAGACAAGGCGGTAATTGGCCACGCCTGAAATGGGCCATGTGGCTAGTTGTCTGCCTAGTTGGCCAGTCGGCCGTCTTATTGGGTGTGGGGATTACCAGTCCAAAGCGAAGGTGGCTGCAAGGACTAATAGTAATGGCGTCCTGTGAGCAGGTGTGGAAATGCCATAAATTCGTCGCGGCATATGCAAGTGGTTATGTTTACAAGTTGATACAGAACACCATTTCAACTAATAACTTCTCAATGTCAAGGTAGTTTGCACCATAATTGTGCTGTGTTCTGCGACTTCTTTCAAAGCTTAAGTGAAAGAGGCGACTCACCATGCGCTTGGAAATGTCAAACATGAAGTTAAGCACACAGGAAGGATCAGCAGGTGTTCCGTGGTCAGGCCAGGCATGAAATTGGTAGTGGTACACCACGAAGCCCCTGGCGTCACCACTACCGTTGTTGGCCTTACCACTACTGCTGTTGGCAGCAGGATAATCACGAGACAGATGGAGCTCACGCAGGGTGTACGTCTCCAAGTTCTGCTCCGCAAGGTGGCAAACTCGCAGTGTTCCACCGTAGCTGGACAAATCCAGAGTAGGATGTGTCAGTGTTGGCCAATACCTCGAGCACTTGTTCTGCACAAAACCAGGTAAACGAAACGGTTAGAGTCAACTAGACTTCGAGGCAAAAAAATCGAGTGAAAGCTGTGGTTTACGAGGTCCACAATCAAGTAAAAATAGCCAAAACCAAAGCGATTTTCCAACCATGATTTGACATTTTTCATAATTAAGTTTAATTTTCATTACAAAAGAACAGTCCAAAGTGCATGCACAAATCACAATAAAGTCTTTTAATTCTCTCCAGGCAAACGTGAAGCTAGCAACACATTTTGCGACAGCAAACTTCCGCCACCGCTTATGCGAGCATAACTTCAATCCATCAACTCCATGAACACATTGAGTTTGAAAGGGGACAGGAGCAAATGTCCGCCGATAGAGTGAAAGTGACACCACGTTGTGGACACCAGTAGGTTAATTAGAGCTTTCACATATTCCGCTCACCAAATGATGAAAATTGCCAAAGGGTATTCTATTGATGCTAATCTATTTGCTGCTTGCAAACGCCTACAACTTATGGTGACTTTAAAGACAACAACTCCAAATGAACCTACTTCAAAGGGCCATGCCCAACTTTGCTGATTCGATGCTGCGCTGTGGAAGACCGCAAATACATGAGTCTGTTAAGACTTGCAAGAGAGTGGTCGTTGAGAGCATAATGGTGGGCAACCGAGAAAGAGATCAGGTTTGCCGTATCAAAATAACAATACAATGGAAGAAAGATAAGAGACGTAGGTCTGAGACTCGACTCAACATTGCTTTTTGACAAATGTTCTTACGAACACCGTCTAGCTTCCAGCATTACCCTGCAAATTACCATAAATGTGGTTTGGAAAAGATATGGCAAAGAAGTCTATCGAAGCCTTCTTGGGGTGATGAAACTCCGTTATATGACCTTTGCCCCTGTCTTCGTGGTTAATTCCACTTCCATCGAACACTGTTGAGATAGCCGAAGCGCTCGAAACAAGACAGAAGGTATGTATCAGAGTAACGGCATCTCCACTTTTCCTCGATTTGACCTTTACCCTGACGACACAGAACCCCATCTGTGCTCGGGGACCACAGGTATGTAACTGTAGAAAAGGGTGGCCTACCCTGCCTCGTTCCACCTCCTTAGTGATCATGACAATGATGGCACTGTGCTCCTGCCACACCATGCGCCAGAAGTCCACAATGGTGTTAGGCAAGGTGCCCTGTGTGGCGATGTACCGTGGACACGAGGAGGAGGAAGAAGAAGGCGACAGAGGAGCGGGACTGCCCCTTGCAGTTTTCGGTGGCAAAGGATCCACCGTAGTTGAACCACCAAGCAAACTTTCAGTTAGAGAGTCCTAGCAATGCAAAAGTAGAGATTTAAGTAGTTTTACACCAATCGACTTTGTATAGGACTTGGTGTTTCAACAGAAGGGCCAAACGATGGGAACCAAAGGTTTGAAGAATATTTAATGGTACAATCTGATGAATGACCAATTATGTAACTTTACCTACTTCACAATCCCCGATACCCAAAGAGAAGGTTATCTGCACGAGAATTTGAAAGCATACTGAATCGGAGAAACATTTGCATGCAATAAAACTAAAAGCATCGTTTTATTATCGTCATTAAAATACCCCCAAACAATACAAATCAACAAATTTGGTGTCGCATTGTGTAGAAAGATGTAAAGCACATAAATAATGCATGGGAAATCAGGCCGACCCAAGTTTGGATAATGACAAATAATACTCTGGGGTCAAAGGGTTGGAAGTACAATGGAAAGTACAATTATGCAACAGGTTACACTTACACTAAGAAGGCATTCTGGTGGATATTGCTCTGCGAAACAGTCAACTACGTATTTTTGTGGTCCGTTCCACCGACGGACAACTGGTAGTCTCACAACATGCGCAAGACATGGCTTGTTTCATTTACTTCCAACCACATTATGCATGTATGTATGTACTTTCAGAAGTTGCAAAAGCCAATCGTCCTCTAAAGTGAAGACTACAAAAGCGCCGATCACACCTGATTAGCAGCATTAAAGGTGGCTTTTCTTGGCTGGACGGTTAACTCAAGAGAAAATAAAAATCCAAACGAAGCGAAGCAAAATCATGCGGTGAAAGTGTAACACCATCCACAACCAGGAGCACGCAAACGCATAAAAGCCAACCCAACCAGGCACGCGGCTCTCGTGCAGGGAGTTGGAGACCGACGCTTTTCGTTCTATCGCCTTCATGCCCACATGGGCACGCAGATCTCTCGACCGCATCAGAGGCACAACGCCAAAGTGCGCACGTGGGTGTGTGCAGACGTGCGTGTGTGCATGATCGCGAAATTGCTGGCAGTGAGTCCACATTCACCTGCACACATGCACGCACACACGCGCATAACGCATTCACGTGCGCATTTGGACCGGGGCAATTTTACGCTCCACACAACACAACAAGCTTAGCCACTAATCGCCGGCCAGTGGAGAAGATCTAAAATAATGGCTAATAAATAGGCTTGAAAATGAATTGGATATGTCTAGATCTAATTAAACGGCTTCACGCCCTCCTATTTATGGAGGTGATGTGTAGAAGATAAATGGTTTATTCAGAGATGTAATGTGTTGAATGTTTGCTTAACTCTAGGTTTTCGTAAAGGGACCAATTGGGTGCGCTGCCATTGCACCCCAGCAGGGTGGGCTAGCCTCCAGGCCATGTGAGTAGTCCCAAGCCCCACTGTCTTCTTTCATCTTCGGGGAAGTCTCAGGGTGCTACATTACTGGTTGAAGAAAGCGAACCAGATCTTAAAGGACATCTATCCTGAATGCTGCTGCTAGGTGATAAGCCCTTGTGAGGCGGAAAAAGCGCATATGCCGCGGATGGAAGAATCGGTAACGACCCCTATAGAAGGACTGAAAATGGCGTCTACCTTCGGCAACCACCCCAATCCTGTGGCCTGGAGGAAAGCTATTAACAATTGAAGTGACACCAGCCGTAAACTATCTAAAATAGTCCCATACGGATCTGTCTACCGTTCCTGTATGATGCTAATTAAGCAAACATATAATACTTCCTCCACTTCTCTACTAGTTGAATCGGGGCCAAGATAGATAAATGTCTGACCAGCACTGGGGCGAGAACAAACTGGCAAGAAGGAATGGACACGGAACCTTACCGCCACGGAACTATGTTAAATCCTGTCCTATGTTACATGACTCTGCTTTTGGGCCAGCATCCCTACGACTAGTGACGGGCACGCGTGATACCCATACAGGACAACACTCCAGATCTGGTAGATTTGTCAAGAGGGCTCAACGCCGTTATAGCCAAGTATCTTTTCAGTTGTATGGAAATTCAATGGATGGCACGGTTGGCTAGTGGATATTTTTCTTACAGTACCGACTACGTTGTGCTGGTTGACGCCGGAAGTTGACCAAAGGGAGCGCCGAAGACGACGCGGAGAAGGGAAGAGGAGTTGTATGCTACGTCCATTTAACTCGCTGCTTTGGCAACGGGACACTTAGGGGGTCCACCGGGTGGGCTGGCCTCCAGGCCATGCCAGTAGGCCCAAGGTCTACTGCATGTCAAATATACATATATTCCGCCCTAGTATTCTGTCTTCTTTCGCCTTCAGGTAAGTCTTGGGGAGTTACACAGAGATGTACTGCCTTCACTAAGCAGGTTAGGACGTTGCTGAATTTTTAATCAAAAATTTCATGTTCGCATTAGTTCCAGAAATAAAGGAGCAAACTGATAATGGCATCTCTGCTGGATTGAAGTAGGGGTGTAAAGAATCTGACCAATCAACGGTCCATTCAAACAGGAAGGCAAACAAAAAGCTTATCAATATATCAATTGAATGTAACAGTGAAAAAGGAATGATCAGTCCTTTTCATTCATTTACCATTGGCACGTTCACAAAGGATAAGTATTCCTTATGAGTCAGCAGAACGACCTGCAGTTGAACTCTCATTGATACCTCAAACACAAATCAGGGTTATGAAGGCTAGAGCTAGGACTGCACTAGAATTTCACTGCATTCAAAACACTGATTTTGACAAAAAAATCCCATTTGACCTATGAAAAAAAGGTTCATTTGCATATCAAATAAGTGGACTATTCTCTCCAAAGTGCGTTCTCGCACCCATGTGTGCCAACTAGGTAACCACTTGGTATTCGCCACTGACAGTCCATGGACATTCCATTACCCTGCAATTTACCATTTCACATCTGTGATTTCCTTGGAAGCAAAGAGTCACCAGATACTCTTATCGAGCAAACTGAGTGTGCTTAAAGTTTTTGCACAGAGGTAGAAAAACTGACTTTTCGTGGTTCCAACATGTGGAATCCTGTTAGGTCGGTGTAACAAACGCAGAGTTGCAGAGACAGCTAAAACTGACTAGCGAAGCCCGAAGGATAGTAGAGAATGAGAAAGCAAGAAAGCTGACTGAGAGTGAGGCATTTGCCTACATTCTACTACATTACAATCCTGCGTAAGTAAAAGTAATTAACACTTGTTCCATGAGAAACAACACAAATCTTTTTTAAAAATCGATTTGTTGAGAAGAAAGCTAAAAAGCGTACCGGCCAGCTGATGTAATTCGCATTAATGTAGTCGGAGCCAGGGATATTGGGATCGCCGTCAAGAAGACGAACAATGGTTGAGTCAAAGGGAAGAATATTCTTATAGCGATTTTTGTCCAAATTGTGAGACTTGGCCCCCTCAAGACGACTTCTGGCTTTGGTCTAAAAGGCAGCAAGCAAGTCCACCAGCGAAATGCGCTAGATCCAACGACAGAAAACGCCTATTACTTGCACACACTCATGGCAAAATGCATTCGAATGCGGATTAAAATCTGCATGACATTTTTAATGATACCTTTAACTAGCGTTTGTTTAGGATTTCCCAGAATCGAGTACTAAGTTGGGAATAAACAATGTTAGGTGAAAACACAATCAAACATGGGCCACGGTTCTAGTGACTGATAATGTAAACTGCTGATGTAGTAGTGTAACAACCTCAGTTCTAAAGCGCATAATTTACTTGGATGACAAAAACACGGCGACTAGTCGTAGCTAGATGATCAAAATCAGCCCAAAGTGGCTTCACAATCAACCTACGCGTCAGTAATGCCTGAACTTCTTAAGTGGCACTAAAACAGTTTCGCGGCTTAGTTCCAAGCTTCACCAAGGGCAAGCGGAAGGACCAGAGCACATGAGAAAAAGCCCAAAGTAAGAGTAGAATGGAAAAGCTATGGGTAAAAGTAACATTAACATTGTAGAAGCTTACATAAATGAATGAGCAAAACCGCACGTGATTGTTTAGGGAAATCATTAATTCGGGAAAGCTGGACGGATCGCCTGTTAAGGTGTAACGTCTTTAAAAGATAGAAGAAGCTGCCACTTAAACAACTGAGAGATCAAATGATATCCACAAAACCAGCGAAACCGCGGTGAGGTCCAACGAAGCTGAGTTACAAGTGAAATATAGAACGGTTGGTAAAGTTGTCCAATTCGTAAGAAAAGACGGGATAAACTCATATTTAAAAAAGTCATTAAATTTACCGCTATGGCAGTTAACCGTCTAGCCTTGGTTTTTTTCAAATAGTCGGTTCGATGGAAAACATGGACGCAATAACACATCAACTGGCGAGATTCAAGTCGTTCAAAATCACTGAAGCTTTCGGACATTACCACATAGACTGGCAGTGAGCGATGACTTGACTATCCATTCAATGTGGAAATAGAACAGTTTGATAGTACTTGAAATGGATGCGGTTAATTGCCCAAATGATTACTGACAAATGCGATACCTCCAACTTCACACCAACACAGGCACCAATTGTTTATTCTGCCTGATCTCTGTGTATGGGCTTTCATGGGTACCAGTTTGCCCTCAAAACGTCTGCAAACTGTCTACAGGAAGCAATTGCTAAAGGATATCCGACATTGGCCTAAAAAAGCTTTATTTAGAAAACGAAAGCTGGTAAAAACGGGAGTCTCGGGAAACAACAGTTCATATTCAATGATTCGCAATGTCTGAACAAGTTATGTTGGTAAATCGTCAATAGGGGGACATATATTCCTACAATTAACACATTTTCGAGTAATAATGACAAAAGTTTACCAGTCGAACCAGCAGTACAACAAACTACAGTGGAGTTTGGTTAATAAGATAGGTAATGACGAACAAATGAGTCAAGTGTGGTCGAAAAAAAACGCACACAAGATCGGGTTGAAAAGCGTAAACATTTCGGTGAGATTACCGACAATCTAGCTAAATATTCAAAAGGATTAAGGCATTTGGGTTACTCCAGAAAAAATATTAATTTCGCCTAAAAAGAGGGTTTTTAAATAAAGATTCGCAAAGTCATTTTATTTCGAAAATACGGTAGGGGAATGTTGGGGGAGGGAGGGGAGAGGAAACAGTTGCTAAAGTGACTTCCATTTATCACGAATCAAACTTACATCGTGAATGTCTTGGTGAAGCTCCTCGAACTCTTCATGAAAACCGGCCAAATGTCTACCATTGACGTTTTCGCACTCAAGTTGTCGTATTCGTTTGTTTATGGTGGAGACGTTGAGACGAGTCGCGTTGAAGGGCTAAGAGGAAGAGAATCTACCAAATTACCGTCCATTGAGGGGGTGGATAACAAAATACTAAAGCAATATTCCGCAATTTTGATCGATCCAAGGAAAAATTATCATTTTTATAAGCCTAACTGTGTGTGACATTTTACAGGCGCAAATGAGTGGTATTTCAGAAATGAAATGTCTTCAGACGTACCAACACCATGACTATAAAATTACATTTTCATTTACCAGTTCACTTACATGAAAAAAGAAATAAGGGGAAAATTAATGTAGCAATTGTCTACACAGGATAACCTTATTTAGACTATAAGGGAAAATGATTCATTTGGACCGAAAACAGGTTTAATTTTTGGTGAAGTTTACCAAAGCCTGAGATTATTTGAATCGGCCTAATAGGTTTTACCTTAGTTTCGCCTGATTTACCTGAATGTAAAAGCAAAAAAAATGATGCAAAATTTTTTAAATTAGTGAACGGAGCGAATTAGATTGAAAGCCGGATTGACATAGAAATTAACAGATCCTACTTAGTATTAAGAAGAAATTTCAAGAGACGAAGGAGACTAAACATAACTCTTCTCGTCACATTTAACTAGCCTATTTCGCTAAAATGACTATTCTCATTCTTTAAGGAACGAAGTGATCTCTAAAGTAATTGGTTAGGATTTACGAATGGCGGCAGACCAATAGGTAAAAGCAACTTGTTTTGGGGTAAACCAACGTAGATATAAGTAGGGTTCCATAGGAAAAAAATTATAAAGCATTTGAAAATTAGAAATATTGTTTCTTCAAAGTTAGTGCATCGCAGAGAAATCACAAAAGTGCATTAAAATAACACATTTTAATTTAATAAGGAATCTTCAACCAAACGGATCACAAGAAAATCAGAAAACACAATTTTTGGAGTCCAGCAATATGCCATGATTCACCAGTGGATAAACATGCATTTCCGTAAGAGAAAGGTAAGAATTTATGATTAAACAAATATAATCACTGCTGATAGATTAATGAAACAGTAACTCATGACAACAGGGAATGACAAAACACAAGTAATTTTAAATAAATAAAAAACAATGGCAATGATGCACATTTCAATGAATGATATTCAAATTTGAAATGCAGGCAGATACATGATAACGCTAAATAATGCTGCTGTGGCTAAACAGAAACATACTTGTTTTAAGTATACCAGTCCTCCATTCTTCTCTACCATCGGCGTTGCGGTGTAGAAGTCGATTAGCTCTTTGAGAGTCAAAAACTGATGACCACCGCCGGCATCGAATTTGTTGTCTTTTTTCCGGTTAATGAGAATATGCGACACCTGATCACCAGTTGCAACAGAAAGCACGTATGAACCAGGTTTTTGGATCGACTCTCGTACAAGAAAACTGCCATTCTTTCCCTTTTCCAGCAAAAGTTTCTGCGCTTCATTTCTGGACATCGGACCATGAAACCACCGTGAACTAGAAAGTTTTGAAATGGAAATATCAAAAGGCATAAAGTACATAAATAGCTAAAATAATGCGGAATCCAAAACTTATCAGCCTAAAGGGGCCGAATGTAATTTGAAACACACTAGGTAGAAAGCTACACACCTCTCTGCCAGTGGGTCCTGACAAAATAATGGATACTTTAATTCGATTATCGAACCATTCTTTTCCTTTAATTCACCGTGATTTTCACGATAGTAGTCAACCAATTCGGAAAGGGTCGCAAATGTTTCACCGCCATAGAGATCAAGAAAATCTCCAGTATTCCGAATGCGTATATGAGTAACACAGTCCTCCCGGCGAACAGACAGGGTAAAGTTCCCGGGATTCGTCCAACTAGGTCTTACAAGGAAGCTTCCTGGATCGCCCTTTTCAAGGAGCAGTTTCTCTGCTCGGATTCCCTCAAGGTTATGGTGAAACCATCTACGAAATTCCGATTTATACGTTCGTGTACCTCCTGCGCTCAATAACCATTATTCATGAGAATATTTGTCACTCGGCTTGCTTCAACGTTGCAAAAGCTAAACAGATGCCTATATAGCAAAACTTGCAACCACAATCTGCTTGTAGGCGGGGTCTTGAAACCTGCCTACACGTCCACCGGTTTAATTAAGCCGGTCACTTTGACCTTAGCTAGGTCAACGTCATTACCAATTCTAAACTTGGCGTTAACTGAATAACTTAAGCTTTCACCCAAACTCTAGCATTTATCATTTTCTAAACCAAAATAAGTAAGTTAAACACAGTGGATAGCAGTTTGTACCTTTGCATGCACAGTAATGCCTCTAATTAATCTACACTTGCAATCATCTTCAAATATATTCAGTCTTTGCATAAACTTTGCTTAACTTACACATAGGTGACTTTTTTGAATCATCTTCAAAGGCTTATTTTAGTACGTCACGGAAGGGGCCGGGCTTACCACTAACACATTGTAGGGGTGAGATATTGGGTCTGTGTTGGCAGCGAAATTGCTCCGTGGAGTAGTCGCCTAGCCATACCCTTCTCAGTACTTTGGCCTCTTATGACTTCAAGGAAACTAGAGGCTCTAAAACCAGAGACTCGTTTAGGGAACTCCATTCGCCATCACTTTTCTGCTTGAAGTCCATCTACAAATAGGAAATGAAGATCGCGATTTGATGTTTAGAGTCAAGAATGCGGCGCCTCGAGCATTCTCTCAAGCCGTAAGGTGTCATACAACAGTGGCCAAACATGCACTGCTGACGTATATGGGTTAGAGAGGCAATTGGCGTGGCCCAGACGCCATACCGCGGAGAAAAGGTGCGATAGGAGAACCTCAATTGCTTGCCTAACCAAACCGCGGAGCCTAACAATCATTTACAGAAAGAACATAAAATTTTGAGGTCGGCGATGTATCCCTTTGAACTTGATGGATGGACCACTAAGTCCTCATTGAGAACCCAACTGTGGCACCTCATTATTTCCGCAGGGCTAAGGACAAATGGGGGAACCTAAACGTCAGCAAAACTAAAGAAAAGGGCTAAGTAGTTATATGGACGTGTTCAATAAGTATACAGACACAACACGTGCCCCCTCTGGTAGATTCTGTAGCCATTCGAAATAAGTTAGTGCACAAATTGGAGCACTGATGCAACATGATAATCAAAGTTAAGTAAAATATAGTTATTCGTTTAAGAAGCTTCGGTACATAAGACGACTGGAAGTAGCTAAGATTTGTAGAGGTTCGGGAAAATAATCAGACCAGCAGCTCGTTCAACATCTTTTAGAGGCACGGCGAATGTATTAACATGTGTGCCTTCTGTAATTTCTCGATTAGGAATCACCCAGGCATGGGTCCTCCAGGGGCCCTGCGGTGTGCCCTGTACCGCGACCGCCTTGAAGAAATGAGTCGGAACAGCAACACTATTCGGACCAATCACCTCATAGATGACCTGTCGATGACCTCGTTGAGAGAGGGTCGAGCTTTGAAATAAGAATGAAATGACAATATTTGCGAGACAAGACTGGTAATGTTACGACTTAACTAACCTCGGTAGAAACAGTGGGCCCGTAACAACTACAACGTTTGCCGATCGCCTTGCTATTCCTCGAACGTACTTCTCCAGGTCATTCCATATTCCACGGTTGAAACCATAGCCAACCTGAATGCAAAACACTCACAATTCTCTGGCATGTGAACACTACAATTGACAAGATAATGCCTGTTTTTTTGTACAAGGCACGGAGTCACCTGCACCAATATGACAAAAGCAACGAACCGTGACAGGTTAAGACAAAAAAATATTTAGACCTCTCATATGAACGACAGTTACACCACATCCACCTGTTATCAAGATAGTTCCTTACAGACTGGCAAAAATAAGGCAACGTTTTGGTGAAATGTGGGGCTTGACAGAGTTAACATGGATCAAACTTGTTGGAGATGAATGAATGAAGGGTACCTGTGGCGCAATGTTGCTGAGAATAAATGTTTTCTTCATGGACTCGGCATTGTAATTGTTATTTCCCGCGGCAGCCATATGGCCCCGATCCAACCCACTTTTAGCATAGTCTAAGTTGGTGCTTCGAAACTCCAGCGGTTCACCCAAGTCCTCCACGAAAGCAAATTCCTTTCTAGAATAAAAATTTAGGACGTTAATGGACGAAAAACGCACGCCGAATTCACCATAAGCTCGAAAGTGGTGATTTTAGGGTTTGGAGATGAAAGGTACCTGTCCACGAGATCCTTTGCATCACCGTTAAGATTTTCTTTGGTGAGGTGTTCCAACGTCCACCGGGGAATACGACTCCTCCGGTCATAGAGACAGAGGAATCCGGGTAAAATTTTCACACTTTCAACAGTGGGCACACCTACCTGGGAAACCGGTACGGGAAGAGGACTTTGAGGAGAGAAGACATTACGCGAGAGCGCTTTGAGGTCGGGCGTATCAGGGGGGGTCGGCGCAGTTTTCCTCTGGATGGTGGCGAAGAGGCGTCTTTTGTCGGTAAAAACAACTCCGGTAGTCAGACATCCCGCAGAGAATGCCGCCGATGCCACAAAAAAGTAATTCGCAATCCGAGACGAGAAGAGTCGATGCATAGGTCAAATGATATTCCCTTAGGAAAGAAAAAAATGGCTCCAAAATACTAAATAACAAAAGGCACCCAGCCTGGAGATTTCGTTAAATATACGAAAGTGATGATGGAAGTATTCAAGTTTGAATTGAAATCTGTTTAGCTGTAGACGATCTACAATGCCCTAACCAAACCTGGAGGAAAGTTCCCTTGATGAAACGGCAAAACTTATGAGGGATGAGCCCCTCCAGCCTGTTAGAAAACCAAGAACATGGATAGATTCAACAAAATTGTGACGCGAAGCAAGTGACTACGCAGTACAAATTCGTTCCCTATCCCCAAGTAATAGACCGATCGTTTCCCCTCAAGAATATATCAGTAGAAGAGTTGTAAAATCCATCAGACATCCAACAAGCAGCCACAGACAGGAAAAGACAAAAGCATGCAAAGTAGGCGTAGAATGTACTTGATTTTCATTTACCCAATCTTAACCTTTTGCATGAAGACATGGGTTTATACATAAAATTTATAGATCACATGGCTGGGCAATTACTTTGACAAGGAAAGGGAGGACATTTTCTCCCCCAAGGCGTCTAAAAGTGACTCTAACGCGCTGTTCTGCTTTCGATGCTGTGAGATGAGCAGAGCCAGGGGTTTTCTTATATGGACACCCAATTGATCTCCGTGGCGTTTGAGCAGAGACGCCACTAGGTCAACGACGGTGGCCAAATTCTGAGAATCACTGGCCTCCGTGTGGACTTTCCGCTCTACCGAGTCGCTTCGGTCGGGCTTAATAGCGCCCAAATGCAAGAGTATATGGTTTACGGCTCTCGCCGAAGGAAGAACAATAGAGTTGGAGACTTTGTCACTTTTCCGGGTCAGTGCAGCTAGAAGAAGGTCGCAGGCCAGATTTCGCAATGCGGGCAGGGAGGACTTCTGGCAAATCCGGAAGGCCAATCGCACAACGGACTCTGGTGAGGCTGACGAGATCTCCTCAAAGTTTAGTCTCAAATTGGGTGGGGACGACTGCTTAACCAACTTGTCTAGGGCAATAACAATTGAAATACACAGTAAAGTATTCTTCTTGTTCCTCTAAAACATTCGTCAAAATTAACTAATTTATAGGTCCCTGCATCGTCAAATCTGGCTTTTCGAAAATCAGAATAAAGCTAAATTTAACTATATATCAAGGGTAAATCAACCCACCAATCAAAGGCATAAGTTGATTATCATTCTCCGTGTCAAGGAAAGCCGCCTTTAGTGATTCCAAAATGGATTTTTCATCGAAAGGTTGGAGTCGTGACAGCGTCGGTGTGGAAAAGAGCCCGGAGTATCCAAAGCTAGTGGACGCAGGCGACGTCGAGGCGCCTAATTTTGGAGGGGCGAAGAGTTTGCCGGAAATAGGTAGAGATGATTTGTTGCCAAATAAGCCACCCGATGAAGTTGAACCTGTCATATCTAATCCAGCGAACAGATTCACTCTGAGCTGGTTTTCCTTCTGCAGACTTGAAAGACAGGACAGGAAACTAAAACCACCAGCAGCACTAGTGCCAGATTGGTTGACCGATTCATTACCTTGAAGAGAGTAGAACAGCAATAGCGGAAGCAATGCAACAAAAGCTTTAAGGGTGCTGATGAGTCTACGCAGCGCGTTACACAAACATATATCCCCTTTATTATGAAAGACAAAATAGTTGATGGAATCATGTTTTACTACAATTAGCTCTGGAAGGACCCACAAGATTTGCCTATTATGTAGCCCCTCTTAGCTACTACAGATAAAGAAAGTCGTCACCAGTGAATCAAATGTACAATTTATAAACGCACCTGATGGTTTACTTGGTTTCTCAAAACTGTCCTTCATGACAGCAAAAGAGCTTTCCCGCCCATCGTCCCCCTCCTCCTCTTCCTCTTCGTTGCCATCCTCTCCCTTATCATTGTAGCTCTCTTGACTTCCGTCATCACTATCCGATTCCAGCTCATACTCCTCCCCGGCTACATCATCCCCGTTGTCACTGCCCATGTCCTCATTGAAGGCACGGTGATAGATATCCTCGTCTTCATCCCCCTCTTCTTCTTCACTTATCGACGGAACATCAGCCGCAATTGCATGTAGAAGATTCGCGGTAGTGAGGACTTGCAGGACATTCTCGACACCAGTGGGACCGAATTCGTTGGCATTTAATGAGAGGTGAGTTAGTTTGGATTTATTGGCCAGGCTGAAGGCCAAGAACACTGCAGCATCTCGTTTGATCTCGTTGCCGTAAAGACTCAGACGACACAGGTCTGGTACCACATCTTCACGTTCGAGATAACATGCCAAAACACGACAACCCCGAGAGCGTATGAGACAATCATCAAGAATAAGCTCCTACAAATTAGATGAGAATGATACCCAGAGTAGTAACGAATGTAGCTATAGCTACAAATGGGATAACAGCACCCGTCATTCTCCCAAAAATATTCAAATAAATTCCGGGAACGGACACATAACAAGCACAAAACAATGGTTAAGAGATAATCACACTCTGAGAGTGCGAACCTTGAGTTGAGGTATAGATTTTAAGATCCTAGCTATTTCAATACCTCCCTCTTCCTTTAGTGAATTATCAGATAAATTTAGCACACGCATCTGAGTATTCTTTGAAATCGCGGAGGACAGAGCTTTGATCCCATCTGACCCGTGAATTCCGATACCATTTTGATACAGATGGAGCTGTAAGGAAGCGATAAATTTCAAAATTATCAGAGATGTACTTCTTTCAGCGATTGCATTTGAGAGAAGACATCAGCCAACAAGCACGCTCCAACATTTTCAAGACGATTGCGTCCAGCTGAAAAATATATTAGTTTAAGTCCTTTTCCATTGCTTTCCCTTATGCCTTTAGATAAAGCCTCAGCCAAATATTTAGCGCCCTGGTGCCCAAGGCCTTGGTTGTTCATGCGCAAAGCCTACACAATCAGATACCCAGTACACCCTTGCCTTTAACGTAAAACACGCTGGACTGCTCAGGAGATCAGTTACGCCTACAACACCTCGCGGACCAAATGCATTATCACTTAAATCGAGTTCAGTAAGTCGAGCACCAGATGACATTATGCCAACTGAAATTTGCTTCAGAGCGGGAGCGATTTCATCAGCCATACGACCTACAATAGTAACATTACTTCCAACCATACCTGTAAACATATCGCTGAACAGACATCTTCTTAAGTCTTTGTGACTTGACAACTCGGAACCGATTGAGCATGCCCCATTCACGCCAATGGTGTTACCTGACAATCGAAGAGCAGTCATACATGGACTGTTTCTAAGAGCTTCCAAGATGTTTTGCGCGTCTTCTTTGGTATCGACTTTAATTGATTTTCCGTCAAAATCGACAATGACACCGCCCTTTTGCTCCAAAGCCATTTTTGGGAAATGAAGCAGGCTAACCAATAGCCTATTATGTAGGTCAATTTATGCGTGTTTAAATGTGAAATAGACTATTACAAAACGTTGCTTGTCTTAGCTTCTCACCTTTAGAAAAGATGTAAAATGTCTCAAGAACCACAAGACTTTCCATTTTAGCACTAATGTTGCATTAAAATATACTCTTCACTTCATAAAACATTTTACCCTCAAAATATATTATCCACTACTTTTTCGGAGATAAGAGATTTTTACTCTACCAGATAAAAGCCTTGTCTCAGATGCTCTATTTTCCAAAACATGTGTGTAATTTTACATTCAGGAACCCAAATGTTTGAGAAATATTTAGACCGAAGTGCACAAGATCGAAATATTTTCGAACATGCTAAAATTGTGTATTGATATGCTTCATCCCTATTGTAATACGGTTGTGGTATATCCTTCGGTATTGGTGAGGCGCCACTTTTGAATTCTTGAATTTGCCTTCTTGTACCTCGCTGGGTGGGCTGGCCTTCGGGCCATGCCAGTAGCCCAACCACCTTCTCTGTGCTGAATATATATATTCTGCCCGAGTATTGCGTCTTCTTTCGTCTTTGGGGAAGTCTCGGGACGCTACACTATTGCTCCTTTGAAACTGCACAGCCTGAAAATTCTGGCACCCTAAATTGCTGTATTTCCAAGCACAAATATCGGTTTTTTTGCATGCCATCCATAACTCTCTCCATAATGTTATGCTAATACATCATATCTCAATAAGTTTTGATGTTCAATCAAGGTGCTTGAAGTTTGATAAATATGAGTAGAGTTCAAAACTTCTGTAGAACAGTGAAATTCGTCTTCTAAATCGCCTTTGCATGGGTTATATCCTGCCTAATTTTTTCAAGCAAGATGTTTAGATTATAGTCACAGCAGTAGGGCCTGCTAAAGTTGTAAAGAGTGGCCGAAGGCTGTAAAAAGAAGATGGGCTAGATTACACCACTATGTTGCTCAGCCCTACCCCCATAACTGCACAGAGAATGAGTGAATCAAAATACTAAAGCAGCAAATGTATAGATTTTGCTCTAGTCAGTGTTTGTGACGTTGATACTGCTCAGAGGGCTGGGCCTTAGTCAAAGCAGTATGCTGTCACGTTAATCATAAACAATAACTAAAAAAGATCCGCCCTTTGGTTCTAACACTCCCGCTTTATGGGAAATGAAAGTCGCAAACGCAGTTGTATTCATTTGGGAACCCTTCGTTGCGAGTACATGTTATTTTATGGCTTCACCATACGGTCATGATCCCTGTGATGACCCTGGCCACACGCACGCGTGGAGCCTTAATTATTACCTACCGTGTGCTGATGACTAATTTTTCCATATCATTAACCCTTTACGCTTGGTGAAACCACCGAAATGTGCCAAACAGCCTTAAAAGCTAAGGATGCTAAAGTTATCTGTACATTTAAACATGTAATTTATCCAAGTCTTTCCCAATATTGAAAAGATGGAGATAGTTTTTGACAGGTTTCAGAGGTTCTTGAGGGTGGTCAGATCAGTTTTAAGAGATTTCAAGTGCTCCATTCGCAACATTTAAAAGTGTACTTACAAATTTAAAGTGCCCCATACAAGATGACTTCAATTTATTAAGCTTTGGTTACATGGATGGCTCATCTGAAATTTTGATGCGCAATTATTAGGTTATTTGTTCAAATCTCTGTTTCGGTAACGAGCAACTGAAGGCCTCCGCCATTGTGCCTTCGCCGTATTGCCTAGTCCCTTGGTCACGTCAGTATACTCAAGCCCTGCTCTACGTCGACAGTACATATCCTGCCCTAGTGTTATGGCTTCTAACGCCATAAGGAGTATCTCAGAGCGATACGTCAGTAGCAACAAGAAGCAAACCCAACCTTGAAGGGCTACTGTCCTATTACTACTGTTGGATGATAAGCGCTGGAATGACAAAAGAAGACGTAATGCTTGGGCAGAATATGTATTGTCGACCTGCGGAGGGACTCGCGGGCAACTGGGATGGCATAGATAATAGTCTGCCTGGTAGGGGTACGATGACGGAGCTTCTTAGTGGCTAGTTACCAAAATCTCGAGCTAAAAAAATGAGTATTACGATACCTAGTGATAAAATGCTAACATAGTATAATGCGTGTTTGTTTAAATATCACTCTTCAGTTGAGAAACGGTCAGTTTACGCCATCCACGTGACGTAGCGGATGCATTTACTTCCTGATGAGGAAACGAACTTCGATCCCCTTTCAACATCACTGTTCAAATAAAGTGCTAATCCTCGACACAATCCTCTCGTTCCAAGGGTACGGAACCAACAGAGGGGATACGGAGACGCTGAATCAATATAGCAACATCTGTAAAAGTGCCAGTACTTTCGCCTTTTAATTAAGTTGATCACAGTTTATCTGTTTATATATATATTAAGATACAATTAATCGTGAATACATTCTATAAGCAAGGCGATAGAGATTGCATCAGAGTAATTGACGTCTGTTGATCAGTTTGAAGAAATTGAATTTCTAGTTAAAAGACAAAATTATTGCTTAAATAGGTGAACAAAGGAAAGGTGTTGTGGATGTTTCTTTAATATAATTCCGCGCGTATTGTAATAATTTTCCCCATCATTCGCGAATACTCTCAATTCAATGCCCAAAAGGGCGTTAAAAGCAGATGCGCATCTTTCAAAATGCAATGCCTTCAGTCGTAATGACGGAAAACTAGAACAAAATGTAATACGTGTTTGTTTAAAAGCATCTTTTAGGCATGAAACAGTCAGTATACATAGACCTCTCTCCTGAGCAGGCGCCATTGTCCACTGAGGGGGTGACAAACTCTGACCACCCTTCAACCATGATTCCTTGTACACCACTGTATTACTTCGTGGATAAAACCTATCCTCTTTGATTCAATCCGCTCATCCCAAGAATGTAAATGCATTTTGCATAATTAATAAGTCACTTTACCTTTGGTGCATACACTTCTACTTATAAGTGTAGACAACATCTAGGATTATCTATGATGTTGGAAAGAGGTTTCCCTAGTTAATGTGTCATTACCAAGGTTACACTGTCTAGAGGCGTTATGACTGTCGAATTCAACCAATGTTGGGACACGTTCTGAGAAAATGATATTTAACACAATTCTACAAATAATACGCAACTCCTTGTTGGTTAACATTGATCCAACTTCCAGGAAAAAGACCACATGTCTCTGCTAGTCGCGCTTGTGCTCTTATGTTCTTATCTCCGTTGATATACTTATGCTAGCATAACCCTTAGGAATCAAGTTCCTAATTTCAGCGATAATATCAGTAGGAATATTAACTTTATTCAACTGGTCAGAAGTAGTAGCCGTGTTTATTTTTAGAACTAATAACTTCCAAATGATTCTCTAAAGGAAAAATAGCAAACTTTTGGTGAGGTAGTTATTGCGCGCCTGTATTTGGGGATTCCACAAGTTTTGATGGGATTTCATTCTTAGACGTTTCCAAAAAAGGCTATTCTTTAACCGGAGTTTATCGTACAGTACACAAAAAAGTCCCAAATTTCTTTATAGAACGAAAACAGTAAAATCTTGGTCCAAAAAAGTGAACAATAATAGACACATCTCGTAAGCATTCGAATTTCCTTAAAGACTAAGTTTTACTTCATCCATGGACACATCCGTACATGACACGTATAGATACTTTCGTGGAATGAAATTTATTTGTCCACTTTTAAAACAGGCCAATTTAAAGAAATGCAACCACGTTGCTTGTTTCAGTTGTCTAGAATTGATATTTTTAAAGAGCCATGAAGAGGAGACCGAAACGATTTTTTGTTGAAATCACTTCGTCCTTTGGCATGGCCCGTTTAGATGATAGAGCACATAAATAATCCCGTCTAGAAGAAGGTCACTTCGCTACTCGAGCATGACGCGTTGCGAAACTTTCGTTGTTTCGCTCTCCTACCTCCTGTTTCGGATCCTTGCGTTCAGGAGATTGTCTGGAGGAAGATTTCTTTTATTGCGTAGTATGGGGAGTTTACAAATTACCGAAAGTTTTTCGGGGGATCAGTATTCGCTCTCTTAGGGGAATGGTCTGTATGCATTGACTATTGGTCGTTTAAACGATAGTTGCAAACAACCAAACAACCAAATATTGTTCTCACTCAAAATTCCAGTAATTTTTCTGGAGAATATCCTGGCCCTATGAACCAGATTTCACACTGGCATCTATTACCTACCCTAGCCTAGAAGGTCTATCAGTCGTAATTCCTCTTAAACATGTAATCAAATTTATACCCAGTTAATTAACTTGTATTTAATTCCTGTATGAAGTGTAAATTCACAGCGGTTGAAACATCTCGGACAGATTAATAGGAATGAGATTTTGGAAAGACTACCATTTAATTAGCCACAGCAGACGTTGATAAAATTTGCAATTCAACGACAAGCACAGACACAGTCTGCAGATCATCATCATAGCTCTCAAGTTCCTCTTGGGGACTTTATAAGGAGTACGAGTCTAGAAACAGATTCATTTTCAACGTAAAGAAATGCTGAGATGGTAGCACTAGCAGGGTTCTGTGACATTGATACCAGGGCCGAATTTCAGGTGCTGAAAAGTATGCATATTCCAATCCATACCTGAAGTAAACATCGTTTGAACACACGGGTGTTGTCTATACAGTAGCATTATGAATTTAACATCACCATTCCTTCCGCATCACGTCATGAAGAGAACAAAGAAGCGCGGCACCAGATGGATCGCTCAAAGTGCAGTTTTATATGCCCCAATTGAATAAACGCTACAGCAGGATTTATAAACACGTAGAGAATCACATTGACTGGCATTTATTCTGAACACGTCAGCTGGGAATTTCAGCAAATTCATTGGGTCTAGAAAGGAGAAAGTCGGACAGGACAGGATATCATTTTTTGTTAGTGTCTTGTTGTTACTCCTGAAACAACAAATTTTAGCTAAACATGGCAAAGCCATTATAAAATAATATCCATGGGATGGCAAAAGTCTTAGAAGTCCAAGTGGAAATAGGAAAAGCCGAACAGACGCCATAATGTTAAAATAACTAAACTTAGACCCAATGGCCGCCTCTATTTTGTGTGCGGCCACAGCTTCGGAAAACTCCCATCAAACGGCTGTGCGAAGAACTAATTATGCATTCCTTGAATAGAAATGTTTTTTTTGGAAATCCTAACCGCGTTCTTAATGGTAATCAGGGCTAAAGACAGAGACAATGCGAGACGCTTCATTTAACCAACTTTTCTCAATCACATTAAACAGTGCATCAATTTATCGGCAAGTTTCATCCGACATAACTTTGAACATCGTAAACAAAACTAATGTAAACAATGATGAATAATTGAGCATCTTGGTACGAAGAGCCTGTAAACTTTCATAGTAAATTTGCTTCAGGCTACCCCTTCATAATACGATGGAAAAGAGCAGGAAGGGGGTAGGTTTTAAACTAGCTTTCACCGCAAAATTTGCTTTTACACGTTGGACGATGCTAAAGTGACCGGCAATTTGGAACTGTTAAACAAATTCCGCCTCTCACCTTTAATGGCCTTTAGAAGTAATAATTTAACCTCTTGACACGGTCACGACCGTCATGTAGTGAGACTTCGCGTTGGGGACATCAACAACAAAATCACGTCTTCCTCTAAAATACAACCTTACAACGTGTAATTCAAAGGCAGGACATTGTAAGGCAGTAGAAGGGAATGCCCTGGAGTAATAGTGAATAAGTAGCTGCAATAACAAAACATCTCTTGTAAAAAGGAGTTCTTTTAAGAAAGTGAAAATCATAAGTATATGATGAGGCTAATGATGGCAGGAGATGATTAGCGTTTTTGTTTTTTATTTTGAGCAAGCTTGTCAGGATTACAAACAGAGAGGTGATTCTGTGTTACGCTAAACGTTTGTTTAACGCTCGGTTTTGGTGAGGAGCCACTTAGAGGTTCCGTCATTGTACCTCCGCCAGGTAGCCTGGTATCCGGGGTATGCCTGTAGACCCAAGCCCTGCTGTTGGTCGACAAATCATATTTCTCCTGAGTATAATGCATTGTTTCGTCGTTTAGGAAGCCTGGAGAAGCCGTAATGTTGGCTGCAGAATGAGAACTCAATCTCCGGAGAAAAAAAGTGATGCAGATGGGAGAATTAGTGACGACGCATAATAGAAGGGCTGGAAAAGACGTCTACCTTCGGCGAATACGTTGGTTCCGTGGTCTGAAGGAAAGCTATTAATAAATGCAGCGACACTAACCGTGAACAATCTAGAAATAGTTCGCTACGGAGCTATCCACGATGTCTGTATGAAGATATCAATGTGAACTCTTGATACCTCCTCCACATTTCTATTAGCTGGATGAAATCCAGACAGGTATGAATGAGCAGCACTGAGGTGAAAATAGACACAAATCTTTATTCCCGCGAAATTATGCTAGCGCTCCTGACAATCGATGGATACTCGAGACGGCCAGCACTTTCCTCCTAACCCGAATCCAATTCCAAAACAGGACCAAACTCCAGATTTTAGCGGAATTCCCAAAGGGTTCAGTGGCGCAGCAGTCAGATAACTTCTCGGTTGCATGGGGATTCGATGACTGGCGCGGTTGGCTCATGGGTGTTTACCTCACAGCACCAATTACATTGTGGTGGCTAACGTAGGGCAGTGACCAAGGGGAGTGCCAGGGACGAAGCTCAAAAGTGGAGAGGGGCTATGTAGAGTTTATTTTAACTCTCGGTCATACCTTTGGGCGGAAGTACAATGGCCTTGCACATCAGTACCCGCGTAATCAAAACAAAGAGCTAAACAAAAAACCGGTGTATTACGTTTGAGTTAGGAAGATAAAATAAAAATAACTTTGGCAGTTTATATTCGATATGCTGCGTACACATTTGGTACAAACTGGCCCGCTATTGGAGAGGGCCATTCGCGTGTCGTTCATGTTCTTGAGTCACCAATGCCTAAACATTCATAAAAACAGCATCTACTTACTCCACGAAACAGAAATTGCTTTAGCCACACTTTTCAATTGCCAAATCGCGAATGTTGGCCAGCGATTCGAGGTAACGTTGGAAGTTAAACATCGCCTTTTGTTAGGCGTCTTTAGCGGTCTGACTTCCCTACCTTTGCACAATGCTGTCTGGATCGCACTCGCTGACATCCTGTAAGAAGCCCCAACAATCAAACCCACAGTGGACCAAGAGAGGATTGATTTTAAGAGCGGATATGCTGTGTAATCATCAGGGAAATTTTATGAACCTTTACAAAACAATAGTACAAACGGGTTAAGAGGATGTGTTGTGAAAGCACTAGAGAGGATCCGTAGTCCTTCAAAATAGTAGAGCGCTCTTCATGGTTGTTTAGAATCCTTGCAAACAATAGCGTAACACGTTGACTGTTTAACTCTCAGTCTTAGTAATGAGGCAGTTAGGGCCCCGCCATTGTACCCCCACTGGGTGGCATGGTCTTCAGGCCGTGCCAGTAGCCCCCCAGCCCTTTCCTACGTCGGCGAATAAATATTGTGCCCAAGTATTATGTCTTCTTTCGGCTTCATCGAAGCCTCAGAAAGCTGCTTTAGGTTCATGTTGTTCGTCCAAAGTTCCAGTAGTTTACCACTACTGATATCCAAACCTTTTTTCGGATCCTCGGAAAGTGATCAGTTCAGTTACCTGCTTAGTCAATAATAATGTTTAAAATTTTGTTTATAATTAAAAAAATGCTACTGCTTAGGTGCTCAAGGGCTTTTTAAAACTACCTTGTTAGCGTCTACCTTTTGAAACATCATACTTCCTCTCCAACCTAAGGATGCATGATGTGACGACTATGTGGTTACAACTGGTTACTGAGGTGGCAATTTTACCTCCTAGGGACTTCCTTGAAGAAGAAAGAAGGCAGTATGCTGGGGCAAAATATGTATTGCCAACCAACAGAATGGGTTTGAAGCTACTGCAATGACCCGGAGGCCACGCTGTTCAGTGGAAGTACAATAGCGGAGCCCCTCAATAGTCCGTTACCAAAAATGAGTTAAACAAATAGTTAACGTATTGTGTATCCCATTTCTTTTTTTGAGTGTCATTCCCTTCGCTCCCATTGGTCAGCCTCCTGCCTCAGCCATTGCAGCGTAATGCGTGCTGTGGGAAAAACAACCACGAACCAACTGCGCCGGCGTCGTATTTGCGCGCAACTGAGATATTTGACTGCTACGTCACTGACCCCTTTTGGGGATTCTACCGGATCGGGAGTTTTAACCTGTTTGGGAAATGTAGGAAGAGAAAGAGGAAAGTGACGGCCATCACTTATATCCAACGCTAGTCGTAGGGACACTGGCCCAAAAGCAGTCATTTAATAAAGGAAGGGGTTTAAAATGGTTTCATGGAGGTAGAGCTTCGCGCCTATTCCTCGTTGCGACTTTGTTCTCATTTCAGTGCTGCCCAACCCTATCCATCTGTGTTCTCCCGAGCTAGTAAAGTAGTGGAGGTACCGCGTGTTCACAGCATTGACACCTTCATACTGACACCGTAAAAAGCATTGTAAATAACTTTTCCAGCTGATTCATGGCTAGTGTAGCTTCAGTCTTCCATAACGTTCCTACAGAACGCGAAACAAGGACAGTTACGGAGGTTAGGGTACCATTTCTACCCCTTCCGTTTGGGTTGTCACCGATTCTCCCATCTGCAGAATATGCACTTCTTCCACCCAGCTGAGATTTTTTCACCCAGCAGAAAACATCAGGATAGATCTCTCCAGATATTGGGTTCTCATTCTGCTGCCAACAGTATGGCTTCTCCAGACTTCCCAAAAGACGAAACATTAAAATATGCTAGGACAGAATATGTATTGTCGACCAAGAGAAGGGTTTGGGTCTACTGGTATGACGCGGAGGTCAGAGCGTCCGGTAGAGCCCCTAGTTGACCCGTCACGAAAGCCAAGTATTAAACAAACAACTAACGTATTACAGAAATGGTATGGAAATAACATATTTTGAGCGGAAACGAATGTCCATTTCACCCTGGTATGTAAAATGAATGTTGATGAAATTTACAGTTGGCACCTCTTCTGATTGGGTTGCTACTCATCACAAAATAAACACTGGGCTATGTGAATCTGTAAACGGTAGATTTATTCATGAACCATAGAACGGAGAATCAAGTTTACGCCCTTTAAAAGGACACATTTACCATAGATCCTCCCGAGTCACATGAACGTTGGCCTATTGTCACTCTGCGAAGGCGAAACTGGTCTTAAACCGGAAGCTCCTGCATACTTGCGACAAATGAAGGAGGGAATCGCTTAGGCTGAGAAGCGAACACGTGTAACCTCAAATAGCCACTTAAATCCATTGGACAGATACTCCAGGCCCGCAGGTCAAAATACTTCGACAGGTAAATTAAAATCCCTACCGTCTTATAATTTTAGCGTTGGCTTCAGTGGATGTTCAGCGCTGACATTAGGTCCACTTGATTCAATAGTTGTGCTGATCCCTATCCACTGTTCATCACCTGATAAAGAAGGGTGATCTTTCATACTTTCTTCCTTGTCCAGGGCCGATATTGCTGGAATAGTTATGACCATTCTTGATACTAGTCAAAAAGTGATTTATGGCACCCAGCATTACCCACCTTATCATTTGGCCTCAGTTCGAGGAAAATAGCCTATTGAAAGAAAACTTCTCAACCAATTGGCATGCTTCCTGTCTCCCTACACTGTTGGCTTGTTGAGCCGCTTTTACGGCAGTGCTTACCTGCGAAACACATAGGTGAAAGTAATCACCTCTCGACAGCCTGGCCTAACCTGTTAATAGACCTACACATTGAGAGCAGTTTATCAGTGATGCGGGACCACCTCCACTCCGGGAACACCCATATACAACACGTAAATCTAGACTTCAGGGTAGTTTTGGCCACGCCCCAGTAGCTTTTCCAACTGCTATCTAGTGCAGGTGCTTACTTATTCTTAGGCACACAATTACAGTATTCAAGTCTCCTCTCTATGCGGCTCTGGTCCACAATGCTGATGACGCCTGCAATTCTTTTGTCGGGTATAGACACTTTCTCACTCCAAAGTATGCCAACTAACTAATAAGCCTTGTACTATTATAACCTCTTTTTAAGTTTTTGTGCTGACTAAAAAAAACAAACACTTCGACAAGGAGATTTTCAAAGAGCACATTTTGCGACCCCAAACGGAGGTGGAATATGCCAAAATAAATAACCACGAGCCATCAAAATAAGAGGGAGAGAGAGAGAATCCGTGCAAAAGGTCATTCGGCATCGCATCTGGAGAGAGTTCACAATAAAACTAGTACAAGGTCGCAGTGGGGTCAGCACCTGGCGACCGTATTGAGGTAAAAGTACACTTTTCAATGTCAAGGGGTCTAGTAGGAACCCTAAAGTAGAAACATGATCGCGTACTAAAAACTGGAGGGTTTTACAATGTGGGATTTGTGTTTGCCCAAAAAAGACGAAAACGCTCTTCCAAACACCGAATAGGGAGAAGAGCGCTATCTAATGAAGGCCTTCAAATAAATTTGCCTGTGATTCTACTGCCAATTGAGGCATTTTCGTGCCTTGGATCTAATAAAACAAGACAAAGTTTTAAGGAAATGTTGGAGTTTAATATTTAAAATGGAGTCATAGTGCGCCCGTTCCGGGTTCTATAAATGGCTCACCACCGCCCACCGGCAGGGCGCAGTAACATCGCTTTGGAATGTCGTTTAGGTATTGTTAGAGAAAAGGTGGATGTGCCTAAAGTTCCAAGTTCTCAATAGAGGCCTTATGCTGATGTAAAGCCACCCAAATCACTATATAACATTGGATTTCTAGGTTGTGGAGCAATTGTTAAACTGAATTGAAAGACTATCTCACCTAAGTGCAGAAGCAATGGAAACTGTACTCTTCATTAAATTCACCCTCCAAGTGTAAAGTGTAGGGTATTCAAATATCAAAAACTGGTTTGATTATGGAGTAAGTACCTGCACCATCATTGCGGTCTGCACCAAGAGTGAAAGCATTTAGCGGCGTCGACTTATGACCTCAAGCTCCTACTGCCTACCTTGATTAACTAAATACAGAAAAGATGAGGATACAAGCAAACATAATAATAAGAAGTGCACACATTCATCGCCTTAAGGCAAAGGAACTTCTTAATAATTTCGAAAAGAAGGTAGGGGGACTTTATAGAATGAAGAAACGATGGGAAAGAAGACTTTCGACCAAAGTACGCATTTATGAGTCCCCAATACTGCACAAATTTAGTGTGAAGGATTTTGTTAGCAATGTATTAAACTTTGGCCTCAAAGTTGTTTAAAGGCACGGAAGTGGTCCAGTTGGGGTTCTGCGGGGCATGTACATCTATGTAGGTGTGGGCTAAACCCCGGTGTCGGTAGCTCTTCCACCTAAATGCTCTCGAAATCCTCATGGATATGAGTAGGCAGGTGGCACACGAAACGGTTAACATTACTAGTAGAGCAGGTAGAAATACTGTGGAAAATCGGTAACCGTTTTTCAGCTGAGGAGGAGAGGGAGGAGTTGAGGGCGATGTTAATAGGGTAGTGATTGTTCTAGGTGAAGACTCCTGTACCGAGTAACTTCGAGCCATTTTGAGAGGATAGTTGTGGCGGCAAAGATGGTCATCAGAGCATACTCCAAGTTGACAAGTGCGCAAAGGAACTGGGGAGTTCGGCTGAGTAGAATTTGACCACTTATCAAACGCCACGATACCTCCTATTGACGGGGGCCCGGGAAGAATCCGGAGAACACTAAACTCTGGTCGTTGACTACACTGAATACAGATGAATTGGAGAGAACGTCCTAGGCAGCCGGTTAATCGAATGCTTTTAAATGCGGGACCGAAGGTAAGGAAACGATCGAAAGTAGAGGTGCAGCTAATCACAAGGTTTTCAAACCACGGAAGCCCAGCCAGACTACACGACTCAAGAGCAATCGGTGCGCGCCAAGCATGAAGGGTTCTCAAGTCTGGAAGACCAGCAAAAGCGAGGGAGTTCAATAGCTTCGCTTGAAGAGGAAGATTCAGTTGAAGTTTGACAACCCTACCGCCTTCCTGCAGCTGGCTCAAGCCGTATGGTTCTATTGCCATTTGGGCAAGTTCCGACTTCTGCATCACGGCTAGGGTGTTAGATTCACCGATACGGACGGTATCACCGACACGGTGACACAGAACAGGATGGAAGACTGATGTTGGGAGGTCCTCTCTGTTTGAAGCACAATGAAGCATCAACAGCGTTCCAAATCGTCGATAACCGCAATAACAGTGGGTTTCAGTGAAACGGGCAGCAGATGCGCTGAGACATGCCACCCAGAAGGACATTAGAATTATAGTACTTCCTGGCATTATTCATTTCATGTCATCATGTATGCAAGCTTACGAGTTCGGTGTAGGCATTATCGTGAATGACGCTTCAAAGCGCGAGCATCTAGTTTGGTGACCTTACCAACCAATTGGGTGTATGCAATCGCAGTCTAACCAATCAAATTTAAGAACTAATCAAATCGTGGTGTCACAGCTATCTGAAGGGCCATGCAAAGAGTGAATCACACAAAAGCGGGCTGTAAGGTTGGAATAAATGTCCATACTGCAAGCTTCAATAGCTCACAAAAAACCAGCCATCCAACGATCGGTCTAAGTTTAAATAATATAAGTGACTAAAAGAAATATTCACGCTTCCGGCCAGTATTTACGGATTTGATTAGAGGAAGCAAGTAACAAGGATAATACATACTCCGTGTGTGTCTGCTCCATGGAGCCAAAAGACTAGTGTCATAATGATGATCACAACTTGTAGTCATATCACTGAGGCAAGCGTGTCAGACCAATAAAATCTAACCGAACACCAACTGTCTACTACTCGCCCGTGAAATGGACTCGATGTTCTTATTGACATTCCTTAACATCTTCCATTAAAGATTGAGATTACCGTCCATAAGTGTATACTGATGCTTATTATAGGAGTTGAGTTCATAAACGCTGGTCAAACTGATATGAAGATCAGGTAACATTACTTGGTAAAACCATTATTTGAGAAGGTACAAGATTCGACAGTCAACATATAACCAACCCTTGTTTCGTATTGTATCCTTACCGAGTTTTTGATTGAAAATAACGGGGTTGAGAGAGCCTAGAAGCACAGTGTTTGGACCCCAGGCATCAAAGGAAAGTAACATCAGGATAAAGTACACATGGGTCGAGGTTGGGAAAAATTTCCTTTTGCGAAGAGAAAGCTTAGTTCAACTTGATTCCAAATTTCAGAAGGCGTGTCCTCTTAACTTATTCCAAAGCTTGTTTTTCAAACAATTACAATTGCCGTTACAATTCCTCTGCGTTGCCTACTATTTTAAGTAATTTAACACCTTGTAATCAAAAACTGAAAAGCATGCTACCATTGCTATATTTAAATCGGAATGGGAAGCAAAACTAAGTCCTTTGAATATTGAATCACTTATAATGCAGAGCACAATCCAAACAACGGAAGTAGCGTGTTAACAGGCTTGGATGACAACGTAAAGCTGAGATCTTTCAAAAGGAAATAAGAGCGCATTTGGTAACATCCGATTGAGCATGGAATAGTAGCGTTTAGCTCCCTTTAACTGAGACCGAATCAGTAACAGTTACGGGCAATAGATGTACCCGCTTTGGGACTAAAATATGAACACCTTATTGCGTTTTAAGACATTAAAGTTAAAGAACACAGGAAGATCTGTACAAAAGATGAGTCTGATGAATGACAAATAGACTGGGTGCACCATTCTACATTCAATACGCAATGAATAAGCCGTACACTAGTGGGAGTTAGGGTTACTTTTGAATATCCGACTTCTGAAAGAACACAGGAACAGTAATTCGAAGCTTGATCAAAGGAATGATTCACGGAGAGATGCAATACCCTCGGGATCACTTGACCTTCTCTTGGCCCGAGTTGATCGCCTGTGACGTGGAATTCCTACGCTGGTAAGCATCCACCCCAGCCATATTAACTGCAGCAACATAGAGATGCACGAGACTAATGAAAGTCTTCAAAAGTGCGATGGGCAGGCTCAAATAGAGAACCACAAGATGCACCCCTAGGCCAAAAACTGAAAATATGTGAAAGTTTAACAGAATAATCAAGATATGCGCAAAATGATGAACGCGACATTATAACAGAACACCGGTAATTTAATTAACCGGAAAAACTTCGATAATACCAAAATATTGCTCACAACTCGAATGAAAGAAAATATTAATAAAAGTCAACTTTGCATTAAACGTCAAAGGTAATGAGAGACACTGGCTCAAAGCTTTCAGCAAACTACTTTCAAAAAGCATGATTCATCATGAGGGCCAATTGATCATTTTTAGACCATTACACCTGTCTTTCTACAAAACCACTCATCCAATACGACTTACAAGTGGATCCTTCAGCAAAATGAAGAAGATAAAGCATTGCATAGAAGAGTTCGTTTCCAGCACACATGATAAAAAGAACCACCTGCATTTAAAACAAAACCTATTAATGTAAATGCGTATAAATCCCGATTCATATGTCTTACCATCACAAATGTGGATTATTACTTACTCGGTTCGTATAATATATCCGAAGTAACGGATTACCATCTAAGCTGATTGTCTTATGGCTAGAAGAACCACCTTGAATCGACCTTAAGGAGGATAATGAACGTAAAGATAAACTTACGACTGAACGTGCAGCCAATGACTTGCGATATCAATGCAGGCAGATATTTGAAAAAAGAACAAGTAACGCGGATAGAAAGTACCAAGCGTAAAGAGTAGACACGTAGTCGTACAACGGTCGCTTAGCATATCCAAAGCTGCGCCAAATTTTGTGCCTGGAACCGAAGAATAAACGTGAGACAGTTAAATCCACCTTCCTGCACTAGTGTAGACTAGCAAAGCTGCTCAATGGATAAACCGTTCAAAGCATACATTCTAGATGGGATTTAGCGGACATATTTGATATTCTGCAACCATCTTACATTGCATGCCGTGTAAACCATATGGTTAAATTCACTCACGATAGATAAAATGTAGAAACTAGGCAGTATATCAAAGACATACTCTGATCAAGAAGTCTGGCAACGTGACCATCAAAGGCATCAAGGAGAGCTGATAAGAGATACGACACAGCGGCCCGGACCGGATCGGTCGACATATACCAGCAGGCGTAGAGGAGCAAAAGAATTCGAACGTAACCTAACAAAGGAACAAAAAAAGGAAAGGCGTAGAAAATAAAAACGGATACCACGAAAAGTTGCATCATTCAACCACTTTGAAGGCGTTCAATGAAGGGGTTTGACTTGACCACACCGGAAGCATTAATTGCACAAAAAAGATTAGCGCAACCGCACTATTGCAACAAAACGCAACCCAAGCCGGAACTCACCGATTAAATTTGGTATAAAAAGAAATATGCACTCCGCCATTTAAGGGTACCACGGGGGAGGGTTAGCAACTTTGTGACAGCCAGATTACAAGCAATGAAATAAAACAAAAGTTTTGTGGCCAAATTAGTGGATGAAAGGTAAATTCCTATTCTAGGCCAAAAAGTTGTCCTTCCTAAGGTAAGGTTAAAAAGTATTTGTAGAGTAGCATTAAATTGAAGCAAATTTCGTGACTAAAATGAAATGTGTAGAGCCCAGTTTTGCAAGTGTAGAATCTTAAGACTTTCCACAGACAAACGAATACATAACTTTTAAACGAAATACAAATATTTAACAAAGAGAGGGCACAAGGGCAGCTGCCATGGAACAAAGGCCAACCCGCTCGACGTAGTACAGTGACCAAGCCAAAAGTGGCTCTTCAGCGTACCAACCGTTAAACAACCAATGCATTACACAACCCCTTCTCTTTTTTGAGCTTCGTTTTTGACGGTCCCCATGGCCATCTTCATTGCGTCAGTCATCACAAATTAGTCGGGGCTGTAAGGAAACACCCACGAGCTGGCCGGCTCAGTCATCAAATTTTCTATGCAACTGGGGTTACATCACTAAACTTTTTAAAGAATTTAGGTGGATTTGGAGTTTTGGCTAGCTTGGAAACTGGATTCTGGATCAGGGAGTTTCGCCGGTCAACATGAGCGTCCATAGACATACGCAGGAACGCTGGACTCAAAGCGGATATATCCGAGGAAACATGGGACTTAACACAGGTCTGTGGGGGAAGGTTGTGTGTCTGCTCCTCCTTGCCACGTTGTTCTCACTCAGAAACTGGCCAGTCATATCTACTTGGGCTCTATCCGTCCAGAAGAGAAGTGGAAGAGGTATAGCGAATTTAGTTTATTGACATAGAGAAGGTGTTAACTCTGCTGGCATGGCTTGGGAGCCAACCCACCCAGTGTGGTACAGTGGCCCAGTCAATAGTAGCTCCTCATCCAATTCTACCGTGCACATGAGAAGAATTTTTCGGAAAAGTTGTGAAAAACGTTTTACTTTTAAAAAAGACAAGTTTTCAAGCCGTTTTTAGATTAGGCCGTGGTGCTTAAATTATTCTTTTTTACTGATTATCGCAATTAATTTTGAGACACTGGCTGACTATTTCAAGGTCGACTTCGTACGTCTTCAGCCCCATTCTTTCAACCCTTCGCCATTGTCATCAATGTGCTTTTTACTTTTTATGCATTTCCTTGCTGTAAAGTAATATGGCGGGATCGAAACCCATATGCAAAGAATGTAACTACGAAATCATTCTTTCTAATGGTCTTTGGTGTTGCGAATGTGTGAAAACACAGATTTTCAACGCAGTTTTTTGCTCCTCTTTTGTTGTTTACTCACCTCTTTGTACACCAGCAGTAAGTGAAAGTTGTACTCACTATTATCTGTGCCTTTATTTTATTGCTGAAGCACTACACTACCTGTTTGCCTGTGCATTAATCACATTCGACGACAACACAGGGTGGCCACTTTTACTGCGCACAAATCAGTAGCCTCTTTGCTTTTGTAGTGGTTTATTGTGTGCCATGTTTTTTGTTGTCTCTTTAGGTACATTGCTGTATTAGGTAGATAGTCTTAGCGTTGCTTTTCTATTAATAGAAAACGCATTGTTCATTCTAGGACGTCTCCCCCAATCTAAACATCGGATAAACGATTTCGTGCCACATTAGTTCCTCTTTTTTAGGACTCATTCAGAATGAATCAGACTATTTTGTTAACAAAGACTTCGTTGACAAAAAGGCCTTTTCGTCTTGCCCACCAAACACTTTGTTTGTCAAAAATAGACTTTTCCCAGTGCATTGTGGTTGGCTTTACGCAGTTAGTAATTTGGCCACTAGAAACGTCTCTACGACGTATTCCCTTGAATGTGCGTCAGTGTCGCATACACCGAGTCGTGGTTGAGGCTGCAGAAGAGTACTTTAGGGGTCCTTCAGATATTTACTCGCGCATCTATCCTCCTGTCGACGTGCCCGTGGCTTTTTCTGATCCTTGTGTGGAGATTTGCAAACAGGATTGTAAATTTAGGACCCTGGACAACTTTGAAATCAAACATGCCTCAATTATATCTACTACAGACCCTGATGAAGGAGGTGGTGAACTTACTGTGCGGATTCCACCTTCGATACTTGGGCTAGTGCGGGATAAACAACCCCTTCTTGTCACCATAGAGTTCTCGCTCACACGTCCCAAATACGGCTTCCACTTCGTCATCCCAGAAGATGGCTCTCTGGATACTGCATATGCCTTTACTGGTGGTCCGCCGAATTCGTCTCGTTCCTGGTTTCCATGTGTTGATTGTAGCGAGCCCTGTACTTGGAAAATCGAAATCACTGTTGACGAGGACTTTGTTGCAATAGCTCCTGGTGAGCTGCTTGGTCCACCAGAGTATACAGATGATCTACGTGCGAAGACCTACCAATTTTTCCTTGCCCAACCCACCTCTGCACCATCCATTGGCCTAGTTATTGGTGCGTTTGAAATATTTCCCGATATAAGTGAATCAACGGGCAGTACGGTAATAACCCATTTCTGTCCGAAGGGTTTGCGCAGTCTTCTGGTGCATAGCTCCCAATCACTTGCGGGCATCGTTGAATACTACGAAGGCGAGCTGGCCTCACAGTTTCCGTTCCATTCCCTCGACTTTGTGTTTGTCGATCGTGCTTTCGAAGATCATCAATCTTTCGCCTCTGTCATAATCTTCTCTGTTGATCTACTGTACTCTCCGCGCATAATTGATCAAGCAATTACGTCTCGTCGCATCTTTGCCTTTGCTGTGGCTCAGCAATTTTTCGGTTGTGCGTTACAAGCTGAGACATGGGCTGGTGCCTGGTTGCCCTATGGAATAGCCGGCTACCTTGCCGGTCTATACCAGAAACGCGTATTTGGCAATAACGAATATCGCTATTTCATCGCCAACGAGATGCGCTCTGTAACTGGATACGAGCACACACGTCACGGAATAATCCTGGATCCCAGCAATACAATTCGTAAGAATACGTATTTCAGCTTGAAGCACCCACAGGTGAGTTTCAAAGCAGTCAAAATCAGAACAATACTCTTCCATTCAAGATCATATCGCATTTTTTAATTCTTGGACAGAAGTACAAATCATGGATAGTGAAGAATTCACATATTTAAATACGCATTCAAGTAGCCAAAATCACATTTCTACCAACACAACATTGGGTTGTTTTTCACTTAATCCCCTCCCCTGATTTCCTTATAGTTTTTAAAGAGCTTAACATTCCCCTTCCTCGTTTTAGGTACTTTCGCCGGACTATTTGAGTGTATACATAAAGAAGTCCCATCTAGTGATCAGAATGCTTGGCCTGCGTTTTGGGCAGCGTGTTCTTCTACAAGTTTTCAACAAACTCTTCGTCCTGGCCCGCCTATCGACCATCAACGCAGGCGCAGAGGAGAAGGTGCCCGTCAATGGTACACCTGTTCCACACGACAACTCCGTCACCACCGTATCCGAGGATAGTGCTGTGCCCCCGACGCTGAGTGACGAGAACCGCGCCAACCTTCTCCTTTCGACCGACTCCTTTCGACGCATCATCTCGACGGTCACTGGACAAGACATAGAAAACTTCCTCGATCACTGGGTCTTCAAGCCGGGTCATGTTCGCCTCTTTGCTAAGTTCCTCTTCAACAGGAAGCGCAATGTTGTTGAACTGGAGTTGAAGCAGGTAGGCTGGTTGATTGCGCATTCTGTAAGACTTCGAAATCTTTCTAGATTTCGTTCCTCAATAATATCTCCATGTTGATTGCGTCAATTTTTTAAGCTGCCAGGACTCAAATGCCTGGTGGCTATCGCCGTACGTTATACTTGTAGGACCTGCAATCACGAAGCACCCTAAACTATACCGGTCCACTGACAGCTATGCTACAAGAACTCGACGGTCCTTTCATACACACCTTTAAACTGGAGGAGGGACGAACCTCGAAGGATCTACAGTGTCATTCCAAGTCAAGAAAACACAAGAAGAAAAAGATTCCTCTCTCCAATGGTGACGAGGTGGAGATGGATCTTAGTCGGATATACCCCGACTCGCCACTTCTCTGGCTACGATTGGATCCTGATCTCACCGTCATTCGCAGTATCCATACTGAACAGGCAGACTTCGCCTGGCACCTTATGCTGGCCTATGACAGGGACTGCTTAGGCCAATTGGAGGCTGTACATGCTCTCGTCGACTTTGTATCACCAGAAACACGTCATGCTCTCTCTAATATCGTCGCTGATGAACAGGTGCGCATATTGACCATTTTTGAGAGTTTCTTCCCTTTCTAAAGCGTCTTCTCGAAAATTGTTTTTCAATGCTGACATAAGATCCAATCGCAGTCTAATTTTTGTCGTCCTTCACAATATGTTTCTCTTGAATACTCCAATGGTCATCCTTAAGGGCTTATTCAAGTAATGCTGATTAGAATACGAGTGTTATAGTTGTTCATAAAAATCAGTATAGTGCTTAGCAAGATTGAATAAGAAGTAAGCTTATTGAATTAATAGAACCCAAAGGTTGGATACATTCAATGGTGCCGGCACACATTGTGGAAAGTAGCGCTTTGGTAAGCTGTTACGCCTACACTCTTTATTCAAATGATGGTTTTGCAAATTTTGCAACTTTTACAGCCATTTGCCTTAATTTCTCTTAGGTTTACTACCGGGTTCGAACAGATGCTTGTTTTGTCCTCTGTCGAGTCGCCAATGAGTTAGCAAGCATCGGTGCTGGCGGTGTCGGCTTAGGATTATCCGCAGGTGGCGGTGGAGTTGGTGGAAGTTCTAGTCACCACACTCATCAGACCTCTTCCGTTCTCATTCCGCTCTTCTGGCAACTCTACTCCTCGCCTCTGACTCGTGGACTCGTGCGTCAAAACGACTTCTCTAACTTGCAGCGCTACTTTTTGCAAAAGGCCATTGTTCGTGCTGTCGCCACCCTGCGTATTCAGCAAGTTTGCCCGTGGGATGTACTTAATTTCCTTGTCGAGTTGAATCGGTACAATGATAACTCACGCAACGCCTACTCCGACTGCTACTACCGGGCGGAACTGATCAATGCAATGAAGGATACACTCACACCTGCTATTGTAATGCGTGGTGTGATTTCTGTCTCCTCTTTGCCAAATGAAGTGCGAACTGTAGTGGAGGAGGTAGCGAGATGCCTTAATCGTGATGCTCAAATCCCAAGCTATAAGAGAATGGTCACCGTAGCATGCCTCCTCGCAATCCGACGCCTACAACGATTCGGATTCCTTCCAGTTGACCCAAAGCTCTTTTACAAAGCCGCTGCTTCCGGTCATTACACAGATGTGCGTCTGGCTGCTATAGAATGCCTCGTCGATTATGTTCGCGGGGAACGAGACCAAACCGCTTTGGAATGGCTATTTGACCAAATCATCGAGCAAAAAGGCACTACAGAGGCCTCTTATTCCCGCCTCCGCTATGAAACAGTTCGTTTACTGACTGAAACACCTCCATTTGCCCGTGGAGAGACAGGAAGCAGACTTGATACACCACAGCTGGTGGACAGAATCTGGTCGTTGATGAACCACGGGTGTGCTGGTGACTCGAGATTGCGCTGTGCTTTGACCGATCTCTACTTCAGCCTCTACGGCAACAGGCGACCCTCCTGTCTACCATTGGCAGATGGTGTGCTTCTGGTTCGAGTTCGTGAAGGTCGTTCAATGGTGCGATTGCCAGAGAAGGAGGGCTCAATGGACGGAGATCGAGCTGATGGAAACGAAAGTGGCTTGTTGGAGTCAACTGGTCGACCTCAATTGGAAAACTGCTCACCTCTCAAACGAAGAATGGAGCATTTGAGTGATGATGACGATGAGTACATCGTAAGTCCTTCAGCCTAGCCATTACTGAGTGCATGGATAGGAAAAGGTGTGAATTTATGGGGTAACTAAATAGGTCTATGCAGTGCTTTGTAATAAACATTGAATAGCCCCAGAAAGCTCCCTAATATATATTTTTTTACTGAAACAAGCACTATTACAACCAGTAATCCCTTCTCGACGAGACCAAAGCCTACGAATTCCACCTCCATTTCTTTCTTGCTTTTACTTTCCAATTGTCTATTTTATATGTCAGTGTTTGATGCCTGGTAAGGGTTATAATCACTGAAAGAAATAAAAGCAGAGGAATGCGGATGGTGAGACCGTTTCCACCTCGCCCTAATTTAGGCGTCAATCTTCTTACGGGTGAATTTTGAGGCGGCATTAAGCATGGGGTCTTTCCATTTTCCCGAATGTTTATGAAGGGACCTTTAGTAATTGATATCTTGGTAGTATGGAACAGTGCGTCATTTGGGCACAAATGTTGCATTGATCAGTTAGCAATCTAAAAAACAGCCCATTTTCGTAAGAAAGGCAAAAGGATTGGAGGACATTGATGATTTTGGAGGCTTACTGCCATCTCCATGCCCGTGGGGTGGGCCCCCTGTACTTAGCTTCCACTAATTTCCCTGCTCAGCTGATGTAGACTTAAGTGATGCCTTTTAGTATTAAGATTAACCATAACTGAAAATTGTCACTGACACCTTAAACTCCGCTCTTTTCAACCATCAGCCATGCATAAATCTCCACGATCAAGAATAGGCAGCCTTCCTGAACCCGTTGCATCTATCTTTTGGTGAGTCGTCACAATGACCGAATAGTTTGTTCAATTTATTTCTGATTGAGACTGTCTTCCACCGCTTATTACATCTTCAGTTGCCATATCGGAAGCCATACGACAAGCTGTCGCAGACAGTTTAGGAGACTTTACGATAACAGGAAAATAGTCCAGTACGCAGTAGGGAGTAGTGGGGGACGGATGGATATCGAAGTGTTGTAGGGAACAAAAAAATCTGATTCATTTTAGCAATCTCTACGAGGTACAACAAATCATTGAAGCTTGGTGGATCAAACACTGCACTAAATTGTTTAGCAACATGGCTTGCAAGACTGAACTATGGGGATAGTCCGGTAGGATATCCATCAACTCCTCCTCCATGTTGGAATCGAGTCCATTGAATAAATTTATAATATGCCTTCTTATTGCACCCACACAGCCCTAATGAATGCATTTTCTTTCTTTAGTGAACTGGCTTTGGGAACAATTACAACACTGGACTCGGCATCCGATTTTATTTCTCAGGATTTTGTAATAAAAGAATATCATACAAAGGTTAATCTTTTTGATTTACATTGGGTGATACTGAAAAACCAAAAGAAATACATTTAGACGGAAAGAAGGTATTGTGATGAGGAAGTAGGCACTTCAAGGAGACAGGAAAGACAAATAGAAAAGCGGAGGATCCAAGGGCATCCTGCTGAAATTTCTTCACGCGTGGGGCGCAATCATTGTAACAGGCGTGGCCCTGCATACCTCTCAACTATTTCTTGTGGTCTCGGGCCACCGGGTCGTATTGTAACAAATTAGATGGGGCGAGCTTCGCGAAAAAGCAGTTTGGCGGTGGTGCAAGAATGGTAAGAGGGTGGTAAAGAGCAAGGTGCTGCGTAGCAGACGAGCATCCTACCATTGCATTGTCAGCGCACGCCCTCCTGCCCCTCTAGCGATGGTGCACTCTGACAATGCAGCGAAAACGGTTAGAAAGTATTAAATTGTGGCGTGGCGGGTGCGTGTGGTGCGGCGGTTGGCATGGCTGCCTTCCAAGCACCCGAGTTGGACTGCCGGCACGCACAGGCGCTCCACTCGTCTCTTCCCTCGGCTGCATCTATCCCCAATGCTTCTAGGACTGCACACTTTCTTCCCTTATGTGCTCCCTTTCCTCTCAGTTGTGATAAATCAACCAGAAGGGGAAAAGGAAGCGACCTTCACACGAAGAGTCCGAGCGGTGTGGAGATTGTACAAGGGGATGTAAGAGTGGCATTGCGTGTGAAGTCGACATGAAAGGGCTGCACAAAGGATGTTGGACGAGGAGGGTGTGTGTAGGAAGAATCAGAGGGGATGAAAACTCGCATCAACCTCTCACCTTGGCTGCATCCCCCCTAAGAGACCTATTCCTGAACACATCTTTGCATCTTCTCGTGCACTCGGTATCATTCTAACATCACCTTCTCATTGTTTCATTATTATTTAAATGATTAATTACTACTCTCTTTTTTGTCCGCCGATAAGTTACTATTGCTCTGCTTTTACCTTCACTTTTTCCATCTTAATGCTTTTGTCAATTCAAATCCTTAATTCTGAACGAATTAATGACATTTATAATAATTTTCCTCTTCACAGTTACGTCTTAAAATTAGCTACAATATCATGCCTCCCACTGTGGTAAATATAGTTTTATTTTTAAAAAGCTTTAATTTCTTCAATGATGTCAAAGGTTCTTCGTTAAAAAATTTAAATTGGTCAAGTCAATAGCGTAAACTTAAATGTTTACGTCCGATGTATCCTTTAGCATTAGCCTCTACCTCTGTGGAAGACATTCGTAGACCTTCATAACCTCATTTCCCATCCCGAGACTTTCCTGAAGACGATAGGAGTCATAGCACTCGGGGACAATATGTATTTTTGACCTACAGAAGGGGTTGGGGCTACTGGCTTGGCCGGTGGCCCAGAGGCCAGAACGGCCGGTGGAGGTAAAATGGAGGAGCATCAAAGTGCCCCCTTTACCAAAGCCGGGCGTTAAAATAACTACTGACGTATTACAAAGCCCCTCACCCCTTTTAAGCGTATATCCCGACGCTCTCCTTGATCAACCTACCGCGTCAGCCACGACAGCGTAATCGTTGATGTGAGAGAAACATTTACATGCCAAGCGTTACAGTCATCGAATTTCAATGCAAATGAGGAGATACTTGAACGCAGCCACAGATTTCTCTTGGCAGTCTAACGAAACCTTACTGGAGGAAAGGCAATGTACAGGCCAGCTCGTGTATCCATCCCTAAGTCATAGGCGCTCTGGTCTGAAAGCAGAGTCAAATGATTAGGGCCCTCATGTACCTCGCTGGGTGGGCTGGCTTTCGGGCAATGCCAGTAGCCCAAACACCTTCTCTGTGCTGAATATATGTATATATTCTGCCCGAGTACTATGTCTTCTTTCGTCTTCGGGGAAGTCTCGGGATGCTAAAATTGAGTGCAAAATACCTACGATGAGTGGTGTTTGTTTGCTCACTTAAGTTGGTGAAATATGCAGTAAGGCTCATTTGAAAATTATTACTTAAGTAGCACTTTGACCTAAAAATGCAGAATGATATTCAGCCTCTCTTTCTGTTTGAAGTTAAAGTCTGCAAATTGATGCCTCAAATCCTTTAATGCAATGCAAAATCTGATAAGATGGTGATAATAACGGGCGAAATTCCAAATTATCATGACAAAGAGATTAGGCGTAGGCATAAAAATATATTGCTTGCCAAAATTGTTTAGCATATAGTCCAAAATTCTTAAATGAAATTTGTTTGACGTAGGTATGGGCGAATTGTTTTTCTGGGCCCGCGAAACAACTGTGAGCTGCCTTAGGTTTTCGTTTTCTGGTTTCCCTTCATTTCTCACTTTCGGTTTTGGTCCTTTTCTGGATATGGTTATTTTTTGTGAGGTTCAAACATCATTAACTAACCGTGTATGTCTCTATCATTGTAACTGTCTAAAAATTGTTTGATGTGCCGTATTTAAAATGATTTGCGAACAGCATCGTTTTTTCCCACAAATGATGCGAACATTGGTATTTCTGTGCCTTATTTGGTCCCATCTTAATGCCTAGATGTTTGTTTTATGTTTTTATACATGGCAGAGAGTATTAATAAAAGATTTACGCGTTTAGTGTCCCAAGGAATGCGAGTTGGTACGTTGCTTATTTCTTTTCTCTGTTCTTAACACTGGTTTTTCGGCTGCAATCACGTGATGCTTTGCTTAAGGTTTTGTCTCATGATTAAGAATTAGGAGGGTTGGAATTTACAAATGCCCTTTTATAAAGCGCCTATATCATCCGATTATGCTACAATTCACCATACGCTAGTGTGTTTAGTGGCGAAAAATAGATCGTTAAAAACTCGTTCTTTGACAGATTGTAAGATAGAATCTTATTTGTAATGGACTTACTCCACTGCGCTGATATTATGGGGTGTTGAACTTACCTATTCTTGTGTCTGGTGAATTGTTGCTCAAACTGCGGGGGACGCTGCGATGTGCTCACCGCATTGGTGGTTTCTCGGTCGATATTAACAGCTTCCAGCACTGGCTGTTCAATTTGGATTCTTATCGAACATTGGGTTCTACAATTGGCATAGACTTTTGAACTATCTTGTATGTTTAGTCCGTATTGTGGCTATTTCTAGTTCTGCGTACTGCAGCACCTCTATTGCCAAGGATGGACGTTCGGGTACGGTTGCGGCCATGGTTGGAAAGTCGACTGAACGAGGGATGGATCGAAGGTCTATGTTGGGTGGACCAGGAGAAAGGCATATTTCGCATACCGTGGAAACACCACAGCAAGCACACATGGACAGAGCAGGATGCAGCTATTTTCAAGGATTGGGCGGTGGTAACCGGTCGCTACCGTGAGGGCATCGATGATCCTGATTGGCCCATGTGGAAGACGCGTCTCCGGTGCGCGCTTAACAAAGCACCGGATATACAGGAAGTAAAGCAGCGCCATAACCTTCATTGTGATGACCCTTTCAAAGTAAGCTCATCCACGTATTATCTCGGTGTTCCTCTCAATAGTTTTATAATTGTTTGGTGAATAGACATCTATATTTCAATGGTATTCTGATATATTTTTGTTTTTATAAGAACTCGTTAGTAACTGGCCATTATGCTCTGAAACTGGGTTGAAATTGTTTATCAACTTTGTGTTATTTAGGTTTATCGCTTTATAAGTAAGACGGAGTCATTGTGGCGTGCAAATGCCACACGAAATGCCAGTATGATCTTCGATGGTTTACCATCTTTGGGTCAGCTGCCAACTACATTCAATGTGCACAGTTACTCTGCTCGTCGAAGTTCCAACACATCTGCAGCTGTTCATCAGAGGCGTCCCACAATCTTGATCAGTCGTCTCTCCTCGTTGGCCAGGAACGATAGCGCTCCCTATCAGAACAAACCACTGGCCATTGTCCGTCGACGTGATCAACTTTTTGTCAAAAAACTCAGCCTTCGATCCCTATTACCTTCTTCTTCCCAAGTTCAGGCTCCTCCTCTGTTACCCCAACATATCCATTCAGTAAATACCGGCCCACTTGACTCTCTTGATGTTGGTGCTGTTCAAGAGGTTTTTTCGTCTCCCTCTCCCCAGTTTTCTGGTCTTCATTCGATTCCTATAAATTCTCCTTCCATCCCCGTTCTTCACCCTCCTTCCTTCCTCCCTCTCCTTCCCGATATAATGGAACCAGAGTTTCATCAACTAGGCGTACGTATTCAGCACCTTAATATCCGTGTCAGGGACGCGATTGTCACGAACCCAAACGGATGCTGTATTTACTTTGGTCGGTTCGATGAGGTTCTGGCATCCAATCCTGCCACTGATACCGCAGATAGCATTTCTATAACAAGTTCGCCCGATGCTATTGAAATGGCGATTACACACAACGTAGCGGACGAGAATCGTGCTTACGTTGACATGCTGCTTAGCAATATGACTCGTGGGATCATTGTAACAGCCAGTTCAAATGACGGGAGCATATACGTGAGGCGGCTGTGTCGGTGTGCTGTTTTTATCTATTATTTGAACGAGAGTGTTGGCGACTATGTTCTAGTGAAAAAGGTTTTCCGCAGAGAGTGCTTTAAAATTTTTGATTACTCTCAATTTGCTGCACAGCTGGAATACTACCGTCTGGGTCAGGGCTCAAAGCCTTACTTCGAGGTGGTGCTTGCCTTCGGGCAACAACTTAGACCCGGACTTTCGACACAGAATCTCCTTGTCTGGTGTCGAGTGGCGAGCTGTAGGGCGTGGTTCCAAGTTCAAAGGGTAGGTTATTGGCTGTTTATCCAGTTTTCGTGGTGCCACAATTCTAACTAGCCTTATTGCAAACATTATTTCACATTAGCCGTCGCGTGAGTGGGAGCGAATCTTTCATCAACTAGGAATCCCGACTGTTTACCCCAGTTGGGTAAATTTTAGGCTGCAAGCGAGGTTATATATGCTACTGAATTTGATTGCAATTAGGTGTATTATTTGTTTGTGCTTAGCGTGTTGGTGAAATATTAAGGCCCATAACGATGCATTCGAGAACCCACAAGGGAAGGACACATATTTCAGTGCTCATATTCGTTTGCCTTGCAGGTTATCTCGGGACTGAAAACACCAGAATGTACATTTCCTCTGTCCGTGCCTGGCTCGCTTAACTCGAACCAGAGCATGCTGGTTGGTGATGAGGTATCACCTATGCCGACTGATGATATCGACATTTGTGTACCAGACGCAGATGGCGTGGAGATCTCGTTGTACTCGCCACCAGCTGGCATAAAGCTCGAATCGGAGGAGGTAGAAGAAGAGGTTGTAGTCTCAACTTCTCTTGGTGATGTTACTTCCTCCGCTCTCATCGATTCCGATCACGGTAACCCACCTGTTGATGGTGAGGTTATAACGGAGGTGATAGAAGAAGAGGTTGTTGAAATGCCACAGGAGGAGAGTTTATTGACTAATCTGGCTGCTGAATAGTTCTGTATATATTGCGTCTGTTGCGCCACTGTGTATTTCCCGTCTTTATTGGTATCGTATTGTTCCTCTTATCTTCATTAGTGGTAGGCAAATCGTGCACCTTTTACTGCAACTTAGACTCAGTGTATTTGGCAAAGCATCGAGTTTTATCGGAATAAACAAAGGTAGTGATTGAGACCTTTTGTTTTGGATGGGCGTCGTGAGTGCTTTTGAGCGTGGCTGTCCGCTGCTCCAGTTGCGCGTTTGTTCCCCCTTCTCGCGAATCTTCTACAGGGCCAAGGCCACTTTTTATGGCTGGAACCAGGGATTGCACGGTGGAGATTTTCATTTGGTGGATGCAAAGCTCCTGGGATCCACTATCACCTTTGGGGAAGCTACGACGATGCTCCTGAGGCTAAACATCTTCTCGTTCTTCGATTCGAGTGCCAAAGCAGTTCAGGTTTTTCGCATCCTTGTGTTTGTCGCCTCCTTGTCGCTCGCATTCTCGTTGTTGTCCTTGCTCATACCAACGTGAAGGGGCCAACTACTGCCTGTGAGTCAGCGACAAGGAAAAGTTCTCCAAGAACGCTATGCGGCTTTTTGGCACTCGGATTAGTGTCGTTGACGTTTTGTGGCCTTCGTGATTGTAGGTTCCAATGAAGCCAAACACCGAGGCTCATTGTCAACCATTCGATCTCACGTTATGAATGTCAATTAGCCTCGAGTTACCGATTTGCATTTGTTACATCCATGTTGAAGACAATTTCTTGCATGCCATCAAAGGGGTTTTGACGCAGGCTATATGCTGTGACCAATTCAGGAGCCGCACACCACTAACTGTAGAGTCCTTAAAATACTATCTGCACAGGTCTGCCTGAGTGAAAAACCCTCCATATGTCCGTCGGCTAGTTCTGCAGTACAAGTCGAACTTTATTATATAGTTAGAAAAATTCAAAGCAATTGGTAGGAGATCTCTCTCTCCAGTCTCTAAAACCACATTTCATGGAAATCTTTTTGGTAGAAATTGGATAGCTCCTGCATGGCGTATGAGGGCCGTGTGAAGGCGTCACGCGAGGCGGTGGAGGCCAGTTGAAGGAGATCTCTTTCGAGGAAGGGAATATCAGTGGGAAGGGGGTTTTGCGGCGTCTGGTTCGAAGTAAGTGTGACTAGTTGCGGTGCGGAGGAATTCAGTTGGTCGCCTCGTGGCAGATGCTGCGTCGCCTGTTCAGCCTCGCGCACAAATGCCTCTCGCCTCTGTCTTGCACGCCGATTTTGAAACCATATCTTGACCTGCACGAAATTCATTTGAAAGTGTTATAGAATCTCCCCAACTTATTTGTTATCCCTGTTATACTTCGGCCTAACAGCAATGAAGTAGGTGCACACTTTTTCAAAGCTTCAAGAGACCCCATATTGGGGCCCATATTGCGATCCAGAGCAAAATATTTCTCTGTACTTACTCTAGTTTCAGTGACTTGGAGTTGATTAGCCAGGACGGTCACTTCTCGACTGGAGAGGTAGTTAGTCAAGCGGAATTTCGCCTCCAATCCCTCCACCTGGCTGCGTGTGAAGGGTACTCGGGGGCTTCGACCAATCCGAGAACACCTCTTGCTCGATGGTGATTGGCTGGAGGGGACCTGCGATTTTGCCTTCTGGTCATCCCATCGGAGGTTAAGGGCTATTAAACACCAAGAGCCACTTTTAACTGAAATAATAAGTGAACCGACTTTGTGAATTAAGCAGATATCTAGATCCTTCGGTTTTTCGCGAGTGAGGGAATAAAACTGATTAACACATCGAATTTGCCTTGCATGTAAGTGTGATGCACTAAAAGCATGAGTTGACGAAATTTTGGCAGCAGCCTAGCTAGAAGTTAGAGGCTACGCACACCCCTTACGCATTCTACCTCGTGCCAACTATACAGGTATAATTGAAGCACCAGTTCTGGCATTGATCCTCCGAGCTATTACGTCAAAATAGCCATCGCTCTTTGCGGTAGGTCTGCACCACCATCTTAGACGGGATTTGTCCACCTACAACCAACCGCAGGCTTGCCTGTTATCGATTTTATCGTACTTTGGCATAACCCCCCTCCTTCCATAGGTGCATATCTTCCACATTTTCAACCAAAATTTAAAGCTTTTAAAAGCGGTTTAATGGCGACTTTGCCTTTAGCAGTTTGGAATTAGCGCGTGAGATAATGTCAGTGCAAGCGGAAACCGAAATCAAACACCCACCCACACATACACGTATACACACACAGACACAAAAATTATACATCGCGTTAAGGTTGGTAGGTCTGGTAGAAGTTAATAAAATTATTTGAAAATTCCGGATGGAGCCAGTCCTGAAGAACCACGTGAGCTAACGAGATATCATGGTCCTATCCCGGAGTGATATGACATGAGAGTAATACATGAAGTCAATATTTATATCAGATACTGATTTAATTGAGTAAACGTGTAGCGTAGCTTTTATAAAGGGCCTTTTTAAGACCAACTTCGCCCTTATACAATGGATTTTTTTTACCCACAACCACTTTTTATTCGGCCACTTTTAATTTCATTCTTTAAAGAGAAACATTCACAAGAGCATCAAGACATAGCTCAATTCTCATGCTACGCCAGTTTAAAGATCTGGTAGATAAGCACACAAATCCGATAAAACGTGAAGGCTTTGATTCAAATTAAATGGTGAAAAATAACCGTACCAGAGTTCAGACTGATTTGGAGCGGAATACTATCCTTTGGATCAGAATAGCCTAATCCGGGGTAGATGGTCGAATAAGCATTAGTGTCCACCTGGCTTCCCTTGGAAGAAAGCGGAGGTCTGGACAGAGCACAGGAGGGGACGTGTAGGACCTTGACAACTTCATGCAACTCGCTGGAGCTGCAAGGTTGTTCTAGGATGGAGTCGATGGTGAAGGAAGCAGTCTGACGCTCGGAGGAGGCTTCAAGTGGGCTGCTTGAAAACATGATGGAATGATTCGTGCCTCTACCGGGGTGAGCTAGGTGCTCGGCCATGGAGAGCGTAAATTGGCGCTCGACCAATGGGAGTGAGGCCATGCATTTGACACGCCTTAGCCAATCACTCGATAGTAAAGTCACAGCCACGCCATTCGATGTCGACCAAATTAAAGCTTCAGATTGACAAGGTATAAAATTACTTCAGCGTTAGGCTGGTGATAACAAGAAAAGAGAAAAAAGGGTTTCACTGTCAATGGAAATGGTAAAATGGAAGTCCCTTGGGAGAAAGCACAAGTTAACATCTCACTTTGTGCCATATCTGCTAGAGGACTTTAGAAGTGGGGTCAGGATAAGTTGTTGCAGATTCAAGGAAAGTTCGGATGGATAGAAAGTAATGAACTGATTAAGGACTAAAGTCTGCATCTTTCCAAGTTCTTCTATCGAAGTCGAAAATGCCCATCTGAATATTTTTTTATTGAAAGAAGCATATTTCATGAAGCCATTCAGCTGACTACACTCAATTTCTACGAAGTGAACAAAATAGTAGGAAAAGATAAGCTTCAGTAGGGTTTGTGAAAGGCACAAAGTAGAATCCAGGGCCATTCTAGGAGGGGACCTTTAATGCTAGCTAGTTTCGAAGCTGCAGTTTTTTTCTGGGAAATACGAGACTGCCCATTGGCTAGCTGCCTTACAATAAACCAATTTAAATTTCATCAGAGAAATTTCAAATCCTCCATTTCCGATTACTTTTAGGAAGCAAATGATCCCTTTGTGACGAAATTAATCCATTCTGTGAACTCCTTAAGTCCAATTTCATGCGTAGGAACACAATGCTTCCTCAACAACAAGAATTGTCTTACCAGTTTGCCCCTTGGAATTTGAGACCATTTTTCATCATATTAACATCAGTGCACCAATTTCATCCAAAAACCCAGCATGTACTCACGTTATGCCCCTAGTTTTGCGTAGACCCCTCCTCCCCCGTCTTTCAACTGGATAGCATGTGGGGATGCCTAGCGTGGAAGGGGGAAATGAGGGGCGAGACCACAAGACATGTGTTACCGAGGTGATCGTTTTACGCCGGATGAGGAAAATGGGAAACGGAGGCGTGACTGCTCAAATCACTGAGACTCTGAGGGGCAAGATCGCTGAATTATTTAAGAGGGCTCTGGACTTGCGTGTCATGGATACTAGATATCTTCGAGATTATAACCAAGTGAACAGAAAAATTGATAGCTCCCCAACAGTAGCTTCAAACACCCACTAATATACACACATTCATCAATAGCGCATGCTACCCACCTACAGTTGGAAGCTATTTTTTTGCCCACTGAGCAAGTAAACTTAACAGACTCAAGTTTCTACTGGTGAGACTATGAAAATGCAATTGGAACCGGAGTTCAGTTAACAAATTACATCCAAGACTACGCTACAGCCTAAGTTACCACCTGACGATCCATACACCGGAAACCTTTGATCCTGATGATAGCGCCCCTTAAGTCCATATTTCCCTCAGTTGTCCACATGCCCCACGTAGTACCTTAAGAGGTAGCCCGGCAGCCACAACGAAATTTGGGACCTTCACCTGCCATGCATTTGGTAATATCTGACCAGAAACCATGTTTAAAGTGGCAATCCTCACAAAAACAAGGAGATGTAGGTAAAACCCGAATGGATTGACTCAACGGTCTAATGTTACTCCCTGCATCCCCACAAAACCACTTCCTATGAACAAATAAAGCGGTGAAAATCATCTATCAGCATAAGAAGAAGGTAGCACTCCATTTCGATGTTCAGTAGGATTATACAATTTATATCAAAAAAGGAAAAATTGAAACAAAAAATACAAGGGGGAATATTACTTAAAAATATTTTGTCCTAGTGAGAGCTTGAGATGCAATTTTTGCATCATTTTCTTCCGTCATTCGATTCCAGTCCGTCTGTCCAACGACGAAACCAAGTTCACGCATGCGTGAATTCTCCCGTAAAGCCTCAATATCGGCCCAAGTCACCTGTGGCAACATGGAACGAGATTACTTCCTACTTATCGTTTAATAGCAGTAATTGAGACAAAAGGGAGGTCACTCAAGTGACCAGCTTGCACCCCTTCGGCTAGTTTAAAGCTTCGAGTAAAGATGCAAAATTTCGCAACATAAAATTTGAACGAGGATTACTTACTCGTTTAACTCCCTCTTTTCTCATCCGAAATTGGGAAGCCTCATCTTTAAGATACTCAGCCATCGAAAGAGTGCTGGACGAATTCGAATGGTACAGCTTTCGTGTAAGTCCGTCCAGCCGTTCTGTAGTAAACAAAAAAGTAGACTTTAAGGAATTATAAGGAGCAATACGCCCCAACCCTACGAGCATAAAAGATCTCACCAAGACGCTGAAAGGAGGCATCATCATCCCACTTGCTCTTAGTCAGTCCCCACGCGCCACGAGAAGTATCCTCCTCATCCTCATCATCATCGCTGCCTCCCTTTCCATTGCCGACTTTATTGAGGTCCTCACCACAGACCCCAGAGGCAGATGGCGGGGGAGCAGGAGACGATTGCGGACTTGTCCCATCCTCGGTACCGCTATCTGCTTCCATGTCGACCTTGGTTTAAAAATACAAATTTCACTCGATGCCTTCAACTCACACATGCTATGCGTGGAAGCTGGCATACCTCTTCAGCAGTTATTTCCTGCTGTAGGGAGTTGGCATCAATGATGGTGTAACGACTCGGTGTTGGTTCCCATCCCGCGAAAATCTGTTGGTGAATATGGACATGTATACAGTGTTTACATCAAAGAAAACGTATGATAGACGACAGAAGTATTGGTTTAACTTTTATTTTATAAGGGCAGAAGTTAAAACGTGAAATCTAGGATAAGAGTAGCCGCGGTCCTTTTAAAAGCAGGAATTTGAATACTTGAAGAGGATGAAACCGGGCTTACAAAATATAAGGGCAATAAATCAAGTACTTGAGGTGGCAACCCAATAAGAGCTAAATCACAAAAACACTTTCACACATCCGTTTACGCGAAAATTATGACTCACGGCACGAACGTCACTCTCTGATCTGCGACCAGCACTTCGACTAAGGCAGATAGTTAGGCTGGTACTAACTTCAATGACATAAACCTGTAAAACATAGAGGGCGCATTTAGATACTCTCAAAGCATTTGCCACTGCGTCATGCTGTTGTTAGGATATTGATACACAGAAGGGCTCGCTTTCCACATTAAGAATGACAAATATAAAAACCTGTTTTATCATCTCTAAAAAGAACAATAGCATCATCATAAGGTACCACAAGGTATCATCATAGCTAAAATTTTACTAGAGCGATAATGTTAACTTGCTACCCTAATTCTGCAACAATTATGCACTTATCAGGTTTGATACATCCTACGATTCTACCTATGCAGAATTAAAAGATGGCTCAGGAAAAAAATTTGGAGCACAGCTATAACTATTAATTACAAACTAAAAAAATAACTGAGGCCAACCTGGAAGTGCTTGCTTCGAGCCTGAACAGCCAGCTCCTCGAGTTCTGCGGCCGAGCGGTTGACAGCATCGACGAGGAGGAAGTTGAAAAGCCCATTGTCAATTTGCCGAGAGAGGAGTTTCACCAGCTGCTTACGATAGACCTCTTCCATCTCAGCCTCGTAGACAAATCGACCCTCCTCATTGACAAAAAAATCATCTATGGAGAGCACCCGGACTGCAGCACTCCTGCCCTCATCCTCTGCCGCCTTCGCCTCCTTTTCCTTTAAAAGAAAAAAGTGCTAATTTCAACGCCAACAGTGAGCTTGCAAATTTATCAGCAATGAAAATTGGAAGCCTGAAATTGGTGTCTTAAAATGTTGACTAATGCACTTATTATTACACAAAAGAAACGCTATTTTAGTTTACAAGAGTCGACTAACATAATCGGGAATAAGCGATTTCCCAACCAGCATCAGTAGCAATATGAGAGCAACTAGACGCACAGAATCGGTGCAAAGCAAACTCATTTTTCGAAACTCGCTTCTTCGACTTTAAAGCACCGTAAAAACTGAAGCTTTTTCAAGTTTGAGAGCTTATTCAAGTGATACCCAGAACTGAAGGCAGCAAAAACCTCGCTTTATAACATACCTTGATCAACTTAGCAAGGGTTGATTTGCCTGATCCTGGCAAACCACGCAGAATAACTAGTATTTTCGGCGGCCGAGTTTTTCTACCAGGATTCATCAGAAGGGTTTCTGACGCGATCCTCTGAGAAGAGGTGCTCTGCGCAACAGCAAACAAGGGCCTTTGCGAAGGCATTGACGAGGAAGTTCGATAAGTTGAGCTGATGTAACCCAAGGAAAATGGACACTCATTGCCCCCAGGATGATACCAAAATTCCTGGTTGTAGCCTAGGTCCCTGCCTGTAGGTGGGGATCGGGAACGCTCGCGATACTGGGACTAGAACAGCCGGGTAACATATTGATGTGCCACTAATAGATTGAATAAAGAATGTGGATCTTTTTAGCTCTCAGCTTCAACCGTTGATACCTCCGATACCCCATTCCCAATGCCGTTATTTGACTATTACAACGTGTAATACAAATACCTTAAATGGAGGTTGTATTTACTTTCGATATCTGAGTATTTGTTAAGAAACCATGGATAAATCAAAAGTTGATGTTACTTTTTTCTAATACGAATTCTGTCGGGAAATCAATGCAAAAATGCAAGCATCCGGAAGCATTGACTCCGATACGTTAGTGGACAGTCCCGAAACTGTAGATAACGCACATATTGCCCTCGAACACGGAATTGAAAACACTAACCTGGTTTCCGTAGCGTTCACGATCATTCTGGTACCGATCCCCTTGACGATAGCCATAATTGTAGCTGGACATACCACTTCCCCACGAAGAGACTTGGGGTTCAAGAGCTGGCTGGGGAATGCGCCAATCTTGATCCTGAGGTGGACCGGTATAGTGAATTGGGTGCTCCCGGGACGATGATCTAACGCTACCGGCGTGGAAGTCATAATGGTGGTGAGAATTCGACAATCTCCTGAAATTTAACAACAAAATAATGAGCAGCCATCCAGTAATTTGTTGGGAAAAGTAGTGCCGTGAACAGAATTCTCCATTGGGACAATGAATAACGGAATTTATCTGCGCACAGTGAAAATGTCATATGCACTTATATAATGATTACTATCACTGACATTACGCGAGTAAAAATTGGAAAATTACTTACTCATTGTATGACTGTGAATAGTAAGTACCTTGATCACTATTGCGGGGAGTTTGTTGTTCCACATAACCCTGTTCAAATTCTCGACCGAAGGCCTGCCTATAATCTCTATCGAGCTGTGGATTCGGATAATCTCCACAAGAAAGAATATTAAAATTAGGGTAGTTAACGGGATGAGGAACACCCGAGGATCGCGTACCCAAAAAGGTCTGACAAGGAGGTCGCTGAAAATCGGCTGGCAGATAACAGTTCGACTTGTTTCCATGCATTGAAGGTCCATATTGCCAGTCGTAGAAACGAAGATCTGGAGGTGTCGCCGTTGGGTAGAATCCAGCTCCAGGATTATTTTGAGGAATACCACGAGGTGTGTAAGAACTATAGTTGTTCTGCATAACTTTGAGCTAGAACGTGAGTTACACTTCATAATAATTACTTGCCAAGGCTGATATAATTTAAATTTAATAAGAAATGCCCAGTAAACACAACCCACAAGATCTCAACTGAGGGACATACAAAAATGACGAATCGGGCGCGCAGCTGACGTGCAGGCAAACAAACCGAGAGTCCGGCCATTTTTCTTGACATCATTGGAAAATTCATGTAAAGATGCATCCAGTACAAGTTATATGTGCACTTTTTCGTACAAGAAAAGCAGGCCTATAAAGATTGTTCACAGATATGCTGGTGCACAACTTAAAAATAATGAATTTATTAATACTTTTGCGTGCGAACCATTGATAGGCCGCATTGGCCTTTTACTGTTTTAACTTACACATTACTGTGTCAATGACATGCAGGTAACAACTTGTTCTACTGCAATCTACAGGCCCGTAAATGCAACGAAATCAATAAACGGCTTTTCCACACTTGTTAATATAACTAGTGAATTTGTGTAATTATGCCCACCACTTTAAAACCTTTGTTTAATAATAAATCGGCTCTAGACAGAATTAGGACCGCAGATAGATGTATTTTTTGGCCATTTTAATCTGGTGTGAGATGACCATAAAATTAATTGGAAAGCTGGTGTGTAATACGATGGTTGTTTTTCCCTCGGTATTGATGAGGAGCCACTTTTGACTTGACCTTTGCACCCCGCTGGGTGGGCTGGCTTTCGGGCCATGCCAATAGCCCAAACATCTTCTCTGTGCTGAATACACTTTCTGCCCAAGTATTGTGTCTTCTTTCGTCTTCAGAGAAGTCTCGGGATGCTACAGATATGTACATTGAGCGTAGTGCACGATACCTTCCTGAACACGAAATTGGGCATAATGCTAGGGCAGAATATGTATTGTCGGTCTAATAAGAGAGCTGAGAGGGCCACTTGCATGGGTCGGGGTCCATGCTGTCCAGCAGAAGTCCAGCCGCGGACCCTTAAATGCCCGTGAAACGAAACCGATGTGATAAGCAAATAATCAAAGTATTATATAGCCCCATCCATTTGGGCGTCGTCCCTGGTGTTGCCTTTGGGCATCCTCTCGCGTCGACCACTACTACGCAGATGCACGAGCCATCCGCGCCAATCATCCAAGTTGCATGCAATTGACGAGGTATCTGGCTGCAACGTTACTGATCCCTCTTGGCAATTCTGCTGGATCCGGAGTTTCGTCCTGCTTAGAAATGCACAATGGAAAGGGGACTGTGGTGGCCATTACGCGTGTCCACGACTAGTTGTAGGAACACCTAACTAAATGCAGAGTCATGCGACAAGGATTGGGGGTTTATGGTAGTTCCGTGGGAATCGGATTTCGCGTCTATTCCTCCTTGCTACATTCTTCTCACATCAGCGCTGCCAGCCATGCTAGTCTACCAGTGTTTTGTCCAGCTAATGGGGAGGTGGAACTGGTATCACGTGTTCACTTTATTGGCATCTTCATAAAGGAAAGGTAGGTAGCTACATATCGAACTTTTCCAGGTAGTTCACGACTATCGTCGCTCCATTTTTTAATAGCATTTCTGTAGAACACGGAGCTGGGGTAGTTGCTTAAGGTACTGGTCAGTTCCAACCTTCTGTGGGCAGCCGCCATAGAATTCCCCACCCACAGCATGTGATTTTCTTCCTTTGCCCCCAATGCAGTGCCCAAGCGTTTCTTGAAGTCGAAAGAAGACATAGTACTAGGGCAGACTATACATTACCGAAGTACAGAAGGGCTGGGAGCTACTGGCTTGGCTTGGATGCCATGCAGTCCAGTGGAATACAGTCACGGAGCCTGCAGTGCCCTTAAAATCAAAACGAAGAGTTAAACAAGCAAACGAAGTATTCTGTTGTCTACGCCAATTTTGAGGACAACTTTTTTTGTAATGCACTTAACTACCACGTAAATACCACCAATAGTAACCAGTCATCCTCGGGATATATAATAGTAATGTTGGTTGTTTGCTTCTGCCCTGGATGATCTTTAAGAGTTTATACGAGCGCACTAACACAAAGCCTAGGAGGAAAAATTGCGTAACGGCATAATTTAAAGGTACCATCCAAAGTTGACAAATAATTTTTCCTAGCGAGACCCCAGTACAGCTGTCAAAGCACTTAGATACTGCCGTAGGTCACTCTGCCTTGTACTCCTTCCAAAGACCGATCACCACCAGTGGCGCATAATTGTACATTTTTGCCCTGGTTGTCATTGCAAAAACGAGTTTAGAAGCCACTTCAGTTTAAGTAAGTAGTAGGCTGCCGTGGCGATAGAGGGATGTTTAGATATTCTCACCCAAAATCGTTTCAGAGCTTTAATTAAGTAGACAATTCTTAATCCATTTCACAGTATAAAAATAGGCGCCATGTTAATCACTGCAATAGGTGTTGTAGAAATGGGAACAGTTTGAAGCCCTTAGTTCTCCAATTATGTGGTAATGGCATCTGACATCCCTTCAGTCAAATTGTCTTCATTTGGCAAGCACACAACGGAGTAATTTGTGGCAAACTGCCAGCTGTATAACGCACTCACCTCTAAGGATGCGAAGAAACGGTGTCAAAATCAATGTTTCGTAATGGCGGCACCTTATAGAAATTACATTTAACGACTCAAGAATAGATAATCGCTGACAGTTGGAGTTGTCATTTCGTACTCACCATCTCTGTCCGATATGAGAAAGTTGACACAAGTGACTCAGAAATTGACGCTTCCTGTAATGAAATCGAAGCCATTGCCATACGAGAATAGATAAAAAGTTATTTCAGTAAGTGATGGCGAATGCGCAGTTATCCAGTTTAACTAAATGACAGGCTGTGACGTGTGTGGGCACAATCTATTAGAGAGATGGTTGGTTGTGTGTACTGTAGCTTTCGCAAAGGCCTAGCAGAAGCGCATAAATTACAACGGTCCGCGCAATGCTAAAATATACCTTTTCAATTGCGCACTGAAAAATTTTGACTTGGTAATGTTTTGTGACTACTGACATGAAAAGTCGCTGCGTTAGACTCCTACACTGACGGCTCTGTTAGAAGCCTTATCGTCTCACAAGAGAATTTTGCGCATTGGTACTCCCGATTTTCCGATGAACATTGGCCAATTGTGGGGACAATTTGTTGTGGAATGGTTCAATGCGGACACACTTGACGTCTGTAAATACTTATATCTTCCAACTGCTTAAAACTGCAAATTACTAAGCAATTGGGTGCAAATTCCTGGGAAAACTGAGCGAAAAATCTCTCCTCCTCCTCCTCAAGTTGGTTCCATAGAAGTGTGATACTTTGGTTATCTGTTTAACGATTCCTTTTGATTTTATGGACACTTAAGCCAGTAGCCCTCTCCGCCCCCCTCCACCCAGCTTTTCTACGGGAAGGTAATGCATATTCTCCGCTAGTATTACCGTCCCCTTTCGGCTTCAGGGAAGACTCAGGATGCCTCAATGGTAGAAACGGAAAGTGAACGCTGTCTTAGAGGACAATTACCCAGATTTTTATTACTGAGCGCTAAACTTTAAGGTGACTGATGATTGGTGTATGCTGCAGATTGGAGAATCTACTAGGACCCTCAACAGAAGGCTTAAAAAGGTCTTCTACCTTTCAGTAACTACCATGGTCTCGTGTTCGACGGGAATGCTATCCACAACTGTAGTGACACAAGTTCGTGGCGGAGCTGGCTACGGTGCCTGTATGAGGATGTCAACTAAGTGAACATGTGATACTTCCTTCACTCCTGTACCAGAGTGATGGAACCCAAATAGTTATGGCTGGGAAGCTCTGAAGC